TATCTCCAGAGGGGTCTTTCTTCGCTATCGCGCCAGGGGGCAGACGAGCATTTTTCGACGCTCGGTTATGTCAAATCGATAGATTTATTACCGAGTGGCGCCAGAGACGCGCGAAAAGCTGCCTCGCGTTCGCCGAACTTCCTTTACGTAATTTATTTACCCTTGCGTCACGAATCTGTAGTTTTGCCACAAAGTGTCTACCGACAGTCTTGGCTCGCGTCATTTCTAGGCGTATCCGGTTCAACGAGATACCGTGCGATATCCGATCTCTTATTGCTGATATTAATAATAAAATTGCCCTGCAATTCCAATACGATTCCTCTCTATAAATCAGCCGAGACTTCAACTTAACCTATGCTGAAAAGAAAAAGAAAAAAAAAAGATAAATTACATAGGCGTTGTCCCGTGACATCGAGTGTCCTTTAACGAGCCTTATTTACTGTATGGAAATTGCTAGTTAATTCGTTACAACGTGAATTGTCATTAATTTGTTTCCTAGTCGGCAGGTTGGCATACGTTATACCGGGATATCTATAACTTTCATTCATGTATTAGGTGCGCGTTTACGGAAATAACAGGGAAAGGCTTTGCTCTACTTTTCTCCTATTTAAGCGGCGGCATTTTCTAAGACCTGCGGTCCCGGCGTCTGCACGAGAGACGTGGCAAAAATATCTGCAATTTCATCGAACGGCACAGTGATTACTATCGTAAAACCTTATTTGCCTTACATCTGCGATACTTTCCAGAGATTCCTGTCGTGCTCTCTATCCCCGGGGTTGAAATGCCGGTTAAGTGGGTACTCAACTTCCTTTGCAGGCTTTCCAGGTAAAGAAACGCGTGCATGCTCTGATGGGAATACCTGATCCTCGGTTAAATGTAACCGAGACTGCCAACCTAGATTCCCAAACATTCGATCCTTTCTTCCGAGTCCTGACGAGTCCCGAAATGTCAAGACTCTTCATGTTTCTGTGTACTCAACAAGTTTTTCACTACTGCGAGGCCATTGACGATCTTCGCGGTATTTGTGCTCTACAGACTACAAAGACCACATTTAACCACGACGGATCCCGGAGAAAAATCTCGGTGGTAAAATTAATTCTGCAAACTCTGTACCTGTCGATAATTCGAGACTTCGTTTTCGGATTCTGCAGGGGAGGTGTTGAAAATTATCCTATCGCTGTCAGTCGGGAGGAGAATAAAAATCTAGATCTATGAACATTATTCCTTCCTCCTGCTAAAATCCGAAATGTCAAAACTCTTCATGTCTGTATGCACAAGTTTTTTTCCTAGTGCAGGGTCGTTGATAATCTCGGCGATACGCGTGTTTTGTGGGTAATGGACGTTATATTTAACCGCCGCGGATCCTGGAACAGTTTCTGTACTGAAATAAAATTTGCCATATATGTGGATAACAATTGTTCGAGATTAATTTTTGGGATATCGCAGGGGAGGTGTCAAAATTATCGTCTCACTGTCATCGCATTTGGAATGGGAATAAAAATCTAGATCTCTGAACATTATTCCTTCCTCGTCCAGCCAGGATCCGAAATGTCAAAACTCTTTACCTGTATGTAATTTTTTAGTAGCCAATAAGTGTTCTTTTTTCTAGTGCGAAGTTTTTGATAATCTCGGCGATACGCGTGATTTGTAGGTAAAGGAAGCTATATTTAACCTCGGTGGATCCTGGAACATTTTCTGTGCAGAAATAAAATTTGCAATATATGGGAACGACAATTATTCGCGATAAATTGTTGGGATCTCGCACGGGAGGTGTTAAAATTCTTATGTCATCGTCATCGGCCTCGAGAGGTAATACAGACTATTGAAAAATAAAAAGTGCAAGCAGGCTGCGGACAAAGACTCTCGATTCGACCTTACCCTTAGCCTTGGGAACAAGAGCGAACGTCGACCGGTGCTCGGCAGGCTGGTCGCCATCTTTTTCCTTATAAAACACGCCGGGGCTTCTCCTTTTGCGCTTCAACCGGTTTTTGTGGACGCAGGTTGAGGTACAGTCTCGGCACAGGTTGGTCTTCGAAGTCCGTAGAATCCTGTCGAAAAAATCTGCCTCTACTTCGTCCAGTCGGTCGTCGGATTCGCGGCGACGATTCTTCGCCTCGGAATTAGGAAAAGAATAGAAAATTCGGTAAGGCGAAGAAAGTCCTCCCGGACGTTGCCCGACTCGCGGAAATTAAATCCCCAAAGTTGAACGATATTTAAGAGTAAGTCTTCACGGTGACTTTCGCCATCTTCAAGTACCAAAGTTCGCTATAATTTATTACCGAGTGTGGTGAATTAATTCCCGATTAATGACGAGCCCTTAAAGTCGAAAGTGTATCGCAGTTCTCTCATAAAGGAAGAAGAGTCGTAGTTAATCCTGAGGAGCGTCGAGGACATCCTTGATAGCTCGTAGAAGGCTTCTCGAAATCCAACCTCGAGCACTGATTTTTAGATTTTATCGTTGTGTTAGATCTTCTTTCCGCGATCTCTTTCAAGCTTGGCTGACGATTCGAGATTTTTCCCGGGATCCTCCTGTTCTCGCTTTTTACCGCCTCCGCAACTGGGACTCTTCTTGCGCCCCGAGGTTGGAGTAACATTCTCCACGTAACTTTACGACAGAGTGGAAACCGTGGTGTATCATTTCCGTGACATTATCTGCTGTGACATTGCGAGTGCGAGTACTTACTGCATCGATCATCTCGCCTGCACGAGCGGATCGTTTCCGCCCCTTCGTGTGGCGACAAAACGCACAGTTTATCCAGGATAATTGCGACATGTGCGGAGGTTTCGGTCGCACGAGACTTCTTTCTCGTCTCCGAGGGACTTTTAACAACAGGGCGTTCCTTCTCGTTGACCAACGACCGTCTCTTAATTCCAGTTAAGTGGTCGTGGAGTCGCTGAAAAATAGGCGATACTTGGTCCCTCCGGAAATCTTGAAGCTCCTCCGGAGCCAAAATGGAGCAGCGATGAGCAGCCCAAATTCTCCCTAGATACCCCCCGAAATTTCTCCCCAGGTTCGGGATTTTCATTCTGGTAAGTCACCTCGCCTAGTTTCGAGGACGTAGGAAGTATTTATTTTCCAGTTTCCCGATTTCACTTTACAAATGTTACGGAAAGATCTCCGGAGCCAAACCGAAGCTGCGTCGAGCCGTCTGAATTCTCCCTAGATGCTCTACAAAATTTTTCCCCAGGTCCAAGAATTATTTCCTGGTTAGTCGTCTTTCTCCTCCATTTCCAGGATGCAGGAAGTATTTATTTCCCAGTTATGCGATTTTTCTTTCTTTTTTTTTTTTATAAAGATTACGGAAAAGTCTTCGACGCCTGGCGACAGCCTTGCGATGATCGAACTCTTCATTGCGTCACTGTGGAAGTGATATTTCACTCACCACTCGCGTTTAATAGAGTGTAAAATGCAAAAAACCGACAATACGACGTGTCGGTAATACCGATGCTAAATGATGCTCCTCTTCGTAATCGCCTTGCTTCAGTGGACGTCCTTGAACTTGGCAAGGTGCATGAAGATCCTATCAAATTGAGAAAACGTCGACACAATTGAAGATGTCATCGATTTCTTCATCGATAAAAATATTAATCTTCCCGAGATAAAATAATGTTAACGGTGGATTTCATTGTGAACTCAAAGCGTAATATGTGTATTAATAAGATAGACGCTATAAATTCATACAGATTGAACATTATCACCTCGTTATATCTAGGATGTATTTTATTTCTTGAAGAGATCCGTAATTCATCGACGCGTTTCTTTCACTATCTGACATGTAGGGTATTTCTCACCGCCGCATTAAGCAAACAGCCACAATTAGCGTTTTTGTTGTCAAAATGAGTCGGCGACGCGACATAAGGGTACATTGGATTAATTTATGCATACAACATGTGCACAAAGCGTTGCTTATCACGATGCTTGTTTGCCTCAGCTGCAGTGATAGAAGATCCCGCCATCGGTAATTTTGTCAGACTCTTCCTTTTATCGCTAATAGTCCAACTTCTTCCGTTAATTTTAATACAATCCCAATAAAAAAATATCCATCGTTTCCCTCTAAACTCGGAATTTTTCAACGTCTCACGTCTCGTCGCATTTGCCGGGAATAGGAAAAACTTGATTGCGCACCTTTAGCTCCTCGACCATCACGATGCCGATCGTAAAAAGCGAATCCAGCGATGCAATCTTAGTCAAAACGTTGTACTTGACTTAAACAACTTAATACTTAATATAAAAAAATTATTAATACGAGTAAATGATACCTCAAGTCGATGTCGGAACGGTTTCTCTGGGAAATAACAAAGTGTTCAAAAGAAACGTCGGATGGACTCTGGATCTATCTCCTTCCAAGGAAGACTAGATATTATCAATTTCTCCAATGTCATTCTCTACTTTCCACCCACCCACTTAATTAACACATTTACATCCTGAAAATTGAATGACGATGATTAATAAAAGCTCGGCGGAGCAAGCCCAAGGAATTTATTATTCCAAATTACATAAATTTCATTCAATCAATCACATACTTCCTTGACGATATCAAACACGAATCTTATCATCCCAAGTCCTCTCTTTTATACACTTATTTATAACTGGAATCTGATTGTTCTTTGACCACCGTTCCGGAGGTCGTTATTTTAGCGCATCCTCGTCCTTCTGGACCAAGCGCTCCACGCGGAAGCTGCGTCGCCGGAAGATGCGCCTTGAAGATGGTCCTTGGTCAAGATCGCGAGTCCCGATTCGAGTACCCTTGACCTTGGAAACGAGAGCGATTGCGAGAACCATAAGAGCGCCATGACGCGGCCAGGGATTCCTAGGAAGCTGGTCTTCCTTTCTCTCTCAGCGAAATCCCCTAGCGAGTTCTCCAGTGACGTCACGAGGCGCGAGATAGGCGAAGCATGTATCGCGACAGTCGACCAATGAAATCGCGATCCTCGACCTGGTGGGGATCCCGTTGGTTAAGGAGCGTATAAAGCCCCACCAATCGGTGCCTCCAGAATCAGTCACACGTGCCCTTTGTTAGCGATGATGTAGCTCGCCGACACGCGAGATCTCGCCGATCCTTCTCTCGATCTCGATCCCCATCTCGATTCGCTCTCTCCCTAATCGCTCTGTGTCGCCGCGAGTTTCGCCCGTTTGAAAAGCCCGCGCTTCCGCGGGGACCGGAAGTGCAGCGAAGAGGCCCTCGAAGAGAACTCCGACAGTGACGGTTCGACGACCTCCTCGCGGGTTCGCGTCGCTCTTTGGACCCGATTAAGACCGATTCGCGATTATCCATGTGAGTAGATTGGACTACGATTTTTGTGGGGATAATTGTGATTAACTCGTTACCCGTCGCGGAGGAACAATGTGCGGAGTAATTCGGGATGCGTCGATAAGGAGACAGCCTGGGAGCGTTCTGACGTCCGGAATGGAGATAATGTGAAACTGTGCTCGACGGGATCTCTGAATGTTGCTAAAGCTGTCTAGATTTATTTGTTTATGACAGGCGGAATAACGAGACGTGATAAATTAAACGCTACTCTATTTTCTATCCACGGAGTTTTGTTTCGCGTTTAATTTTTCGTGTTTGTTCGCGTCGAGGGATCCCTGCTAATGATGGCTGATAAGGCGTCACGTGTTCTTGACAGTTTCTTATCATTCGTGTTGTATCGGTTATGCCAGTCCGGGTTAAATCCTTTGAGTAGAGTCGGTGATATTTGGAAAATTTCCCGAAGGTTAATTCATGACTATTTGAAACGACGATGATACTTGGTCTTTCAAGCGTCGGTTAATCAATTACGCTGTCGTGTACTTACCATCGGAGGCTTCCTAAATGCGTTTATCGTTTCCGATCTGGGAACCGGTTAAGAAAAAAATACGCACCGAGTTTCCTGTAACAACCGGTCAGAATTTTCGTTTAATGTGTAATTTAACCGATGACGCGCCACTTCCTTTTAATACTGAACGCTGCAGCGTCATTGGCGGAAAGTCCTATTGCGATTATCGTACGCGCTAATTGTCGGTACCTCCAGAATAGGAAACTCGATTGGGTTCGCTACTGTTCTGCAAATTGGAGAATAGATTCGTCATTTTGGGACACGTAAGAAATGACTTCGAGGACACCTTTGGCCGAACGTTGACTCAAGTGTGCCTCGTGGAAAAACAGACGGTCAGATCTGCTAACAAATTAGTCCACTACCAGCGACGATGTTTAATCGGCCGTTCCCCAATTTTAGCACATTGTTGAATAGTGCGAAGCAAACAAACGATTTCACGCGTCACTTCGTGGCTCTCGGAGGAAATTTGAATTTCCGTACTGGAAAAATCGGCTAAATTTACCTGTCACCGTTTCGACTAATAATCAAACCTGGACATTTTTACCCTCATTTCTGATTCCCTTCTTTTATTTTTTTTTCCCACGATTTTCCGGAATTTCGGAATGGTCTAGCTTAGGAAATTATCCCACAATTAAAGTCACATTTGTTTGGCCTTCGATGGAGTTGTTAATCATTTTTTCAGGTTTGAGATTCCTGAGGAATAACTTTAGAAAAAGTGAAAATGATCATATGGTTTAATAGTCGGACGTCACGCCACGTTAACCCGTAAATTATTCTTAGCAAACTCGTTCTTTAACAAATTGATCAAATGACAAATAATCGCTACTCTTGCGTCGCTTCTCGTGATATCTAGATTAGCGGAGCGATCTTGAAATTCAAATCCCTTTTTTCCGTGCAATTAGGTAAGCTCGTTCTCGGGCGTGAAAATAATAGCTGGCGTTGCTTTGTCGTCGATAAAAATCGAACTCGAGGGAGTGTGTGTTAAAATATACTTTGATTATGTCCTACCTGTGTACACCTGTATTTTCTGAATAATAGAGGCAAGATTCTATTTTACAAAATTGCCAGTAACAACAAAATAAACTACCTACGCTGCCTGGCCTGCGCTCAGCATAATTGCATCTACGAAACGCTACGTTAATTTACGCTGAATTATAGCAGGACAAAGCTCGGCAAATTTCAGTAGAATTCAATTCATAAGGCTGTTAAAAACTTCGAGTTCGTTACTTAAAGGAAGCGCAACAGGTCGACCGAATTATTAATTTCAATTCTCCGTGCCCTGTGGTGACCCCTCCTCGATGTGAAATCAATTAAGCAAATCCCAGGCTATTCTCTAGATTTCCTCCTCCCATAATCATTCTTCTGCATTCCATGAATTGTACGATAAAGATTTAATTCATCATGTAAGAGTGCCAAGGATTTAACGAGACGCTTTTCCCGGAATAACCGGGAACTCGATCTCACGATCATGGAGCTCGGTAATTGTAACAGCTGTCACGCGACCATTACGCGACCATTTGACAGGGCATGAGATCCTCGCCCTATGTCGGTATATTTTTCTTTTTTCTAATCCGTAATAAAATTATTATTTACAGAAACCAAGATGACGGTGGCGGTGGAGACGTCGAAATCGGAGGAGGGCGAGGGCCGCAAGAAAATCGAGAACTTTGACGACATACTGCCCTATATCGGGGAGGCTGGTCGTTATCAGTGGCTCCTCTTTCTTCTGCTCCTGCCGTTCACCTTCGTCTATGCTTTCCTCTATTTTACCCAATTTTTCCTGACACTGACCCCGGAGCAGCACTGGTGCACCGTGCCCGAATTGGACGGATGGAATCTCACGGATGCGGAAAAGTGAGTCCTGCGTAATTGAATTTCTATTTTCTATTTACTATGCCCGATTAGCTAATCGTCCTCCATAACCAATAGTCACTCTTCAAGGCTGCCGCATTACTTCTCTAATGTCTGCACCAATACCGACGCCATTTCATGGGAGTCATTAAATTAGAGCCAGCGACCTTCTTCGCGTTGCGACATTCTGAGAGTCTTGACACGCACGTGACGCATCTCGTTGACATCGTTGCCCCATGGGCTAACTTTTTCGAGATTTCGAGAATACCTCCGGATTCCATTTCAGGCCCCATATCGCGTGTCACTGGGAGATAAACAGTGGAAAATAATCACGGCTGCCCCTTGGATTTGAATTTTTAATCCACCCATTAGTCCGAGCGGCGCGTGTCATTTTTTTTTATTTTTTTATTTTTTTCATACACATTGGACATACGTGTGTCGTTAATTATATTTTTTCTTACACACCGGAGAGATTCAGATCTGTGTTTTGTAAGCCACTTTGTGACGGACAAAGCCTGTTACTCGCATGCAAATTCCCTGGTGCACCTGTTTCATTGGGGCAATGAAGTTGCGGGTAAAGTGCGAACCGTTCTTAAGCACCAACTTGTAAATGAAATGCAGCCGTCGGTTATAAAAGCCATCGGCTGCGATAGTAAAACCGTTCCATTAACAGTGGTGAACTACTTTAAGGACTGTTAAACGTAACCGGACGTAACGTTCTCGGTGTTGGCTGCGTGTCGTGGAAATGTCCTGAGCTTTCCACGTGCACCGATTGATCTAGATAAGTGATCGATAGGCAGATTTTCCATGACGATCGGTTCCCATCTGGGAGATCGATCTTCTGCGCGGAACGAAGTCCGCAGGTGAGATTCTGCAGATTTCTCGGACCGAGCAGCGTCGTCACTTCTTTTTACCCGGATCTCAGAAAAAGGAACAATGGTCTGGTGATCTGTATCGATCCACCGAGTTGTCATTCCGTATTCGAAGGTCGAGCCGACCAAGTCATTGCGGGGATAATGTGTCGTCACACTTCAAACTTCGCCCGTCCTTTTACGTAAATCCCTTTATATGGGTTTTTAGACTCGGACTGTTCGCCAGCGTCGCGAATCGATTCGCGAAACGTCGAGCTATCACTTTTTATCTGATAACTTTTAACTTTTATATGTTTACGGTTTTAACAGACCCCACGTGCCTCTGGGTCGCGATTAATGGTGACCACATATTCCCCGGAATTGCCTGATAATTATGATTAATTAATTATTGCTTCTTTACATGAATAGATATCTCTCTCTCTCTCTCCTTGTTTAAGAATTCCCGTATAAAATTGACCGTCACGCTGAAATTTTTGCAAGTGGCTCGTATGATCGAGATTTGTAACAATCCCTCCAAGATTTTCTGTAATTCTTTTTCTTTTCGGACTCGACTCTGCTAGCTCATTTTTTTTCCCGGTTTCATGACCATCGGTACGCTATTGCACTCCTGTTATTGCAGGGAAATTCCTTCCGAGTTACGGCGCCGATTAGATTTCGCGAGAGAAATCTGCGGTATTTACAAACATCATTAAACACGAATGATCGTTACCCTTGCGGCTTTATTCTCGTAATACTAATGCTCGCGTCGCGAGGCACGAATGACCGTTATAATTTCCTCGTCGGTTTGAATTTACATAATAAACTCGATACCGATCATTTATTTCCTCTACGTTAATGAAATTAACCCTGTACGATCATTTCTGTAACATAGAACTCCGAATGGGACTCGCATCCATTCATGAATACAGGGAATTCCTGAAGAGCGTACTCCGATGACGCATGACCTCGTCCCAAGCATCATCAAAATATATTATACAGAGGCATGCAAATAAACCGCCTCTTCCAAATTTAACGTTTAATTCGAGCTTCGAGCCATTCATTCTGATTATTATTCCCGAATATATTCATCCAGTGACCGCTATTTCATTATCAATAACGAGCCAGACGAAACCGCACGTGGTCTCTACGTTCATTCATGATCTCGCGAGTGTCTCGTATCACCGATGACACATCGATCGCCTCGTGTGCCAGATTACCGTCAATGAAGTTTTTTCGTCCTCAAGTATTTTATTTTTTTTTTGTTTCTCTATCAACCTCTGCTTAGAATTGCGTAACGATGATATCCCAGATGCGAGGTCCATGTTAGCGGGTTTCTTGCGTTTCGAAAGACAAAATGGCGATCGCAATTCTTTGCACACATTTATCGTCTGTTTATGAGGGGATATAAATGTTATCTGTAAATTGTCAATTAACAGATTTTCATGATTTCCTAGGATCGCCCTCTCGATCCCGATGGCCAGCGAGGAGGAGCTGAAGATGGAAGGAGCGACTCCGTTCTCGAAGTGTCAAGTTTATGCTGTCAATTTCACGGAACTTCTCGAAGCAGGTGTCAGGACAGCTGATCCTTCCTGGCCCTTTAGGCCCTGCCAACATGGATGGACCTTCAACTATACGATGATACCATACGCCTCCATTGCAGCCCAAGTGAGGACCAAACTCGATCTCCTCCAATCCCACTGATAGTTCTTAAGATGGGGACTTAAAGTCATCTTTTTTTTCCCTTTAATGAACCGTCAGATGTATAATATCGTCATTAGGAAAATGATAAAGCGAGAAGCGAGAGTGGGCACTTGATTAACCAACCGTGCCGGATTTAATTGCGACTGTATCTCCTTGAGGTCATCTTTAGACATGTCGGCAGAGAGCTCAGCTTTTCCAGCTGGAGTTTTGACAGACACGCGATTCACGCCATTAGGCATTTCTTAAATTTCGATATCGCGGGAAATCGCGACCTCCAAGGTGGGGACAGAAGCAGGATCGATTTAATTATCACCGACGACCGTTCATCGCACTTATAATTGTAAGTGCACGTAACGCGCGATTCTAGCACAAGGATGTGGAGAAACTCGCGTGAGTAATGCAGTGCGCACAATCGATCGCTGATTATTCAAAAAGGTCAGCTAATGAAAAACTATTCGAGTTGAATATTTTCCCTTTCACTTAACGCGCGAGAGGAAGAAATCCATATCATTATGCCGGCCCGATGCACGACTCGATAAAGCTCAGTCCGGTTCTAATCGTAATTTCGATTGCCCTTGTGCTGAATCATATCCCATAACCTAAAACGAACGCGAGCAGTACTCGCATCTCACTCTCAGAGATAATAGACATTTTTAATCTTTCGTCCTGAATCCGCAAAAAGCCATCTTTTAACGCGAGAGGTGAAGTACGAGGTCGAGCCTGAGTGTCTCACGATTTATACAATTGTTTAATATTTTTCAGCTCGAGTGGGTCTGCGATAAGACGTTCCTCTCTTCGGCGGCGCAGTCGGCCTTCTTCGTCGGTAGCATAATCGGTGGGTTTATTTTCGGTTACATCGCCGATCACTATGGTCGAATTCCCGCCCTGGTGTCCTGCAACGCAGTTGGGTTCTTCGCCTCCGTTGGCACGGCATTTTGCAACAGTTTCTGGAGCTTCTGCCTCTGCAGGCTGATCGTTGGTACTTCCTTCGACAACTGCTTCAACATCCTCTTCATAGTCAGTGAGTCGTACTTCGAGTTTCTCTCCAGAAATAGGGCTGACTGGGTGGTCCGCGAAGCGCAAGGTCTGATCCTTTTTTCCTAATGATTTATTCCAGTAATCGAGTACGTGGGCCCGAAGTACAGGACTTTGATAGCCAACATGTCCTTCGGCATCTACTTCGCAATTGCTGCCAGCCTTCTGCCTTGGATCGCATATTGGATCGCCGATTGGAGGATACTCAGCGTCGTTACTGCAATTCCACTCGTAGCTGCATTCGCGGGTCCCTGGCTCGTCCCTGAAAGCGCCAGGTGATGAAACTATTATTTTTCATAAATTATTAAAATGAATCCACCCTCCCGCATAAAATCCCTGCAGTGAAGCGGAAGGATCCTGCACTGATAAGAAAGCCCACGCCAATTTACATACTGAATCATTGGTTATTTTGATGCCACAATGGATTGCCTTAAAATCACATGGTCTCTGTAACATCGCATTCAGCCTCTGAGTTAAATTATAGAAAACTATAACGTAATATTACATTAAATTTAGTAAAAATGCATGGATACGGTAAAAACACAATGTTAGGTGCATTTATATATTTCATAATATTTAATTCGACAATGACTTGATTCTTATCTCACAGATGGTATATCACGATCGGCCGGACCGACAAGGCGATAGAGATGTTGAAGAGGTTCGAGAAGATGAACGGCAAGAACATCAAGCAAGAGATCTACGACGAGTTCGAGAAGAGCGTTAACAGCATGATGGCGAGCGACAAGTCGCACAAGCAGTACACGGTTTTGGATCTCTTCAGGAAGGCACGACTGGCCAGGATTACTGTCATCCTAGTCTTATACTGGTGAGGATCGTCTCCAGGACGGCGACTCTGTGGTCACTGATAAATGATAACATCGACAATCTCCTCTTTTCAGGCTCCTGATTATTCTAGTTTTTGATGGACATGTCTGGAACATGAAACTCCTCGACCCTGACGTGTTCATGTCATTTTCCTTGGCTGCATTGACGGAACTTCCTGCTGCAGTGTTGCTTGCCATATTTCTTGACAGATGGGGTCGCCGATGGATGGGTTTCTTGTCCATGTTCATTTGCGGCATCTTCTCCTTCATCGCTTTGGCCACTCCGAAAGGTAATGGGGCTGGAATATTTTCTGATGGATGGATGGATTCTTAGGAAGTTTTGAGTAACGACACAACTTATGGATTTCTCGTTTAGGTCCACCGACCGTTGCAATGGCGATCTTGGCACGACTTGGAGTCAACATTGCTGCAAATATTGGCTTCCAGTATGCCGCCGAAATGTTGCCAACGGTGGTTCGTGCCCAAGGCGTTTCCTTGATCCATCTGATTGGATACTTTGCCCACATCATAGGACCCTATGTGATTTACCTGGTAAAGCATTCCATAATAATCTCCTCAGGCAGCGCCGTGATATATAATCGGAAACTGCCGCGAAGCCTCGTGAAATTTCCCACGGAGTAATTTTTCATTTCTTTTCCAGGCTGATATCTCTGCAGAGCTTCCACTGGCGGTTTTGGGAGTGCTCTCGATTATGGTGGCTGTGTTGACGCTTACTTTACCCGAGACCATGGACCAAGAGCTTCCTCAGACCTTGCAGGAAGGCAACGACTTCGGCAAGGAGCAGAACTTCTGGTGGTTCCCTTGCCTCTCCAGGTAATTGAAGAAAAAAGAAACTCGCGTTGATATTAATTCTACCGATTTTTCATTCCTCGCGGAGCCGAATTTCTCTGTCGTTGAAAAATTCATTCTAATGAATTACCCTAATTCCGAATTAATCGATTATAGGAGTCCCGAGAAGAGGAAGAAGTACAGACACAAATTGGGCGCGACGAACGCCGGCTTTAATCCTGGAAGTCTTCAAAGAATCGACTCGACCAGGTTATAACACTAACAGTCGATTTGGACGATCGACCGAGTTGTCAAGTATTGAAAGGGTCACACCAAATTCTTGTAAATAGTGACACCGTCACACTATGTGATCGTAGACGTAAGTCGAAACCCGAGTGATCGCGTTCGTCATCGACTCGCGATAATGACGATAATTGCGATCATGGCAATAATGGCAGCGCCGATCGCTGTTATCATTCCTTGGCAACACATCATACACGTCGCTAGGAGCTTTTCGTCGATCCTGCGAACATCCTTTCGCATCCTTAGGTACCGGCGATTGAGGGAGCAAAGCGGTGCAACGATCGCTAATCGGCCGTATCGGCTGAGCATCGAAAATTCTACTAGGAATTGCCAATCGATCAGTCGGTCCACGTAATTGGTCCTCGAATTCTGCGAACACTGTGCCTTGTCAGCTTATCGCGTCAGCTGATCGACTTATAAACACGTAGGACGAGGTCCCATGACTTGGACCGACCAGACTTGGTTCTGATCCTTCTGACTTTTCCGAGCTCGTTTCGGACGTCGGAAATCGATCAAAATCAGATCTCAGGAGACATTCGGATTCTCATTGGAGTACTTTTACCTCTAACTTAGGGACTCGTGCAAAAGTGGCGTTGGGTCGTTCTTATCGATTGACGTTTCAGTCTCGATGACTAGAACCTCTCCCGGCTAGGCTAGTCAAGACTCGAGGGATACTAACTCGTAGAATTAATTATATTTTAATCGAGATGCAATTTTAAATTCAGTTCCTGGCCGCTACGCCCCTTTGCTCGACTTTAACATAGCGCAATAGAAGACGGACTGTACATAGTCGGAGCCTATTACTTGTTTTTGCTCTCTCGATTCGCATCTGACTTAGGCACCGATATTCTAAGTTACATTTTCGTAGGTCGCTCTCCTTAGCTAGGATCATTCATGTACTTATTCGAGGCAAGCCTTCCCAGTTCTGCTCGCTTCCTTCGTATGATATTATAAAATACGTTGACACCCTTAACACATGCTGATCTATTTACGACGAAAATAAAATATCTGGCTCATTTTGTGTTAAGGGGTTAAAAAGGATAAACTGAGAAGACGAGGGCGGTCCAGCGAGAATGCTAGCCTCGACGGATCATTTTAGGCGAACCTACGTGTGCCAGAATTAGAGCACAATGATATTGCTGTGTGGACTTCTATTGTATTCTATGGTTGTTCTCATAGTGCAAGAGGGCGACGGGAGACTCCTTACCGCAAAGGACCGAATTATCAATTACGAATTACGAAAGTACAACCGAGGTACGCGCGCTCATTGTTAACTATTGTATTGTTGAACCCCGTCAGCATGTGTGAGTGCGATTGCGTGAATGGAGTATTTAAGAAAAAGAGGAACTCATACGCGAACAGCGTGCAAGATACGTCGTTTAATACTTTGTACAGTGTTTACGAAGCCATTAACTTTAGTGATCGTGGAGTAACTGGACGAGGTAGACATTGTCATTCACGGAGAGAAATAAAAACAGTTGTAATTCACGAAGCCTTTTCTCTTTGCTTTAATTGCATCAATCTCATGAATTTGTACCATTGAAGTAACGAGAAATCAAGATTTCAAATCAACCCGTTTATTGACTTTTCCTTGACTTCCAGGAATGCCTGAAGCATCTCATGAGATGCGGATTAATAAATCACCAGTGTCTGAAATACTTCGGACGCAATAAAATATTCCGGAAATTTCAAGTCTGACATAGGTGATAAGGAATGGTATCACAAATTTAGGAGGCAGATTCGACGAAATATACGGCTTGTCTGCAGATCTTTAAATGTTTCTGGATGACCATCGGTCATAAGCGCTGAAATTTCCCCTAGGTCAGGTCTGTGTCCATTCTACTTATCAAAGAAATTTGTAAATGTCGTAAAATTGTTCCTAGTCTATAAATTGTTATCTGTACAGCAAGGTAAGGCCCAGAAGGACTGGTCCTTTCCGAAGTCCTCCCCTTCTTGGAGAGTCTGAGGAAGATCCATGCCCAGCGTCTCCGGAAGGAAAGTCACCAGGATTCCGGTGATCGAGGACAAGATCCCCATGATCAACATAGGTAATCCGCCCCAAATTAATGCCTAAAATGAAAAAAAAAAAAAAGATCAAACGTCAAATACTAATTACACGCCTTGTCTTATGAATTTTTCAGATTTTTTTTTTACCGTATCTACGATGTACGGCGCTATCGCGTGTCCGAAAATCCCAAAAATATGGATCAATGCGACACCTTGGGCTCTTACTGGAGTCGGCAGCACTTCTGCTGCATACTGAAGAGCAATGTTCGCCGCCATGTTCAGACAAAATCGAGCAAGGATTGCCATTGTCAGTAAGAGTGCGCCTAGAAATAATTAAAATTAGACAGAGTATTCTGGGTAACGATGGTATCGTGGAATATCATGGAAGACCGCTTTCTAATAAATTTATTTAAACATTTTTAGGTTTTACTTGAGTGAAGGAGGAGGGTCACCAAGCTGAAGACACCAGTTAAGGCCATTGTGATGAACCCACAAAATCTTCGCCCCCAGCGATCCAGCAATAAAGTTAGCAGCACTCCTGCCGGCAATTCCGTTGCACATGCCAAGGAAAACGATGTAAATACTGAATCAGGAAGCAGCTTCAACGAGTACACGTGGCCGTCGAATGTTGCAATTGTTAAGAACCTGTGAGTCATTTCCACTTTTTATACTGATCCCTTCTCGGTATTCATTTTCGAGGTTATCACTTTATGCTTGCCATAGACCGTGGTAAGCATTTAATCTGTGCACTGTCTCGTTACATTTGTCTAAATGCACCTACCAGAAGAGAATTAAGAGGATGGCATGCTTGGCAAGGCGAGGAGTCCTGAAAAGATCCAACAGGGTCGCGTTTTCGGCATTGTGACTGGATTCTTTGAGTCCCTTCTGTAATTTCAAATTTAAATATATTTATCGCCCCTCTTGAATGGATATTAAATGATCGCTTATACCTTACCACGAATTTGCCGTAGATTTTCGGGTCAAAGGTCCTGCCATTGACTGTTGCGATTTTCTGCAGTTTCTCGAAAACCTTCTCCATCCTCCCTTTGGATATGTACCAGCTGTTGGCAGAAATCATGATTAAGGCGATGCAATTAGTTATTAATATTCCGACATACCGTGCACTTTCAGGAATGATCCATGGGGTCAGGAGGCATAGCAATATCGGTATGGAACTGACGTATGTGAAATTCCGCCAATCAGCGATGAAATAAGCCACCCAAGGCAGCATCGTACTTAACAGGGCGAAGAAGAGACCGAAAGTCATGTTGAAGACCAAGGTCCTCTTGTTCACCGCCATGTACTCCACAACTGCAAAAAGAAAAGAATGTAACTGTAATCGATCGCGATTTGTGAAAATTTATTCTCGAAGAGTGTATGTTTCTTAGCAATATTCAGCGATAATACGTACCGACGATTAAGGGAATGTTTATACAATTGTCGAAGGCCAACCCTGCGAAGAATCGACATATCGCGAAGGACCAAAAATCGCTCGCAAAAGCGGTGGCGATCGTCGCAATTAGTGCAATCCCATTGAGGACCATCAGTGTCAAAATTCGACCATGGTGGTCGGCTAGCCATCCAAAGAAAAATCCACCTATAATGGATCCGCAGAAAAAAATCGCTTGCGCCGTGGAGACCAAGTACGCCTTGTTGCATACCCAACCTAACTGATCGTCAATGATACAATTAGTCGATCACAAAATGCTCGTAGAAATTATTTCCCGTCACTTTTGCAGATTCAAAAGGTTACTTCACCTCGGCCGCAATGCTTCGATATGGAATTTGAGTATAGTTGAACTCCCAGTCGCTACATGGGACAGTTTTGTTCGTACTCCACACTAATGACTGGAATTCATGGCCTTCTCTCAGAAGTTTGCTGAAATTCAAGTCCTTCTGATAGCAGCCATCGTAGTAAGGATACTCGTCGGCTTTGGGAATGGCCAGAAGAATCCTGGGAAATGATTTTAAAAATATAAGAACAATATTTACGACGGCTTGCAAGGAACAGCTTCAGCTTATCAAAGGCGATCGTTGATCGATTTTAGAAACTCCGATCTTTAACGCTACACTATCGGTGCCTTTGGTCTGGTTTGTATCGAAACGCGCACGCAGTAAAATAATTTCCGTTTCGACACGACCTTGTGAGTCGTCGTAAAAAAGACCGTTCTAAGCGAACATTGTCAGAGCTCGATTTAAGAACTCATTGGAGGAAGTTACATCTTAAACGTTTCATTGCAATTGTTCGAAGATTTTTCGCGATTTTCGAATCACCGAAAATTCGAAAATCCACGTAATAGGGGAAGTAGAGCGGATTTTACGGTTTCATGCCTGAGGAGGGTTCTAAAAAGGGTCTTAAAAAGGATCTTAAAAAAAAATCGCCTTACGTAATTCAGGAACGGCCCCTGGGTGTCGTAAAATCTCATGTCGGCTTCGTAAGAAGTTTTACGCCCATTATTTAGTATCACTAATTTTCAGACCGAGCAGGCATTCTATGCCAGCTATCTAAGGTCTACAATGCCACTGCCGATCGATCTAATTCCTTTCTACATTTCAGGACTAATGGAACGCAAGGAAGGCGAGCTTACACACGAATTACCGAGAAATTTTCTCGGGGCGTACCTTTGTTCCTCCGAGGTGCAGTTCAAGTCGACCACCTCTGGGACGCGACACCAATGTTCACGAGGGACGAGTGTCAAGAAGAATTGAGAAAAGTACAGTGACACGTAGACCCCCGTGTAAGGGAACAGGGAGAGCAGCAAATACCATTGGTACTTCCCAAAGTCACCGACATAAGTCAAGATGCTGTCGAAGGTGCTGATCCTCAGCACAGTCTTCTCGTCCTGCTCCAGTTCTTCGTCTTGCATCCTGATCGACTTTTTGACTCCCACTTCTGCCAAGAAAATCGGATACTTGGTGAATTAATTATTGCCAGGCTTCTGTAAAATTATGGAAAAGTCTAGTCGACTTGAAGAGCCGAACGAGCAGTCATCTAGACGTCCAACGTCTTCGATGATGAAGACACTGGACGTTACTCCATTGGACAATGAATCTGCCGGCTGTACGTAAGAAATTGCGCAACGTCAAATAGATTAGCGACCAATAGGAGGGAGTTCCGATTGATTGTTCTTCTAAATGAATTGGTTTGTCCGTAGTTATCATAATTAAAGAGAGCAGTTCCTTGATTAAGCCAACGGGCAATGGTCAATAATCGACATGCCGCTCTGAGAAGAGCAGCATTGCACCGCACTGCACTGTTTCATACTTGCCAGTCCTTGGTATGTTTAAATGATACAGCAGTTCTTCTGTAACTATTACTCGAGACGTGTTATTCAGGTCAGTAGAGATCTGCAGGTGACTTCGAGGTCTACCAAGAGTAGAGCAAGGGAATGAAAATGGTTGGTCGATTATCGATTTCAAGTAATGTTTGCTGGGGGTCTTTTGCAATCAGCAAGATCAAGACTCTTCTTCGGCGAGGGCTCCACGTGATAATAGAAAAACTTGAAATAGTAGACTTGAAAAACGATAGTAGCGTCTGATACGTGAAATGATCCCGAAATCGAAAGGGTTTTCTATTTAACGCAATTATTTCTAATGAACGAGGGATATCTGAAAATGGAGTCTTGTCGAATATCATATATGAGTTTGCGCTTTTAAAAATGAATATGGTTCTTTTGAAAAAGTAGGTACATTAACTTTGTTATTTATATTCAGAATGGCATTCGAAGAGATGAAGATTACGTTTGATTTTGTTATTTTCTATGTTGCTTACAAGTGTCGTGGAGTACTGGAGCTCAGGTGATCGGGATAATCTTCAGTTTTTACGTACTGTCGATATATACAAGTGGTGAGAAATGTTGCTCCGTAGAGATAAATAGCTTCTCCTACTCCTTTAATTTTCCCCTCCCGCTTCTTCTCGTTTCCACCTCAGCACTAACGTGAAACAGAGTAAAGGAAACCGAGAAGATGCTGAGAAGATGACTCTCGGAGTGGGAGAACCTATTTGGCTTAGCATGGCAGTGCTACAAATCATTTTTGAAGAAATCGAAATATTTCTTGCGAGGTTTAGGGGCAAAGTTATCTAAATTATTTACGATTTCTGTTTTAAAAATGTCTATGTTAAAATGGAGGCCGAATACTTGGCATACCACGATTGGAAAGAACGTTTCTTCTCTCTTCTTGTCGTCTGAGAATTTCAAAGTTCGGCACAAGCGACGATTAAATTCCAAAACGAGTGGCTAAAGACTAAAATTTGTACAGAGCATAGATTAGCGTAAATTGAGCAACGCGTAAATCATTCAACGAAGCTAACCACTAATAAATGTCGACGAAAGATAAAAATCCAGACAGATAAAACCGCACTTTCGACGAGAACTTGGGTTTTATCAATTCGTACCATTGCACTAAGAATAAATTTTACTGCTAGATTATAAAGATTTGTAGCAATAGATTGTAAAGTGCTTATTACAGAAGGCTCAGAATTGAATCCGTATATCACCGATCTCAGATTATAATTTCATGTTATTCAGCATGCGATTTTTATTACCAATTGGTGCATCTGTTCGTACCGAATCACCAGAGAAAATAATAAGTTATGTACAGTTATTGTACAAAAAACGAGATGTGCGCAGATGATTCTTTTATTTGCTCTTCTGATTGCAGGATTGAGCACGGCTTATGGCTGCTGTACACTTGTCAATATCACTTAGATATGTATTACATAAGCCGTGTCCAATCCTGCCTATATCCGTATACGGAATCGCGAATTGATATAATATATTTGTATGTATTTATATATTAAAGTATTTATGTACTCACATTTAGTATTTATTGATTTCGAGTTCCGTAGACATTAATCACCATCTACCGCTCTCAGATAACTGTTGATTTGATAACGAGAGTCGAGGCTATGGACGGCACGAGTAAGTCAAAGAACCGCATTTGAATGTAACTCCGAATGGTGCATACCTCCTCTACTAATCAGAGGTACGCGCTTTTCGAAACTTTACCTCCGCATTTTTTTTTTCCGGGACTTCCGGACACCGGAAGTGCAAATTTTTCAGTGTTGCAGCAGACACGTCCGCAGCCACACCTCGTTTGCAACTGCACCTCTTGTGCCTCGAAGATACCACGCGGTCGGTTCGATGTCTCCTCCTCGAGCCATCTCTCGAAATAGCCGACGGTTTGTGGTAGAGGTGATAGCAAACACAGCCAAGTGCATGTGGTTGAGTTTCGCAAGAAGTGCATTTCTGGTCACCTGTATAAAAAATAATGAAAAAAATGCGTCACACATTACGAACGATTTTTGAGAAAGGAGCCCAGCAAAGTTACTTTGCATTCCGTTAAAGTAATCGAGTACATATTTATAAAAAAAAAGAAAAAAGAAAGAAAGAAAAATACAAAATCTGAGTAACCCGATATAAGCGAATTTGCACAAAACTGTACGCGCGAAATCTACATAAAAGTGCGATTAAAATTGTAAGCAGCTCGCGTACGTTACCGTTCCTTGCCACGTGGCGTTCGTTCTATGACTCACTTATCAAGGAGAAGTATTGCTAATCTGTCATTTCAGCGTTTTACGAGCATATAAATATCGTTTTTATTTTCTGAGAAAACGAGTACATGCCGACTATCGGGGAGCGGCGTTAAAACTGCTCCGCACGCATAAGATTTAAAATCCGGGTTCTTAATTGCTATAAATAGGTGCAACAGCGCCGCTGTCGGGCCTGGCGATCGCTTTTATCGGTCCTTACAAAATCTTATTAACTTACTATCACAATGGAATGATTTTCAGCTCTTGGCCGTCAACTCGCGAGTCAGCATTCGTCGACCTGTCCGAGTATCGTTTCGTCAAGTAAGCAGGCAAAAGCACGTAAGCGATTTGCATCCTTGTCGGCGTCCTAACGAGCCATGACCTGACGATACATATTTCTTTTCTTTATCCTAAGCATAATTTAACAAAATCCTTAAGAACGCGCTATGTACAAGCTACGAAAATCCCGGACTCGGAGAGCCGTGAAGCATGGCTTCCTACAAAAACATTTCTCGTGGCCTCTCGAGCTCCGGCTTATCACACGACTTTGAGAGCCGGAAGGACCAGCTGAAGGGAATCCCGACCTACTGGCAACCTCCAACCTACAGTCTTTCCACTTCTATGGGAGAGGTCATACTCTTGTGCGACCTAATGCTCGATCGTTGTATCATACTGCTCCTCAGGGTTTCGCCTCGACGTGAGGCTCGCAAAGATCCTCGGATGCTGCCTCTCGTGAAGCTCCTCTTCATCGCCGATTCCTCGTCCTCTGCCCTCCTGGAAGTTAATATCCCTTAGTTATCTAATAATTCTCTGAAGGATCATTAAAAAATCAAGATTAACCGTGAACTATCATTTTAACATCGCGAGTTCAGGGACCGCATCAATTTCTTGAGGATGAACTGTAATAGCAAGCCTTTCAGGGAAGATGCAAATATAAGTTAAGCCTTTTAGAGAAAATTAAACACCATAGGAACCAACTTAAATTAATAAAGAGGGTGGAGTGGTCGTATTTGAAAAAAGTATGGAGAGAAAGCAGGAAGGCTGATTTCTCAGACCACGTGTCGGTAATTCACGGTTAAAGTGCACCGAGGAAGGATACTCATCGAGCGAAAGAAATATTTTGCTAATTCCAAGAATTATTTCACATCCAATTTATATGAGTTTATTTGAATGAAATAATTATTCCTTGAATTAGCAAATATTCCTTAGGTTCAATGAATTCTTTTCTCTGAGTGGATGTCAATATTTCGTTTAACAGGAGGACTCAGGACGTACTTCATGAGACAGGGCATATCCCAAATGGCCTGGTCTTTCCCGAAGTCTTCGCCATCCTGAAGAGTCTGCGGGAGGTCCTTGTCGAGCGTCTCCGGGAGGAAAAGGGCGAGTCCTCCCCCAAGGACACCAAGGGTGCCTAATACCAAAAGCGGAAGCACCGGAGAAAACACTGCCATGTACACGATGAAAGGAGCCACGATGCTGGCAACGTATCCCATTATGTGAATCAAGGCAACACCCTGAGCTCTGACAACGGTTGGCAGGACTTCTGCAGCATACTGCAGCCCGATATTGTAGGAGATGTTCACACAAAACCGACCAAAGATCGCGAGAGATGCGGCGTACATATCTGGGGAAAAAAAGAAGGTTCAACTCGTTAATTTTTATAATTGGATGCATGCTCAGCAAGTATTCCATGAACCTTGTATTAGGATTTTCAGCCCAAAGTTTCGGATTTTTCAATTGAGCTTTCATTACAGACGCGTGTACATGTCTGTTGTTAAGGGTTAAGGTAAAATCCGCGACTTCGTGTCGAATAATCTAATGTCAAGTACATCATTGCGCAGCCACGTTACAGCTGCATGCTCACGGTCGGAAACTGCGGAGGCCCAGATGCTGAATATGCCGGAGAGTACCATGGAACCAAAAGCGAGCCATCTTCTTCCCCATCTGTCCAGAACGGCCGTCAAGAAGGTGTCAGCAGGGAGTTCGGTAGCCGAGGCTATGGTGAAGGTGACAAAGACGTTCAGTCCCAGGTTGTCCACATTCCGTACGTGTCCGTCGAAGACCAGCGAGATGATCATCCTAAAATAACGAACCGAATAAATTTCCTCACGCTGCATCCCCAACACCGAGATCCGAGGTCGGTTCCGAAGATCGCAATTTCTGGGAGCTGGGCTCACCAGATCACGATCAACAGTATCGTCGTATTCCGAAGTCGGGTAGACCTGAAGAGGTCCAACACGGAATAGGACCTATCGGCCTCCTCTTCCTTCTGCAACCTGGCACAGCTATCCTGAAATTAGAGGATGCTTCGTAAGAAATAAGTAAATAAACGAATAGGTGCAAACGGCAGATCGTAAAGAGCGACATTGCGATTCCTTGCAAGGCACTTGACGTTCCTGAAGGAAGGTCAAGGCTCCCATGATTTTCTCGCGTGTAACAAGTGTGTGACGTTTTTCACGTCCCGCCTGTTCCGCTGACCTTAAACTCTTTGTAGACGTTCTCGGGGACCTTGGTACCATTAATCCGCTCGAATTTCCTCAGGATCCCGATGGCCTTGTCGACCTGGCCCTGACTGACGAGCCATCTTGCACTTTCCGGCACCATCCAGGGCGTCGCGATGGCAAGGACCAAAGGAACCGACGTCGCGATGCACGTCATCCTCCAGTCGGCTAAGAAGTACGCTATCCAGGGCAGGATGCAGGCCGCGAATGTGAAGAACAACGCTATGGACATGTTCGCCACGAACGTCCGCCATTTTGGTCCCACGTACTCCAAGACTGTTGGGACAAAACGAGACCTTTACGGCACTCCTGCGAGATCCGAGTCTCTCATTACTAATTGGCCGTAAATACACGTTGCACCGTTGACTATAGATATCTTCCCCATTCTACCCTATTTGTTTAATAATGAAAATAATAATTAATCATTCTGAACTTCTACACCGGACGTAGCGACGCGGTGACGCGATGACGCCGACGGTGACGATCGCTGCTGAATGCGACTTCAACGTAGGCAATTAAGGGACGTTACCTCGAAAATGTAATTAAACATCGCGACGGGGTTAATAAACATTTTCCCGGTTTTGCGGGGCGTAGGAACTAATTAGCGAGCGCTTAGAGCACTTCCATCGCCGGTCAGTCATCTGTCACCGCGGTTACGTCAAGTGACCTCACTTAATTCCGTAATCTCGGCGCTAATTTTAACACTAACTACCGTTTTTTGTTTTTTCCCCCTTTAATTAGTGATCCGTTGCCATGCGAATCAGTGAAGGTTCCCTCTGACGTCACAGGACGGTGACGCGCGAAAGAGTTTTTCGACACGCGGACCGGCCTTCCGCAATTTCGCGATGACGGGGTCAACGGTGCTCCCTGGCGTTTTTTTACCCACGGTTTCTGCATATTCCTTTTGCAGAACCAGCGATCGAAGTATCGATTTAACGGCCGCCATAATTGCGAGGCACGTCGCTCGAAACCTCCCGTCTCTTGTTACCACTAACGAGCGGACTTATGCAAGGACAACAATTAAGGAGTTACGGCCGCAGCGGTTCATGACCGAGGTCGTAATCCCGATGACCCCTTGCTTCATGGTTTATTAATATATAGAGCTGTACGTCAATTTTAACCATCGACGAGAGGGGCAAATTGACATAACTCCCGAATTAATTGAAAATAAAAAAAAGAAAATTGGGGATTGTGATTACACGGAATTTGTTATGCTAATCCAGAGTTTGTCCGTAAGAGTCGTCAGGGGAACGGCAGTCAAGTATCGCGGTCAAAATCGATTGTAGCCGGCCAGAGAGTGGCGGGATTTGACTTGTCTCCGGTATTAGATAGTCAAGGTCGCTGTCACCGTATCTTGTCCGTAGACTCGTTCCACGAGATGAGGAATTTGGGCCCGAGATAGGCAGGAATCCGTTCTACAGCCTCGATCGAATGATTTTGTAGGTTGCGATCAGCCGACGCGAAACTGCTACGTCCTTGATCACATCCGATGTCTGGCCCCGAAATTTCAAGGATGCTGTTCCGCGTAATTCAGCAGATCTCGACAAAAAGCATGGGGAAAGAAAAAAAGAAAAAAAAAAGAAAATAATACAGATCTTTGATTAATTAAAACTCATCGACCGACTTAACGCGGGGCAGTCCGCGTGGAGAAAAAGGGACACGAGGGTCTATCCGTGGAGTTGAAATTTCCCAGGGGATGGACCACGTGGTCCCTTGCAGCTGCATCAGGAAATTGGCTGTCCCTCTCGTTATCGAAAAAGTGTCCAATTTATACCGCCGGTTGACGTCGGATCGACGCTAATCGGAGGCGCTAAAGAAACGTCTGGTCGACGGTTTTGCGGTACCAACGCCGGGACGTTTACCCAGAATGTACATCATGGTGAAGCAGTTGTCGAAGGCCAGGCCTACGAGGAATCGGCAGGCGGAAAACTGCCAGAAGTTGGTGGCGAAGACGGTGGCGACGCCGGCCAGGAAACCCGCCATGTTGGTACCGACCAGAGCGGGAATTCTGCCGTACCGATCGGCGATCCATCCGAAGATCAGGCCCCCGAAGATGGCGCCCACGAAGAACACGCTCTGCGCGAGGGACGGCAATGCGGCCTTCTCGCAGACCCACTCGAGCTGAAACGAGGAAGACAAATCGAATCCATGAATGTCAATGAAAAGCCGACTGTCCGATAGAAAGCCCTCCAGACCTTGAATTTGGAAACCGCCGATTCGCGACGCTTGGCTCTTTGTCAACACGCGCCGGTTCCACATGACTCGCTGGACCAGCGGACCCTCGTCGTGTCGAGGTGTCAACCAGTCATGCCGAGTTATCGAAAGTGCAAACTGACAGGGAACAGAGTATTTCGTTTTCCTGGACTGTCATTTATGCGAACATGCCAGACCGTGCGGATGCACGGGAGGAGAATTCCTCCTCCTCTTCAATTTCCACCCCGAGACAGGAACATTCATTGAACCAAGGAAATCTTTTATTAATTCAAAGAATAATCACTTGACTTGAATAAATTATCATAATTCCAAAGAGGTGTAGCGTTCAATTTATTCCAGTTTATTCTTTGAATTAACGATACATTTCTCTGGTTCAAGGATACTACTTTTATTTTCTTTCTCCCAGTGCACGTCTTTCAGGCACCATCCATCGAGCGGACCCTTCAAATCCGAAGATATCGGAAATTCTTCCGAATAATTATTGATTATGTCGTTAAAAGTATGGAAGGTGTAGGAAAAAATGCGGAAAAGAAACAGGGTTTTCGTTCGAGTGTCAAGTAAGGCGAGAAAATAATTATTACGGGCCGCGGACCTAATGAGCAGCTTGAGTAAGCTTTTTTTCCCGATTTTTAATCGTCACTTTGGTTGTCAGGACGGTGATTACGCGCAAGTAATTAAATGCACGTGATTTTAAGCGCAGTTCATTGTCGGTACGACGCGACATTATCAATCGAGTGCCAAAATGCATTTATTGGAGCAATTGCATTCGTTTGACATGAGAATTGAATTATCGCGAGGTACGTCTCTTTTTGGCTGATTTACGGTAACGACTTGTATTGAAGCAATTTTCAAGGGATATCTTGCGAAGAGATTCAATTTCTACCACGGTGTTATTTATCAGAGATATTTAATTAAGGCACAGGTTAGCAGCAAATTCGCCGATTGTTTCATTACGAGCGAATCGCGCGTAATAACCGTGCTGCCAATTCTCTTCGTTCGTAGGCAGTCATTATCCACCTTACGGTACGCTACTTCTTCACGGATTAATTATTGCCTCACGAAGCCGTCATTACTTTCCAACATGCCCACTCACCTCGGTCGGCATGGTAAAGCAAGGCGAGATCGAGCTATTACTTTTCCTCTCGGTGCATTCTACCATCGCGAGTCAATCGCCTATTTATACATCCATGCAGCCGTTACTTACATTACCGCAATTTCCCCAGCATCGGATGTGCTTACAGAATTTCCAACGACAATGAACACCGTCTACCTTCGCGAATTATTGCCTCATAATTCTGTCATTCCCCCTCGATATACGAAATCGTCCCCGCGATATAATGCAAACTTATCTGCATATTTCACCCCTCGGTAATTTTTATCGTCGAATCTTTTAACACCGAGAAAAAATTCTTATGGAATTTTTTCTTCCTAATTTAAGGTCCTGAAATCGATAAGTGCCTCAGGGAATTGTCATTACTTTTCAGCATGTATTGACAAACGATCGTCCCATTATTTTGTCATTACAGGTCGATTTGCGAAATCCTCTCGGCGGTGCAATGGGAAATTATCTCCTTACCTTACGTGCTTTAGCCCTCGATATGTTTTAACAACGGCGCTTTTGTATTAAGGAAAAATTAGTCTTAATCGATTTTTTTTTCTAATTTTAAGATTCGAGGACTGGGAGTGTCACGTGGAACTATTATTACTTTTTAGCATGCGTTGACAAAGGTTGTCTCGTTATTCTCTCATTACGGGTCGATATGTGAAATCATCTGTGTGACGCTATAGGGAGTTATCTATTTATCATTATCCTTTACATACTTTATCCCTCGATACGTTCGGCGTTTTTATATCGAGGAAGAATTAGGTGTAATGGATTTCTTTTCTCTGTCTTTAAGGGCCGCGCGTTTCTTCGCGAATCGGCAAGTGTCTCATTAAACTATCGTTACTTTCCAACATACGGACTCACCTCGGTCGACACGGTGGAGTAAGGCAAGTCCGTGAAATTAAATTCCCAGCCGTGTCGGCATTTCTCGGTCGGCCAGCTCAGATTGGCCGTGGTGATCCCGCTCTGAAGTACTTCCGTATAGTTGATCGCGTACATAGTGCACCTGGAGTATTCCTTGGTGCTCTCTTCGCCCTCCGCAGCTGGTGGAATTGCCAGGGCTATTCTGAAAGTGAATTCATAAGTCGCGGCTCGTTTAAATCCTGTCGATCGCGCTCTTGGAAAACATTCCCCATAGATCGATATAATTACCGCCACCTGTTAGCCCGATCTTCTTCCCATAGGAAATTACCACGGTGTGCTGAGATTTTCGAGCTGGCTGATGAAGAACAATATAGAGAAAATAAATCAGCCCCTTTTTCGAGGAGATAAAACGCATCTCGGGTCAAAACCAAATCCCGGAGACACGGATCCCTCATTCCCTGGCACCCGGCGTTCTGCTCTACCTTTTCCTCCGTTTCTTTCCCCAACATGTGGGATAGGGTTTTTTTTTCCCCCATAATCGCGACCGTCAATTTGACAGAATCGATTACCTTTTTGCCGCGCGGAAAAAGTTTAGACCTGCCAGCAACACGGTGGCCGTACTCATTACGGTTGCCTTAAAAGATCAAGTCCACGTTGCAAGGAGTACATTGCAAATGCGGGAATATTTTTCCCTAGATTTTCCAGAACCCTAGCTGTGCAGAGTTTCCCCGTGCGGGGGTCGTACGCGAAACTAAAATACGACCCTTCAATTTCTATTAATGCTTCCCCGCTGCTCGGCCTCACTAATTCGCGAAATTCCGGACGGAATGAATTTCCTGCGGTGCAAAAAGTAACGAACGAGGGGACATATCTCGGAGGTGCTTTTCGCGGAATGTATCTACCCTCGTTTTTAATAACTTCCTCGACAAATGGAAGCCGCAGCGTTTCGTGCAGTTCTGCAGGTTCTCTGAATTTTAGGAGATCCTTGGAGTCGCCGAGCGGTTTCCGGAAACTCCTCCCTCGCTCCTGCGTAGGGCCGATCTATAAAACGAGGAATCTACGTCCTCGACAAATTCCATGTAGATTATTTCCCCTCGTTGGCCAGCCAACGCGACTTCGAGAAGGTCAGTCCTAAGAAACTAAATCAGGCCGACAGGACTAACCTCGCACGCATGTGCGTACGTGCGCGTAACGCGATTTTCCCAGTTTTCTTGTCGGACCTAACGAACTGTTAATCGTATCGCCCCGATATATCTGCAAATGCCCGCTTTTATTTCACCTGTCGTGTCGGCATTTCTGTACCGCACCCACGTGTCGTATAGAGGAAGAGAAAAACAACGGCCGATAAAAAAGAAACGTCAAAGTCTGAGGAAACCACGTGTCAAGGATTAGAACGTCGGAGGATAACTCTTTTCCTTTTATCTTTTTTTCTTCTCAGTCTTGCAAATTGCAGTTATGTTCATAAATCGGGGAATTCAGTTAACGTTGTCCTTTGCATCGACATGGATTTATTAATTGAAATGCAACTTTTTATTGGATAGTTTTTTGGTAGGTGGCGGAGATAGATATGGGGTACGGGGGAGGAAATTTGGATGAAAAAAGTAGGAATGTACATTGTAATTGCTTGTAGGGAGTGCTTTGACACCGAATAAAGGTGTTGATTTTAGCCCCGCAATTTTTTTTTATGGCTAATGTCGATCTGTTTAGCGCCTTCACATTTTTTACGGCGCGTTGCAGCTGCAATTCTGACGCACCCTGAATTGCCCTTTCCACATAACGGTGAACATATGCATGCCAGTGGACTTAAACGTAACGTTATGTCGAAACCGAAGTACGCTAGTATTTTTCGCGTTCACGCTCTCATTGCCGCTGTGAAGGTTTTTCACGACGAGCGTTCATTATCTGCCATCGGTACGAGCCCATTTTACAGACTGATGATGCGTGCACGATTGGCTGGTTCATGCTAAATTTATGCATGTCGATCCTTCGGCGAATTTGCAAATATATCGATTTATTGCTGGATTAAAAGCGAGTCCTGCCAAAGCACTCCAGTCTTCAAAAGCCGCACCTTTCTCCATTCCTTGACGATCTTTTTTTTTTTCCACGCGGCATCATTAAAAAGAAAAGTCATTTTAAAATTACGAAATTAGCATTTTGCCAATGCCTTGAAAGTAGATGACTCAAACAGTGCTTCTCGTTGGGAGTAAAAGAAGCATGAGAAATTGTTAATGGCCAGTGCATTATTCACCAATTTGATGACTCATCTTACCATCATTCGTTCGTTTCAACCTTTGACTGTTTTTTTGTTCCTTTTTTTCAACCCGTGGTTAACAATTAAACCAAATTATGGCCAGTTTCTCGAGCTCCGGACGGAAAAGTCTGGCGGAGATTTTTAGCGCGGGTAATAATTAATGGCAATCGCAGCGACAATTAGGTATGACCTTTTCTGAAAATCACGTGACAATTATCTGGAAGCATTTTTTTCTTTTCTGGTTTCTTTTGTATGTACAGTTCTTGCCTGCCGATTCCGAGTATCGAGCGCAAATCGATTTTCCATTTGCGAGTGCGAGGTTTATTCCAGAGATTCTAAATCCCTGGGATATACTCGACAGAATTTATCGGGATAAATAAGATTGTGAGAGGATCGAGCATTCGGGATCATTGGAAAGATCAAGGATCTCTTGCAATAACAGTTACAGCGAAGCGAAGGAAACGCGTCAAAGGAGTAAAGAAAAATCTGCAATCGAACACCTGAGATAGTCTTTCGATTCCCGATTAAATATGTCGTTATTATATAATATTCTCGTTTATAATAATTACGGGCATAATCATTGAACCATAACTAGGTCTACTGAACATCGCAAGAAGTGAAGGGCATAATTATTTAAAGTCAAATGTCGTTTTACAGAAATTTCGGTAATTTTTACGAAAAGTGGAGTATTGGGTAATGCACGAAAATTATGTCACGTTATGTTTACGTAATTTTAACGGAAAATCGTTCCCAAAGAAGGTAGACGAACTTTTATTTCGTACGATTCAATTGTCCGTTAAATATGTTTTGCCTATAAAAATCTCCGCCACCGCAATCACAGTTATGCTACAATAAATGGCCATTTTTCTTACGCGTCGGTTTGCGGCAATTAGGGTCTGTTAAAAAACCGGACAAGGTGCCAACAGTATTTCGCTGAAGTATGGCCTTAGTAAAGTGGCTAGTCCTCGACCTTAATAATGGATGACTATAATACCTTGTATAAAGAGTGTGCTGGTTTAAGCCTGATTTTACAACATATGATGGATGCTAAATAGTTTCCAAGTCATTACTGCAAAGATTCCAGTTAATAGTCCGCCTCTTTACGTGTCATTAACACGTAATCTAATGGACATTAAAGGCTCAAGTCAGATCCCTACTCAAGGTATTCATTGTAAAAATTGAAAGTCAATACCTTTATTATTTTTATCTTCACGCGATAAATAACACCTAATTTTCAAAACGTCGTAGAAAGTCGCTGAAATGGTTCCGTATTTTCTATCAATCATTAAACTCGACGCTAATCATAAAAAAATTAAATTGCTCTACTTCGTCACATGTTAATTAATTAATCCGACTCGGGTTAAAGGTCAAGGCATTCTAAGGTGAAGTGTCACGGAAGCAGATGGAAAATGCTCGTTTTTGTTAGGAAGTTCATAAATCCTGAAACGCATTAAGATTTTCCTCGCTGACGAGCGTGGAAAATGTGCACGAACATGTTGAAATTCTTCTTTGGAAATAAATTAACAGCACGTACACATTAATTATAACAATTGAACGGCCACGTGCTTTCGTTAGAGAAAAAAAAAAGTAACGAGGATTAATTATTTTCAATAGCTCTCGGCATAAATCTCGTGTGCACGTAGTAACTGGTCTTTGAAAAATGATGCAGAAAAATGAACAATGGTGATCCACTTAGCCTTGGCCTTATTGGATGACAGAGCACCTAATCCGTAGAACCTTATTTTAGTGCGAGGAGTATGTCAGATAGGGACTTAGCAGGTAATTCCACTAGGGAGTAACTAGACGCTGCATTCATGCTCTTACTGCCATTTCATGCAACGATCATTAGGCTGAAATGCATTCCGTGAATGAAATCTGCAACACCCATAAAGTACTCTTTCTCGGCTCTAATTGGACCAGAAGGGGGGGCCAACCATGACCATTCTCAATGAATAAACGCCGATTAAGTGTCGATTAAATGCTTTACTCTGATTCTCGTGGCACGTGAATTACATAAGTCAATTTCAAATGCCAGGGAAGAAACATACAAAAATAGAAAAAGCACTGGAACTATTTTTCAGAATTTTAATTATACATATTAGAGGATGATCGAGATGTCGGAAAGATTTCGGATTTTATTGTTTAACTTAAAAGTGTTCTCATTGCGAGACAAATCCGTTGTACTGTTCGAATTCGGCCGGACAGCCGAGAAATTGGTGCCGGAAGTGTCCCTGACTCGAATGCTCACAAAACCATTTGATCAGAACTATTGACTCAAAATATGACTGCAGTCAATCTCTCCGATTCCTCTGAAGAATAATTTTCTGTAACGCCACTCGAGACAATGAAGTTACATAGATTAGCATGGATTATGCAAAGCCGAGGTTGGCTTGGATCACGGAAGAGTGAGCGAGCATTCAGTGACAAAGGCCGGTGCTAATTAGTCCGTCTCGCGAGCACCATGAACTATGAATCTATTTAACGATCTGGTACACAGGATTGAATTGCGTCTCGATGATGACATTATTTCGAAGCTTTCATCAGAGATTATTAAAAATACATGAGAATTTTTCCGGGAGATACCATAAATGTAAAAATTAGGATAAATAGACTGGCGGAAATTGCGCAGGGCAATCCATTGTTTCCTGGACGTGTTAATCAATTGTTCCACCTCCAATATTATTTAACCCCCTTATTTTAATTTCATCGATTGATTCATTGAAATTAATTCGACACTTTATAAGGCTACCTTTTGTGCGAACTCGTAATTATTTATCCGCCTGATATACAAATTACTTAGTAGTAATTTCGTCAATTTCGACGATATGTAAAGAGTGGAGTAAGTCTTTCCAATCTTCGATGTTACGGGAGCTTAGGAGTGAGGGACTATTTTAAAATATTTAAAATAATAGGAGCTAACTGTCGACGTAATTGTTTGCAATTAGAGGATGTTTTACCGGACTCTGAATGGCAGGGAAAAAATACAGGTGCTCTCACCTTTGCGCCATCGTCAAGTTCTCCAGCTCGGGAATCCTGCACCAATGTTCTTCAGGGACCAGAGTGATGAATATTTGCGAAAAGTAGACCCAAGCCACGAAACACGCGAACGGGATCATCAGGATGAACAAAATCTTCTGGTAGACCCCGAATTCCCCAATGTGTGGCAAAAGATCATCGAAATCCAGGTTCTTCTCATCTTTCGACGAGATCGGAGGCTGAGACGGGCAAATTGTCTCGCAGGCACTCGGTGCCAAACTCGGGCAAACGTTGTCATTGTCATTTGACAGACAATTCGGCACGGTGGTTTCGAATTTCTCCTGCGGAGGCATCCTCGACTTTCCCTGATTTCCCTTGATTTCCCTCTCAATTTCCTCGATTACTCCTAATTTATTTCCACTGATCTTCCTGCCACTCGGTCACTTTGAAAATCCCTGCTCGCGGTACCTCTTCACCTTCTGTGCCACGTGCGCGCACAAAACTTGTGGAAAAAAATATGCAGGGTAGATAAACCTTAACGTTGCTCCGCTGAGTACAGATACGACCGGTAATTAAAATTCTGATATGGAAATAAAAATTCCTAGGTCTCCGAAGACATGGTGTCGGATGGACCCTGAAGTGCTCCGGAATAATTGCACTTTGAAAAATTGGGGGTCACAGGTCACTCCCGCGGGTTTTGGACTCGACGGGAGATTGTTTAAACAAATGTGAGAGGACCACTAGGCTAGCCCTTAAAAAAAAGCGGGCAAATCCTAGCGCAGAAGCCAATACTGAAACGGTTCGCTGAGTAGCTGGCTATATAGGCATCCGTCAGAAGACTCCCCTCCTAAGTTGCTGTTCTTTGGAGAACACAATTCAATGTTTTCTCGATGGCATTGAACGCTGCGTCAGTCCTACTGTTAACTGTTAACTTCTGACGAGATTTGCCATTATCTTCCGCGATCGGGAGATCGGGATGACGTACCGATGGGTCCTTGAGGGTTTTTGACGATAGAAAGTATGAAAAGAGTAGCGCAAGCCGTGGCTTATGATTTTCAACATGGTTGACCGATTCCTCGAATAGTATCGAAGACGCTCCCGTATTCTACGATAAGATGACTATGGCACGTATCGGTTATCACGAATCGTAGATCGTCTAATAGAAGTTCGATAGTCGATATAAATTTCCGATCGAGTCGAGGCTAAGGTGGGGGATACGTATCGGCGCACCTCGACCGCAAAAATGTCCGCTGTAGACACAAAATCCTTTTTATCTCCTGTCTAAATTAGTATGTCTAACTTTGCCGGCAAATATTTGCCAGTGTCTCTTGAAATGGAACGGCTTTGAAAATCTCACGACTGGTTTTTCTCGAGGTTTATCCGCGACCTGGCTACCAGAGTGACCGGGTCCAACAATCTTCACCTATCCAATAAAATGAATAAGATTTAACGATTAAAACAATGTCGCGATAAATGAATTCCCCCTGGATACGACAAGTCCTTATGTCAACCACCCGATACCCGATCAGCTGATTTCTCAAGTCCATTCTTTTCCGTAGCTCTCGTTGCACCCGTTCCATGTACTGCAACCATATATCGCATTACCCGGCTCATTCTGCACCGTGGACTTTATATGTACTCGAGTTTCAGTAAATGATAGTTAAAATTAAAGCACACGTTAAGCCCCTTTAACAACCGCGTCCGTGGTAGTAAACGAGTCGTTCGATAGCAAATAAGCCGGGATTTTTTCTCCCATTTGCTGGGAGCCGGTAATTGAATAATCATCTCCACGTGTCTGAAAATAAACCCTGCATGAATTATGTCGTTTTTCGCCAAGGTCCTTCCCCCGCAGGACTACAGGACTCCAGGATGTCGTAGCCCATAAATCCTTCCAGCGAACGCGCGTCATACTCTGCCCTCGCACTCGTAAAATGGATCTCTCCATTCAGACTAAACTGTCCAATTACACCGAGCTGGAAAAACTTCCGGAACCGATCGCTCGGTTTCCCTTTCCTGCGATTTCCCGCGTCATCGAGAAAACCGCAGACCTGCAGAGGTTCGCCCAGCTGTTTAACCGCACTTATTCCGCACCCACTTTCGGCCGGTGTTATTTCGCCAGAGCTTTTGTTCGTTACACTTTCCCGACTGGAAAGTCTAATGGAATTTCCAATTCGATTACCAAGAGTGCTATTCTCCTACCTGTGCCTTATGGGAAACTGTCCCAATCACCTGTTACCGCGAGAAACTAGTTAACACGAGTGTAAGAGGAACTCGTGCGTTTTCCACCTTGGAGCGGTGTTTAATTATTTTAAGCCCCGATACCCTGATTAGAGATCCCCTACTAAGGAATACCTGGGGTAAACCTCCGATAATTACGATCAATTAGACTTTTAATCAATGTCTTGTGGAACAATCCTGAGAAATGAATACACCAGTGAGCTCTTCGTCCTGCAAGCTACCGATTGCGCAATTCAGGTTTACCTAACGTTTCACTCTCAAAAATCTGCGGTCGGTTTTTACATTGACATGCGATGTTAATTATATTCCACCGGGTACAGCGTGAATTAATCATGATAACCCGGGATATGTGATCATTGACCGTAGTTATTTATGTTGAAATCTGTAATTATGCAGCCGCTGATTGCAAAGCAGATCTGTGTCGATGCATTATGCACCCTGGAGGTAAACGCCCTCTGATTATTTTATTTTTTCTCCTTTTTTCAGGGAATCTAGTCCAAGGGATTTTCTTTTAACCGAAGAAATTATTCATTTTCATTGTTTCAGTTGCTTTAGGATTTTATATTGCTCGTGCATTTAAATCCATTCCGCGATTCGGACGGAAATTCTTCGGCCGACATTGGTGTCGTTTACTCGATCGTTTAACTCGAAGGTTTACACAACACATTTCTCCGATTTAATCGCACATGTCATGGACATCCGCCTGCTTGGGACTTGCCATGCAAATGCAAGGAGTTTATGAAACTCCGGCGATTCTTCGCGATGCACCGATGCGCGAGACGGGTCTTTGCAATTTCTTCGAAAGAGGGAAAAACATTGACTCGAGGCATGCATCAGAGAGTATTCTTTCCGGTGTAAACCGGGAGAAAAAAGAAATACCTTCTCGGTTTAACTCTTATCGATATCGATCCGTAGATCTAACAATAGCATTCCGTTACGATAAAGAATTCCTCCGAGACTATTGTCCCTGCAATTGAACGCAGCGATAATTCCGCGTAATAAATCGCATTCGTTGTCCGAACAAACTTAGAAGCATAAAACAATTTCCCATAGTTTCCCGCAATTTCCGCAATACCCTGCTTATTATCGCGGTACGATATTTAGATTTTTCCGCGTGCCTCGATGAATTTAGATCGCGTTATGGTACGATAAAGGCCGACGATGGAATTCTGCATCGAGGAATACGATTTCCTTTTCAGGCTCCCTCGCCGATTAAAAATTCCTCTGGTGCAGCGATACTCTGAAGGCTCCTAATTACGGGTATCAAACGCAGGAAACATGTAATCCCGTCTCGATAATTCAAGGAAGCTTCAAGGCGACGCGAAAGAAATTACGGCCTCGGAGGTTGCTCTGGATGCTCGTTAAATGCACCGAAAATTAAAGATAATACAAAATTGGAATTTCGCAGAACATCGTTCGGTCGATTAATTACAGGTCGACGATGGGCCTTTATGTATATTATTTTCTTTTTTGTCGGATATTCTTCGATCTTTATCTATTTCGGAGATTCGAGTACTTAGAGTGTCCGTCAATCGCAGATTTGCCGACAATGCGTTGTCAGCGTCCCTTTGATAATTAATAGCCGTTTACAATCAATACCGATAAATGGGTCAATGATATCTGGTTCGCCCTTGGCTGTCAATCAATCGCAGGATGACTCTTCCACCTGTCTCAGTCGTCCCAGTTGTCTCGGGAACAGGTGAATGGACAATGGAGCCGAAGAAGCAAGGAAACGCAAAGGGGCCGCACGAGCTGGCCGGATCGTGATCTAGATCACAGGTGATAGAGCCGCTTCCTGTAAATTGTGCAAGACATCGCTATTGCTCGTTACGAGACCGACGAAGGCCAAATCTCAGCCCGAGGTCGTTTCCAGCATTATCGGCCAATTATGCGATCTTTCGATTAATCAAATCCGAGCCGATCGGCTTGTTGTCTTTCCGCGTGCTCGGGAACTGCGGAAGCGGCTTAACCGCTACACGTGTGCGGACAAACAATCATTAAACAAATCTCACCTATTAATCATATCCCCCTGGGATCTTTTTAACCCCGGATATAAACCAGTGATATGCAAAGGAATTATTAAATAAATGTTAATAATCTTTTTTTGTAGGAATTCCATGAAAGAAAAAAAAGAGCTGGAATTTCCTCACAAACGATGCAAGTATGTACTTCATTACCGGTGCATCGGATCGGATAAAAAGATATATTTAAACGAGGGGCAGGTAGGATTTCTTTTTTTTTTTGTTTAAAGGTAATAGATATTGGTAAAGAGGATGCAGCTTACTCACAAACGATACCGTTATGCACTTCATCGGCAGTTGCATCGGCGATCGTCGTTACGTGCTAATCGCGCAATCAATCGTGAAAGGTGTTGAACACTTGTACATTTATTCATGCAATCTGGGATTCTTTCGAGCTCTTCCGGCGTGGAGAACAGCCGCATTCCGAGGACATAACCATTTTATAAAGATATTTGCTTACCAACGACACCGTAACACCCTTCATTGCACGTTACGCCGACGATTGCGTTTACGTGCGCGAATCGTAAAAACAATCGTAAAAGGGATTTTAATATAGCGGGGGACGTGCATTCCCAGGTGTAAATGTGTTTTTTGTAGATTCTATGGGAACCCTCTGTTAACAAATGATAGAAACAATTTTTTTTTTTTTAATAAATTCTCATTGTCTGGCCACGATCGTACCTCACCTACTGGCAGATTTAACGTAAGCGAATTTAAGAATGAAAATAAACGCGGGTTTAAAAATGTATTTACAGCGTAGGACTATAAAGAGAAGAATTTGAGAAAATTTTCGATTTACTTGGAATTCAGAATTTCCGAGCAAGTGGCCATTCTGTGAGGAGGAATAACGATTATTTACACACGATACCGTTATCCTCTCCGTGTGGAGTTACGTCAACGATTGTCGTTACATGCGTGAATCATAAAATCAGCCGTAAAAGGAAATTGAACGTAGCAAGCGATCGAGCATCCTTTATCGTAAAGCCTCAAGCTGCAACTCAATGAGCCCCGAATAGATTTATATTCAATCGACGTGCACTTGCAGCCGTGCATTTATAGATTTCGTAGGTAGGTACGTACGCGGCATGCGCGATTTAATGGTAGAAATTATCGTCAATGTCGGAGGGAGTTCCTAGAGGCCCCAGCCGCGACGATAACGATAGTAGACCGCTTATCATCGAAATCGTTATGAATGGGAGCAACGGGAGCAGGACCGTATCCGGAAATAACCTCGAGGCACTCGTACGAGCATTCAAGCATTTCCTCTAAATCCGCTACTTTGCCGGGGAAAGAAAAAAAAAAAAACCATGCCTGTCAAGTCATACCCCAGACGGGCCTGTTAATCGTGACAATTCGCGAATGAATCAACCGGGAGAAAAAGTGCTGATAAACGAGACTTGAAAATGAAATGGAACAAAAAAATCCGGGAAAAAGTGAACCAGGTGGCAGCTGACAAAGCCCGTTATGTCTAACAATGTGGCGTAATAATAGACACATTGATACGTATTTCTTGATGTAATTTTCAGAAAAGATGCTCGCGTGGATTAAAACGTTTATAAATATTTTCTCTCGGACAAAAGAATATTCTCTTCTCAAGAGACGGTGGGAAGAGCTGATGTTTTTTTTTTTCATATTTCTCGAGAGTTGGACAACATTCACGGTTAATCAGTTAAATTCTCCGAGTATGACGTTCGAGCTGTCGCACATTTTCCCGTCCTACGAGGCGATAAGGACATGTTCGGTAATGTTTATCTTCATTTTTCGATTAATTTTAATCTGCCTGCTGCGGGCTAGAGCACGTTTCAGTGCCATCGTGGAAACATGTCGTCGGATTATCGACATGCAAGCGTAACAGAAGGCGTCAGGCAGTTACGTGCCACTTGCCGATAACAATTTCTCAAACAATTAGCGGATAATCAAGCCTTTAACTACGCACGAATTTAATGACGTCCTGACGAGGTTTCAGTATTACGCGGTCCGGAAATTTATCACGTTTTATACTACTTAAGATTTCCCGCTTTCGTTTAAAATAAAGTTGCTTCTCCTTCGTATTCATGTAATGTACCATTTTAAAGGACAAATTTCGTTCTACATTTTGATAAGAACAATTGTGTTTCAAATATTCATTTCTTCTTTTTTTTTTTTTCATCAACCTCTTAACTTACAATATCGTGTGAGAGACGTGGTAAATCAATCGGGCCAAACGTGAACAAAACGTGTGAGAGACGTGGTATGTTAATCGGGCCAAATGTAAACAAACCGTATGAGAAGTTACGTTCAGCCAAACCGTGAAATGGCCCGATGTATGACCGACACTTTTGTTGTTTATGGCACGCGCTATTGGAATTTAAATCGTAACGCAAGGGTGTAAATAATACATCTTACAATTCAAGAAACGCTATCGCGCCGAGTGGGATTCATCGACATAAAATAAACAAAGCGCTATCGCGCTGTTTGGGTCTTCTCGTACTCATTTAGAGAAAGCGCGGTTGCGCTGTTCGGGATTCTTCGACAGTTTTTTCAATACCCCCTAGGACTCAAACGGTTAATGAAAAGCTATAAATAAAGTGAAAAATTATTTGAAACAGAATTTTTGCCGCGGAAGTGTCGAGCGAAGTCTGCACTCTAAAACGATATGTTACATGAACGTAAGGGAAAAGCGACTTTATTTTAAATATAGTGCGTTTCTTTAATTTCATCTTTAATAGAAAAAGAAATGTTAAATGTGCGATTACTTTCCGGACAATTTAATACGGGGTTGACGCAGACGTCGCGACGACAGGCGTTACCTTTTCCGATTGATCGGAATTGTCGTAACGAGCTTGCGCGTTATTCCGTAAATGTGCACGTCGCAATTGACGTTATCACGCGAGACAGAGCGACGACCGATGTTTATATGTCGTCTGCATGCGAGCCTTCATGAACGCTCCTGGGGCCGTGAGAAAACCTGTAATTGTCCGCGAATCAACAATGACACATTCGTCCCTCAATTGGCAATTACACCTCCCGTTAATTGTCTTTAATACTGCGTGCTGGATAGTTCGAAACGACGGACCGGGGAACTGGAGTTATTCTCTGGAACGAACCTTACAGGTGAGTCATGCAATTACATTGGATTGCAGTCTTGTCGGTATCCTCAACTGGACTTAAAAAATGCACCTATCCCAGCTGATGAGTCCTTTGTTCGAAAGAAAAGAATTCGCGCTCTTCGGAATTCCGGGCAAGTGCATTTCTTCCGTCAAAGACGATAAAATACTCATGTGTAATGACAGATAGTCATTGCACAACTGATATTAGAAAATTCTATTCAAAATAACTCGATGGATAAATTCGAATCATATTATTTTTACTTTCTCAACCGATGAATCCTTGGCTCGAAAAAAAGAATTCCCGTTCCTCCGAATTTCGGACAGGTGCATTCCCTTCGTCAGAAACAATGGAGTACTCATCCGTAATTACGGATAATTATTGCACCTGTGAAATTAGGAAATAGTATTCGATAAAATTCGATGGCTGAATTTGAATCATGTTAAATCATTTTTATAATTACAAACATAGTAGATTGTACATAGAACATTTGGTTTAATTGTTGAGCGCGAAATCCAGAATACTGATAAAGATGCGAAAGCTCTGCACAGAGAGGCCACTTCGGGAATTCGTAATCAGACTTCGGTCTAACCGAGCCGTTGCTTGTCGGATTTTACGAAGCGACAATCCGGAGGACGTATGCAAATGCTCGTTAAAAGTTTTCTCGAAATCGCCCGAGGAGGCCGAATCGCTCTCGGTCGGTGAGAAGCTTAATTCGCAGCGAAGCTCGCTAATGCTTCATGTGGAACTTAATAATTAATAGCGAGAACCGCCCTAAGAAGGCCAAGTCTACAAACACGGGAACTTTTACTGGGCTAAACTTCGAGAATCTCGGTCGCCTTTTTCTACTTAGACGCTTCTATATTTTGCCGAACGGAAGAGGGTAGGATCGATGCTCGTTAAAATTCCCTTCGGAATCCACGGGTCAGCTGGATTGTTCCTCATCCATGAACAATTACTGGATAACCGGTCGCTAGCTCGGGAAAAATAATTGGAAGCGACAATCGGATGCAGATCCATCCCTAACATGCGGGAATAAATTTTCGTCCAATGAACTCTCCGTTTCTTTTGGAGATCCGCGAAATTAATAAAAAGTACAATAATTCTCCCTTCATTTAGAGGTTCGCAGCTTAAGCCTCCAATGAAGCATTTATTCCGACTTCGAATTTTCTATTTTCACGGCGTAAACTATTTCTTTCGTGTTGCATAACCGGATTCGTTTCCGTAAATGTACTCGGTCGATCTCGCCATTGCCGCGTTGCATTTGGCGTGAAACTCCGTCGAGTTCCCGGCTCAGAAAGTCGGTCGAATTGCCATAAAAAATGCCGGAGTTACCCCACAACTAGTAGGTCTACGTGTGGACAGACACTTTTTATTTATTTACTTCTTTATTCCTTTCATGGCTCACCGTACACAACACGTGCCCTTGCCAAGTGTGGAATCGTGATCGGAGTTGTCGATCGCTCGACATATTGACATGCCAAGTTAGCTCGACACGTAGCTAAAAAATCGCACCCAAGAGAACTGTTATCTTTGAAACGAGAAAAAGAAATGTTTAACATGCTCAGAATAAGTTAACTTGTCTGCGATTAAAAGCAATATTTAAAAAAAAAAAAAAATCAAGGAAAAGTGGTTCCGAGTCTTGAAAATAAAAATATAGTAAATTGGTCGGGCCTCTCGGTGTAACAATGCCGCAGCAGCAAAAGACAAAAAAAAACTGCGAAAAAAATGCGGATCTGACATTTATTGACAGGATTATCTCGAGGCAGTGACGGCGAGTAATGAAAGGCATATCCTGAAGGTAATCTACTTTCCGCGAAACGGTAAGTACTATGTAAACTATACCCGCCGCTCACTTCCTTATTGTCAAATGACCGATAGTTTCACAATAATGATATCGATAAGCCGTTTGCAGAGATTTCATTCGTCCTTGCGTCATACCGAGGAATAATTGCGGATCCGTCTTAATTGCGAGGAACGTTTATCGAAACGGTCATGAACACTGAACACTGCAAGGGGTCATAAAACTGCAACATATGTGTGCTAATTTAGGTATAATTAATTTGCAATATGAGTTCTCTACGTGAGACATTTTTTCTGAATTCGAATTATGAACGATTACCGCTTTTTGTGAAATGATAATTTCCTAGTCTATCATAAAAGACACGAAGTGAGCATAGAATGGTTACACGCGTATTCCATTGTAGGTATATTTCTTAAAGTACATACAAAACGTGTTTAAACTTTTAGATCTCTGCTTTTAGCAAGTAATCTTATCGCTAATAAATGATATTCGGATGATAACAGTTTTAGCGGAAATCCATCGTCTCGGCTGATTTATTTTTTCGTTCCGGCGATTTTGGAATGATGAGTCGCTGCTGAGATCAGCCATTCCTCTACTTTATTTGCATTTCTCTTCAGCCATTTTATGTTGTTCGAAACAGTCTCCAAAGCTTGAGCTCTGTATGACACTCCGGCTCCTGCTTCCGGATACTTTGCAAAGAATGCTTTCATCTCGTCCCGTCTCAGCTCGGTTGAGAATGTTTTCGTAATAGCTGGAATCAGCTGACCCAAGTATCGATCGTTCAGGGTGTACCTGTTGACAAGTTTTTCCCAGTTTTCGCGAAGCCAATCCCAAACTAACGGTGTGCCAATGGGATTGGATGATATGACTTGCAAGCATCCAAAGAAATCTTGAGCTCGAACGTAAGTCTCGTCGAAGGCGATGTTTATAAACCTGAAGAAAAAGAAGAGCGTCAATATTTGTTTAAAATCACGGTTGAATTGAAATGATTTAATTTGTACCTGTTTAAGACCCAGGCTGAGCGGATTCCAGCCAACCCACGCATTAATTTCAGCTTCTCGTTCGAGTCCTTTTCGTTGACGAACCTCTGGAACATGATCTCCCATGCGAACTCGTCACCCACGTAGTTCATTCCTGAACAAATGACGTATCATAATTAAAGTTACCGATGAAAATACATTTTCAACGAGAACGAAACTTGCCATAATAGTAAACCAAGGCCCGTATGTCAGGAGGAGGTCGTACATCACTGGAGTGGTGTATCCAGGAACTAAACATTTTCTGCACTTCATTAAGACAGTTCTGATGTCCTGCCAGGCAAGCCAGATTCAGAATAACCGTTCGTAATGACCTACGGGAAATTATGGAATAAATACATTTTTTTTTTTTAAGATTATACGTATCCCTATACTCACAAAGTCGTGAAGCTATCATTGGCTCCGACAGTCCACAAAACTTTGTGGTACGCAACGTCCACAGTTCTCCTCATGTATTCCTGTAAAGTGGTATGTGGTAAAGTGTTAGGGTAATTCCTGTTAGGGGTAAGCCGAAGGGTAGATTAACGTGTCTGAAAAAAATTCTTACTCGGAACATAGGAGACACATTGGTAGAGAAAAGGAGCTTATCCATGAATATTAATTTCGTAGCCGCAACACTCCAAGGGACGGGATGATTCTCACGAGGTAAGTAACTCGTAATATCCATCGCAATCGTGTAGTCCAATTCTCCAGCCTCGGCCAAGCTGAACGCATCTTCCAGCAGACTCGTTCTATCTGATGCAGTCAATGTCTGAAAGAAAAAGGAAAAATGAATTATGTATCGAGAATTTGTTGGAACGAATTTGTGTCCCTGATGATGCAATTTACCTCATGACACTTTTGAAGAACTCCCTTCAGCTTCTGCCACTCGGAGACCTCGTAGTTGACTCGATAGTAGCCAACCTGGTCCTTGTTGAACTTGATCCACTCCACCGGACCAGAAGTGTTGACGACCACTGAACATTAAAAATGAGGAAAAAATGACATACCGCAGAGTGCCAACGAGACTTGCAATAAATAAAAATTAAAAGTTACAATTATCGTCGTTTCTGTCGAACCACAATAGTGTCGGTGTCGGGTTTTTATTCGTGATGTAAGTGATGGGTATGGTCCACTTGTAACTGAAAAAATGTTGCTTTTCTTGCGACATTTCTGATCACGCTCCTTTATGAACTGCGAGGCTCAATTTAAATACGTTCCAGATTTAAATATTTAGGTCTCACCCAAATTGCGATTCGGTAGGGTCGAACTTTAATTCTGAATCTGCCAAGAATCGCTTCTGTTTTAGAACATATGAGTTGCCGTTTTTGACGACCTCCACCACCGGGAAACCCATCTGCCTGGTCCACGTGTCCATGATATTGGTGACGTTCAGTTTGCTACCTACTGCGTCTTGCAGGATGTTGAAGAGGTCTTCCGTTTTCGCATTGGCATATTCGTATTTCTTCAGATATGCTGTAATTCCAGCATTGAAGACATCCGAACCGACGAAATTGTTCAGCATCCGAAGGACAGCGGAACCCTAAGATTATTTACAATTTTATATATTTATTCAAAAATTTTAGAATATTTTTATTTAAGTACCTTCGAGTACGAAATGACATCAAAAATCGCAGTAATCTCATCGGGATTGCTGACAGTCTGCACTATTGGATGCGAGCTGAGCTTCGAGTCTGTCACGAAAACGGTGTAAAGGTTGTCAACCAAGAAATCCTCCATCTGAAGTGAATTTCAAGGAAATCATTTACACACTTCACAAATCTAAAGTTTTGAATATGTAAATATGAAGCGACTAACGAAACCCCACTCGGGTAGTATCGCATCTGCGCATTTGTACTGCATATACGTTGCGAAGCCTTCGTTTAGCCACAGATCGTTCCACCATTCCATCGTCACTAAAAAATAGAAAAGATTTCAATTGTACAAATGGAAATCGAATATAAGATTTCAAGTAACTTTACCTAAATTTCCGAACCACATATGCGCGAACTCGTGGGCGATGACGGTGACAATGCCCTTTTTATTGTTTGTAGAGGTCGCACTTTCGCTGTAAAGAAGTCTTGCTTCTCTGTAAGTGACGAGTCCCCAATTCTCCATAGCTCCAGAGACGAAATCTGGAATTGCTGCCATATCTAAAATCAAGAAGCTTTGTGAAATTAAATCTATTGGCGTTTTCAGTTTAATTCTGAGGTAAATATTTCTTGTACCAAGTTTGGGGAGAGGATAGTCAATCTGAAAGAGATTGATGTAAAATTCAATGGCTTTTACCCCGATGTCCACGGCAAATCTTCCCTTTTCTTTTTGAGCCTTCGTGGCGTACACGCTCACGGGGAGTGCCTCTCCCTTCAATCTCTTAGCCATTGACGTGACAGCCACGAAATCGCTCACTATAAAGCAAGCTAGATACGTCGACATTGGAACGCTTTTGGCAAACGTTACGGTCGTGAGACCCGGCGATGGCTGATCGTTCAAAGAACTCTAAAACATGATTTTCGCTAGTTCAGAATGCACCTTTAGTTCAACTAAGTTCTGTTGACAAATGAATGTAAGAGACAAAAGAAAATGATTGCATGATGTTACTAAACAAGTAATTCATAAGTAATTATATGGTTGTACCTCCACATGCATATTCGATAGTGCCGTGTAACTGTAACCACTGGGATGAACAAGTTTGACAGAAAACTCCGCCTTAAATCCAGGCTCGTCAAAGCATGGAAAACCTCTTCTGGCATATGTGGGTTCAAATTTCGAAGTGGCGATAAGTCTAGATAAAAAAATAAATTAAGAAAGAAAAGGTTAGAGTATTGCGTGTAGAATGCAATAAATGTAGAACTTTAAATTATGATTTGATTTACCTTTTCTTTCCATCCTCATCCTTGTACGAGCTCGAGTAAAATCCAACAATTTTGTTCGGTTGCAGAGCTCCATCAAATTCAAGAGACAGCTTGTAGAGGCCATCCGTGATATCATTTTCAGTCGCAATGACGAAGACCTCTAACTTCTCTATGTTGTAGGTAGTTTTTATGGGAATGTCGTAATTGATCTCTCGGTCGATGGTGGTCAGCTTGGTGGAAGTTATATTGAGATCCTTTTGATGCAGGGCAATATAGCTCCTCTTGTCGACGACGTCGATCGAAATGGTGACCTTACCTTGGAAAGTTCCCTTTTCGAGATCTGGATGCAAATATAAATCGTAATGCACTGGTTTCACTTCTTGTGGCAGTCGGAACGTGAGATCTGCTGGTGGCTCTCTGTTCGTCATGATGGCCGATGCTTCCGAACTGTACGGATCTGCAAAAAATGTAATAGTTAATTTGAATTTTAGAATGTCGATCTTTCCATTAATTCAAGGAACACTCGGAAATCCATCCAACTTGTACTTTGCATCTCCAACTGCGATGAAATAAAATTCAGAAATAAAGAGATAAGTCCAACCTCTTTTGTCCTCAATGCGCATCAACAGGTTTCAAATGATTAGATTAAATGTCACCGCCCCACAATTATATATAATTATATCGAGGATGAAACATATAATATTCGCCTCTCCACGTACCCAAATAATCCAATTCCTTCTCAACTCGTTCAAATTCGACTTTTTTTCAATCAATATTCTAGTGAATAGAACAATATTACAAATTGATTCCTAGTACCGGTATACTTGAACTTAAAATTAAAGTGCAATGCGCAAAAGCGCATGTGCAGAAAAACGCTTGAAAGTACTAAGAACAAAGCAATAAAAAATGACGAGCTTTTCGCCGGAATGTAGTTGCAAGTTGGATGTCGGTTTATGCTCTTATCTTTGAATTATTTCTGCTATTTTACCTGTGTGCTCGCCGGTGGAACTCTTATCTCGCTGGAGTAAAACCACGAAGGCTCCCAGACAGGAGCAGACCAAACTGAGGATAATACAAAGTCCGCAAACGAAACACAATATCCCCGGTCGAATATCTCGGTGTCGGTACATCTTGACAGAATTTCTGTCGCGGTCCACCAGATTGTGCGCTGTTCGCTTCACGTCATTTTCTTTCATGCTTGCAACTTAGACCATATATATCTAGACCTCGCATTGGACCTCCCACTCTCAGATTTTCAGTAAGCAGAATGGCTTTAACTGTGTGGGTGAATCGTCGGGACACGTGGTACATTCGTTTACCCCTTCCACTGGAAGACGGTCTATATAAACTATGGTCTATATAACTATATGGTCTAAAATCTGATTGGGTCCGAGTGCCGTCGGCACACGTGGTATATGTAGTATTCGAGTTTACCCCTTCCACCGCTACGCGAGGTATTATGGTCTAAGGCTTGCAGCAGTGCCTCCTGCGCATGCGCCTGCCGGGCGAGCGCCCTTTTCAAAATGGCTAACAAGCGCGACAAGAGAAGAAACCTGTAAACAAAGGATTCAGAAAAGCGCTGGATACTCGTGTACACTGATATCAATACCCGCGAGGATGTCTTTTTAAGCATTGCCAGAAATTGCCAAGAATCCTCAGGAATTTTTCCAATTATTGTAAATCAAGGTTTCCGAAAGATGAGGGGTACTAACTCACCTTTGTTAACGTGCAGGCGTGTAAATGTAAATCAAACGTGAGTATGGAAAAGGCGGTAAAAATGTTAATTCCGAGACTTCCTTTTCAATTACAGCTGACATGTTCGTGATCGTTGAAACGTGACAGGGAAAATTAGTTTCCGCTTCTGGGAGCTATTGACAAGACTCAAGTCTTTTCAAGAGGACTATGAAAGGTGCGATTCCTGAGTTCTTTATGCACCAGGCATTTCTTTAGATTTTAAATTTTTTTAGTATATCCTGCGCACACGTGGATGCGAGAGAGATAACGACGACTCGTCTTGAAATAACGCGGATGATAACCAGGATTTTGCAAGTGTTATAAGACTTATCAAATCTTCCGTTAATTATAAGAGATTAGTAATCAATCTTTGCGAGGGGTCAAATAGCACGCCCGAGTAAATATTCGAGTTTAAGGTGAGCCAACCCCGAACACTATTTAGAATAATCAAGTAATGAAAATGTTTTAAATTTCGGTTTTGATATCTTCAAGGACAAAACACAGCGTGCAGCACGACTTACACGAAATCAGCTGGATTCCATGAAACGGCCAAATTATGACCGACACGTTGGCCAATCCTTCGGTACACTTTGCTGTCACGTTTCCAGCTCTACATATATAAGAGCCGTAGTGTCCTTCGCAGGAAACTCTCTACTTCTTGGCCTAGAATTTCCGAACTAAGTAGAATTCGATTGCACTGTCAAATAATCCCCTCGATGACAGCGATTAAATCCTGACTATGAGGGCACGAATAGCAAACTAGGGTTCACCTTATCACTTGAAATGTTGATATCCATTATAAATTTTGATGTAAGTCTTTCGATGACGACGTAAGAATCTGATGACAACCTATTCAGTTAGACTTGCAGCCTGGATTACACTGTCAAGTGAGTCCTGCTATGACGACTCACGCATTTGGCCAGGTCGGGGAAAAAATCAGATAAGAATTCACCTTTCTCACTTGCAACATTGATTTTCACTATAGACCTTGATGTAGGTTTCTCGATGATGGGGTGAGAATCCTATGACGACCTATTCCACTTGCAACTTGGATTTCCCAGTCAAGTGAGCCCTGCGATGACGACTCAGCATCTGACCAAGACAGAAGAAAAGGCCACCGTGGATTCACCTTTTCCACTTATTGTCAGAACTGCGCCGGAACCGAGTTTCGAGACCGATGATGTGGCTCTTCGAGACCACGAACTTTGTTCCCAATTGACTGCCCCGGACCTGCATTTGAGTGCATTGGATAATTGAGGCAAATTAGCAACATGTACGTGCCGTCATTAAATTAGCCGCCCTCTCCAAAGGCAACTGTTTTCCGCGATGGGTCTCGTATCATTAAGAGCATCCTTGATACGAGGGATTGATATCTCTATACTTTATCCGATCTCTTTCTTTCGTATCGTAACTTTCCACAATTCAGCGCTGTACAGATTTTGCTCGTCAAGAAAGATATAATTATCAGGAATGACCAATGATGCAAGATACCAATCCAATGCACCTACTCTGTTTTCACTCCGATTCCATTTTTAATTTCAGCGTACCCAATGTGGACGACCTCGGAGTCGATTTTTGAAATTTCGGGGGCGTTACTATTGCCAGCCGCGTGAAACGTTTCATCACGGAAACACGTCAGCTGATGCATTATACATTGAGCGTACCTTGTCAAGGGACGTTTCCACCTGTATGCAGTACACGGAGCGCAATTCTGCGGCGAAATCACAGGAGGATTTCGCAATTAGGCCCGACGCTAACATTGCGTTTACCCGCGAGACAAGTGAAGGTGGATGAGAGCTCGTCGTGACGGAATTACAATTAGCCGGGCAGTGTTTTACCGTATTTGCAGTGCAATCGGTAGTACACTTACCCCGACGGTAGTTTTTCCTCGCAGGATCGGTTTGTCCGAAGCGAATAACGCAAGACAAGTCGGCAAATTCCGAGAGAGCGTGAAGTCGAGACACTCCGAGAAAGTTGGGCGAATGTTTAAGGGAGCTGCAAAACCTATCTCGATATGCCCAATCATAGATGAAAATAACCACGTGAATTTGTCCTCCCTAAAACGGCAACCCATAGTACACCGAGGAAATCTCATAGAGTTAAATACCCAGCCACGGTTCGGAAACGATACTTTATTAATAAATACCATGGAAATGTATATACTGTCAGAAAGCGCAGTGTATACAGGTCAGAGAGATCCTTTGAGCTCTCAGATTCGCAGGTTAAATAGCGAGCTTAAATATAGGCTTAAATCGATTTCTTAAAGTACCTAATGCCTTTCGAAGCCTGGCTAGCGACTCCCGGAAACAGGAAGTACCGTAGCCAAATGATAGCATAGTATCGTATCGGATAATCAGCCTGACTTCTTTCCTAGAGAACGATCCCCCGGGAGAGACTAAAAATCACGGTAAAAATTCGAGACGGATTTCGGAGGCGACGGTTTATCATCCCACAGGTGACAAATTATCGGCACCTTCGAGACCCGCCGCGATGGACGTAAAAGTCCCTTTGACATTAAAGCTTTATAAATAATGTCCGAGAACAGCCTCTAGTCGATCTTGTTTACAATTTGGGCGTCTTTTATGTCTTCCACAGTCATGTCGGTGTCGTCCCACCCCCAAACGGCGCCCTCGTAGGTGTGACCCTCCACCTGCTCCCTGGTGATCCTGGTCCCATCACCTGTCCTGGCTGAGCGTTTGTTCACCATCTCCACCGGCACGGTTTTCATCTCGTATGCCAGTCCGCATCTTGCGCAAATGTCAATGAAGAGGGTCGTTAAGTTGCCCTTGTAATCGCCCAACTCGGCCGCCTTGTAATCCCACGGGAAGACGTGGTGGTAATTATGCCAGCCCTCGCCAACGGCTCCGATTGCGATCTTCAGGTTGTCCGTAGGGCTGATCGAGCTGTAAGGTATTGTTAAAATTATTAGTGTTAGGAAAAGAAAATCATTAACGTACTTATGTCACCTAGATTAAGTCATTATGAAATTGTACAAATCACTTACTTATCGTACGGCTTGGTGCCCCAGATGTGTGCAGCCGAATTGACGAGCCACGTCAAATTCAGGGACAAGGTGTATCTGAATATGTTGGCATACCAAGAGTTCAGTCCAGTCTCACCCCAGAAGTAGCAGGGAATCCATGTGGGTATGAGGAAGCAGAACAGCGGCATAAGGATGATGTACAGCCTGAGAATGTAGATAATTTAAAGAAAGAGGTAAATTAGTGACGTCCATTTCCTGCACAGATTGCTTATTGCTTCTCAACTGCGATTTGGACGTACCTTCTTTGCCAGACTACAACAGGGTCCTGGTCCATATCACTCATGTCGATCGTTGCCCCCTTTTTTATCACGTCAGGGTGTTTGCGTACCAAAAGCCATCCCATATGGGAGAAGAAGAAACCTCTCTGGGCGTTGTGTGGGTCAGCATCGGTGTCCGTGAATTTGTGGTGCACTCGGTGATCCCTTACCCACTCGTAAATATGATTCTGTGTTCGAAAGGTATTACAAATTGGAATTAATATTACATAACGACGAGGCTAATATATTTAGTAACTCTTAACGCAAGCAGTAATTTTCTTTTTTCTTTTAACTAACCTGGAATGCGACAGTTTGCAGGATCATCAAGAAAACCCTCAATGGCCACCTAGCCTTGTACGATTTGTGCGCCCATAATCTGTGTGCTCCAGCTGTGACGCCCATGGCAGCAATAATAGCGAGGATATAGGCTGGAGGAAAGATTACATCTAATTATTGTAATTTTTCTGAACGTCTCTAAGGGCCTAAATTATTCAAGGATTTTACGGTAATTACTTTCGCATCTATTATATTTTTCTATAATTTGTATAATCAGAGTGAAGTACTTTTTATACGGATGTAAAGGCAACACTTACACCACAAGAAAGTAAGGAATTTGGCCGAGGTGAAGAATAGGTAGAATCCGAAGAGAGCTCCAAGGTGGAGGTAGACGAAAGCGATCACGTTTCTCCAGACAATGTTCCATTTATATTTCGGCTCTTGACTTGAACTAGACGATGACTTAGTTGACACCGCAGGTGCTTTCTGGATGGCATCTTGTTGGGACGCTTCCAGGAAGAGCGTCGCCGAATTTCCAAAAAGATTGGGTGCCATCTTTCAGGACGATCTGGAAAATTGCGTATAAATAATCAAATATTACTCGCAAACTGAACTCGGCATCTAGTGATAATAATCATTCTACCATGGAAATCATGCATGACTTCACGTTTGTAAAATGTTGTAGGTTAATTTAAATCATGCAAGAACTTCAATTTGAAAGATAGAACGGATTAGCATTTCCAACGTCACAAGGTGTTCAAGAGAAATAATTCATTTCTGTCAGATATTCAAACGAAGAGACATATGATGCATAAGGTATTTAAAGCACTTATTATCAATATTTATTGCCCTCATTTTCATATTTCTATGTTTCCATGGCTCGCATGAGCATGAAAAAATTTTCTCAATCCAGAAACCGAAGGAATAATGAGGTGCATGGCCAGAAAAACCCTCATAGAGGTGAGTATTCAGCAGCGAACAAGTGGTGGCCATCATCCACTATACTCGGACATTTGCAATGAATTACCATTGCGACAAACTCTACAATTACACTTTTTCGCCCCCTCTGAATAATGGAACAGGCCGGAAAAAAAAATTGTTGACTCGAACAGTCGCTCAAAAAAAAATCCTTTGGCCTGCGCTGAAAGATCAAGACGAGTGGTTTGCATGACTAAAGAATCTATTATCTCTTCTTCCTACGAATGATAATGAAACCCCAGCAATTCTATTAACCCTAATTACACGCGTGCCTAGACTTTCTGAAGAGGATTTAAACAGGCGTAAGTTCCCTTATTTACTAGAAATATCATTAAATGTTTTCCTACCAAATTAACGTTCTTTTAGAAAGGATATTTAATTCTTTTTGATTTTCGAGCAGAAAGAGTCATCATTTTTCTTCGAGCCAACGTTTCAACATTGGAGGTAAATCAAAAGGAATGAGAACCAGGTTCATAGTCAGTCAGGTGAAATAATTAGACATTAAATTAAATATTGTTAATAACTAAAAATTGCAGTTGGTCAGCTGCAAACCGGGAAACGTCATCATGGTCCATGCAGAAATCGAAGAAATGAGATGGACCCGGGCGTATCGCAGTTCATAGAAATCTTAGAGCTCTCATCAATCACCCATGGAAAGAGAAATGGCATTGTCAGATATTCTCCTCGCAGATGTTCCACGTAGACGTCCTCTCGACCGCTTTTAAGGATCTCGACGTCGTGAAAGCTATCCCATTGTGCTGATCGTTAAACCCGAAGGTGCACCGCGAGTCGTAAAGTCGACGCCATCTCCCATCGTCGCCATTCGTCTTATAATAACTATTTTCCCGGCTTTCCAGTGGTTTCTAACATTTTTTACGATACGATAAAAATTACGATAGAACGAATTGATCCCGATCCGGAGCAGATCTCCGTCCCACACCTATCACCGACCTCGATACCTTGAACTGCACGCTTAGAAAATCCACCGAGAAGAGCCAAATTGCGAATACGAGTACATGCCTATTAAAAATTAAAAATTAAATATTAAACACAATAATATTTCCGGAAAGATGTAATATACTTTCAATGGGTCGAATAAATTTCAGGTTTGACAGCTTCCTCAGGATTTAACGATTTTTGATAAGTTCCGAATTTTAAGTATAATCTTTCGATAGCGATTAAATCCACGAAGAAATTGTACGTTGAGAATTGGGCCATTGAAATCGAAGTATCCGAACCGGTCGAATACATCTCGGGGTTAAGAGAACTTGTATGTTTCTGGTCCACTTTCGTCCGGGTCATCTGGAGGTATTTCGAGAGCACAGGAAAAAAAAAGAAAAAACCTTAACGGTACCCGATTCACAGTTTCGGAGCAAGATCGTTTCTCGACCCGGTCTTCTCTGACGGCGAGTTCTACTTTCTTCGAAGTCTCCGAAGCGATCAATAACAGTATTTACGCCGACGCTTCCTCAGGGTATTTTCTGTTAATAAACCTGGACCGAGAATTTACAGCCTATCGTTTCCGGTCGTCTCAAAAGTCATTGCACCTGCAAGAGTGCAAGTGCAAATACTCGCGAATTTAATTGCGAATTTACTGAAGGGTTACGCTAGCTCTTATAGATATATGCCCAGATAGTGATAATAATCTAAAAATCTACGTATTAATATTCGAAATTGATATCAACTTGTAGGTAAGAAAAATATGAAAACCGACGCAACCTGAGAAGTAAAAGATATGAAAATTGGGTTTTATATGTTTAATGCTCTGGGTACCTTCTTTCACAATTAGCGATTTTTTAAATTAATCTCTCGCTCTAATTACCGGTCTCCACGGTGGAGGTTGTACAGGTGGGCCAGAGAAAGAACCGCTTTAATAAAAGTATTCCTTTTCCTTGTTCGTTTAGGAACGGTACCTGATGTGGAGGCGACTGCACCGCAAGGCGAGGAGAAAGACTCGAGGCGTAAACGAGTTCGGAGGAAAGGAGGCCAATGGCGAGTTTGAGGTCACTGCCAACCATCTCCGTGAAGCAGAAGTCCAATCGGGAATATATCTTCTCTAGACAAGATGATTCGGACTTTCTCCACCCCTAACAGCGAGCCGTCAAAATGATCCATCGACTCGAAAAATCGAGCTAACGAAGGTCCACCGTTATCTTAATGTGAGCTCCTCAATGATCAGCTGGTCCCAGCTGGAACACTATACTTGCGACCCCAACTTGGCGTTACAGTGGTTTATTACTGTCATTACAGCGAAGTAAGTTAACCCTGATTGAGTGTCCGAGTAGTTGGAAAGTGGAGAGAAATTAAACGCTCGACGACGTTTCACATTTAACTCGCCTGTGGGTCGATATTAAATAAAATCCTACAAGAATTGTCATAAATGTTGAAGCCGACGTTGATAGTCTTAATGAAGCGGCTGTGAGGCATTTTGGAATTTCAGGAATGCGGGAGAGAAAAAAGAAATTAAAAATTAAATTAATCCTGACGTTCTTAGGCGTGTTTCTTTCTCACGAAAGAAGCTCGGAGGAAGAGCAAAGTATTTGGGACATCCGGAAACCGAGTCGTTATCGAGAAGGGAAGTGCCTTTTCTCTTTTGAGAAAACATTGCCGAGAAAGAGGACTTTGGATCTTGCGAGAAATTTGTCTAACTCAAAGGCGGTGCCTTGAATGGGGTAACTAAAAGGCGTCTCCTTCGTTTGTCTTTTGTCTACAGACTCAGGCGTGAAGCGGATATTGCAGCGGTTGGTCCAGGGACACGTTTGGATACTCTTTGGGTACTTAAAAAAACCAAATCCGGAAAATAGCACATGCTGGGATGTAATAACCATACTTCGAGGATGGAAACTGGGACCGATAAATTTCTTAAGGAAATGGAGATTTTACAACTTCTAAAAGACGTTACGGAGAGGACAAAAAGCTATAAACCACCAGCAGGTAAGGAAAATGATGACGCTAATATGGATGGAAATATTTCATAAAAATTAAACGGGTTCATGAGTTCGTATAAACGCGCTGCGTTAATGGCCAGCTAAAGAGGTAAGTAGATTAGGGCGAAAAATATTAACCTTACAGTTTAGTGGAATATCCTTTCACGATCGAACAAATATTCTGGGTATGGAGAGCAATTTCAGTGCACTCGGAAAATTCTTTCAGAAATTCTGGGGATTATTACGAGAGAATGGCGATGGATATCTCCTACCGAACTGATAACGTAACATGATAACATAAACCCTGTACGATCCATTTGAAGGATTACGTACTACCTGATCGACTTTTAGAGGAAAACGAGAAAGTGTGTCAAGAGAGAGATGCTGTGCAGCTAGTTACATGCCCCGTTTGTTGATCTCGGCCTCGACATTGCAAAGTTAACAGGGAGCCTGATTGTCACCTGAACATGACTTCGTGCAATATCAAACGACAAAACGTTTAAAACAACGTGTACAATTTTTCGACAGGATTTCCAATATTTTATAATAATTTAACGGAGGCCTAATAACGTTGCAACGTGAGGAATAAAACTGGACGTGGTGAGAAAATATTGATAACGTTCTTATGCTTCTGTTTTTGACTCCGTCAGCTCTTCCTGAACAATTGCGAAATGTTTAATCAGGAAGAGAGAGGAGAGGGGAGGGGGGGGGGGAGACTATTTCCATAATTTCACCTTGAAGCAGAGAAAAAAAGGGGTAACATTAAGCTTCTGCGAAAAGGCGACGTCAAGTGTAATTTATCCGCTCTTCCTGTCGTCAAGATAATTTCCAAAGGTTGCAGAAATTAGAGGCAAGAAACCGAACGCAAGTTGTGATAAGAATGTGCACCTGTCCGAGGGTGCTCACGAGGGTACCGAGCTATAGTCATTAAGACTATTCCCATTATTTATATCGCATTATCGTTAAGACATTTAACGAGTGCACTAAAATTCGGATAGAGTAATTAACCCAGGGATAAAAGCTGAGATGCGATGAAATAAAATGCGACTTACTCTCCTTATCGTCAGACTCGCTGATGTTCAGATCGAAGAATTAAGCCTGCTCGATCACTTCTCGAATGTACTTGCCCGATTGCGAGTTCATACCGAAATGACGAGATGACAGAGCGCATGTCCTACTTATAAGCATCGTGCCTCCCGTAAAAGCGCATCGAAATCGCCGAGCCCCACCACATCGAGCCCATGAAAAATATTTCAAACCCTCCGATTTCTACTTATCAACCACTGTCCTCTTCTCTGTATGTCATTACCCTCCTTCCTTAACTTTACGCCCGTCCGTTTAGATCGAAAACATGATAAGAAAATGTGGATGCCACCTCGAAGTGTCACCACTCCGAAATCGAGAAATCGGTGCACCTCTTCGTCCTCTTCGGGAAGGCGCATACAAGGAGATGTTGATAACGCCACTCAACTTTATCGAAATAAATATGAAATGAAAATTGATTCGGAGGAAGCGATGCTCGGGTGGTTGCTTCAGAAGGGGTAAGTAAGAATGGGTCTCGCAAATTGCTACTCACTATTCTCGCTGTTCGGCTAGTCTACCAGGTGAGTGATAGTCTGGGGCTTTGTTCACAGCTACTGGTCAAAGGTACTCGTCCGATGGCGAGTTCACACCGAAATACCGAGACGCAAGAGCGTTTGTCCCACTTATGAGCTTCGCACCGGACGAAACCCCACCACTTAGGGAGGCGAAAAGGGATCGTCCAAACTCCTACTCCTTCTTTGCTGACCAGCTATTCGGCCTTAAGTGATTATCCCGTTTCCGAGCTATCAGCTGCCGTTTCGAGGAGACCCCGCGAGCGGAAACGTACGTGCACCTCGACACGAAGATGACACCCTACAGCGAGATCGCGATGCTGCGAGTGGCATACCTAGGAAGACGAGAGATCGGTATACTTTCCCACCTCAGGGGAAAACGCGACGTGCTATGGGCCGAGCACGCCACGAGAAAGGCTGAAATTCTGCGCAATTAGAGCTGCACGTCATTAGGCTAAATAGCGAAGACTTTTTTCAGGCGGCGATCCAAGAGAAGCAAAAAAAGGGCCAAACATTTTTTGAGATTATGAAATTATCTGTAACGTATGGAGGCTATTTAGAAACCGCGTATATTGTCAGAGTAAACTTTTGTTTTTTTAACAATGGGTCGGAAATAAAATTTGCCAAGGGTACGAAGATACGGAAATCGGGCGAAGTACCTCCGGAAGCGTTTTCGGAAATTCGGAAATTAATTGCCATACGCGTGGGCGGTTTAGGGTAGGGTTGATTATGCAGGGTTTACCCTGAAATTTAGTTATCTTTCAAATTCTGTTATCTTTTTGAGGGAGGAAGCAAGGAAGCGCCAAGAATGGAAAAGAATTGAATCGGAAAGTGGAGCAAACATTTCACATCGTTCTCGTCACATGTATTGATGCATAATGCAATGTCTTGCAAATAATAGGCGGACGTTGCAATAAATGATTGGAGTCCGAAACTTGAAAAAAAAAAGTGCAGAAGGAAAATCAAAACGACACGTTGCTCATTTTAGATATCAAGAATACTTTATCTGAACTACGTCACTGATGTGAAATTAGCATTTAGAGTTGTTATTATTTTAACTATTCATTGCATTTTTATTTAGCTATTCATTGGAAATATTATTAGAGTGTGCATTCAAATACATAATAATGCAGTTATGTAAAAATAAATTAAATTATTAAAATGGTGGGTATACTGGATGTATTTAAATCCGTTTGGTCTGCAGAAGAAAGATGTAAAACAAAACAATCTCTTTGTAAAAACGATAGTCGAGTGCTCTAATTAACCAATGACAACTCGATAACGTTTCCCGTAAACAGTTTTGCAATCACTGTTTTCAACATTTATTCGCGAGTAGTGAGGTTTGAAATCTTGCTTTGTCTTCTAATTAGGCGTAATGGGAAAATGTCGAAAGACTTTCAGATTCTAGATTGCACAATTAATTTCACATTAGTATTTGAGTAGTTTGGAACGGTTCCGGCGATCCAATTCCCAAGTACACAACCGCAATCCCTGGGTGATTGCATAACTGATAGCGTTTACGGAAGCAACGTGTAATTAAAAAGTGACGTAAAAAAATTGGGATACGTGTGAGGGTGAAAAGAACGAAACATTTTTCAATATCATGCATGCTGATTGCTGATTAATCTCATCAGAAGATACCTCGCATCCGGAAAAAATGATTGGCAATATCTATACGTTATCACTATTAAAGAACCTTTTAATCCATGCAGCAAAGGTAGGAAAGGTAATCCAGGATAATTTCAAGGATTCCCCACTACGTCGGCTATTTAACGAGAAGGGAAATATTTAAGGGACCATTTATCGCAAAGAAAGTGAAAACCGGCCATATTGACCAGCCGACATTATTTTACATCCTCTTTAAACATTTGTCAAGAACAAACTCCCGGTGCATCGGCTAATATTGAGTGTCACCGACCTATTTCGGTACCATGGGTGCGTCAAGGTTGTTATTGTATTATCAATTCCATTCCGAACGTGATTGAAAAAATATTTAGCTAGGATTTCTTACATAGACCAGTAGACACCAAAGGTGATAAAAATAATTCTGCGCTCCCAGTGCATTCTCAATTTTTTTTTCCTGATGTTGAATTAAGCTTTGTTTTACGATGTTTCGATGCAAACGTGAACGACAGGGTGTGGAAAGTAAAGAAATTCCGGAAATGGAGATGCCGATAGTGTTCAAGATGCAGGTAAGGTCAAGGTGGACAGACTCGCTGTTGTCGCGGATTAAGGTTGGTCAACGGTACATGGTCTCGAAAACCATTCCCTCTCTTCAATTACCGGAGAGAGGAGGTTGAAAATCGCCGAGGAATACTACTTTTAAAAGTAGGCGAACAATTCATCATTAGCATGATTTTTTGGTCAGACTCTCCATCTCGAGGTTTTTAAGTTCTAATATTCTAGTACATCCCATGAATCATATTTTGAAAAAAAAAATACCATTCTTAAACACATGCACACGTCGAAGTATTAATCGAAACCAAATCACTATTTTACTCGAACAGGCTCCAGATTTTCAATTCTCACTTTAAAATGGTCCAGATGTACAGCTTTCGATTTTCAGCCGGGGCGTAGCTCTCTTCTTTATCTTTGTAAATGAGAGCTTTTGGAGGAATCAGCAAGTTCGGACAATCTTTATCATCGCGCATTGTAGGTTCACTGATGTTGACGATTTTTAGTCACAATTGTAATTGTACTAATATTCTTTTTACGTACTACAGCGGCCGGCCTGTCTGATTGATCTCTACTGTTACTACTACTTCAGTGTCGCCAACCTTCCGCCACGAATAATCCATACCGAGTGGTGGAAATAATTTACAAAAATTCCTCGTAAATCGTAATAATATTACGCATGGTCCAACACAGGACTATCAACAACATAATATTAATATCGACTGAAATAAATAGTGCACAAGCGGTAAAAAATTGATGCACGTTCACATAACCCCAAACTTTCGTTTCAAGTTGCTAGCAAGTGAATTCGAAGTAATTTGAAGGCGGAAAATTGAATGTTGTTAAAGCGTTGTTGGCTTTTTAATTAAATAAGGAAATGAGCCGAAGGATATCGGTATAACCAGATACCTATGAGAATTGAAGTCAAACTAAGAACGACAGAGCAATCATGTTAAATAATGTAGAAATGGAAATATAAAATAAAAATCTTTTTAAATCGTGGATGTTCAATTTTTTATATTTGGATAAATTTGTGAAGTTGGCAGTGCCAGTTCTTTTACCGGTGCTGCCAATATCGAACTCGTTGCTCTGTCGATAAGAGAGGCGGCAGATGGTAAGAGCTCTGCAAGTACAGAAGGCATTTGTACAGTGCTGCCAGCAACGTTAATTCCAAAATGTATCTTATCGACGATGGTAACTCTTAATTCTGAACCTCTCTGACTTATTCTGGAACATGGTTTTTATCTTCTAAACACGTTTCATCCGTTTAATATATTATTTTCAACATTGAATCAAAGATAGCCGTTCACTGATAACTTCAGCGTTACCACCGGATAACGCTTACTAGTATTCTTATAATTTCTATAAAATTGATTCCAGAACAATTTAGGAATCAAATAATTCTTCTTCGAATACTTCTTTCCATCACTAATTGGGCAATATTTTGTCACGTTATTTTGTATACAATATTAAGGGCTTTTCGGGAATGTTTTTTTTTTATTTAGCCTAGTCACACATCGTAAATTATAAATCGATTTTTGATACTTGTACAGAGACGTTCTCAAAGGTTTGCGAGGCGTACTGTAACTAGCAATTACTCGCTGAATCTTTATCTCTCTGTACAAGTGATAATTGCACGGCCGAAGCTCTTTCGCAAGAACGACAATGCCACGTCCTGTCATTGGCTTCTTCGGGCATGACATCGTATAACGTGTACAAGAAAAAGTATATATATACACACAGTACAGTTCCGTTTAAACATCGTTTAGGAAAGTTTCCGCCGAACTATCTAGCTGTTCCTAAATTACAATCGAAGACTAATTCACAAATTAACGAGTTAAGGTAATGTTTGTCGCACTTTCAGCGACGCGGCCATCTTGAAGAAAGCAACAATCACGCAAACGGCGTGGAGACCTTCAACGGGGCCGCATTATGTAACGTCGTTACACGAACTCGTCGTTTCATAGTCGAGTCATAACGCCTCCATTAACAACCGTTCTCCCCTACCATGAATTCCAAGAAGAGAAAATTATTCTCAAGCAAATTATTTCTTTCAAAATGACTTCCAAAAAATGAAGCATTCCAGGCAGATGTGAACGAACCTCGATCTTGAACCAGCGATTTTTGGTTGAATGCTCTTATATCTTAAAATACGGCTTCCGTAATTTAAGGCATTACGAATCAAAGCCGAGATAAATTCGGCGGTACGGATTTATCCAGCTCTTAAATAAATGGCGGAATCGGACGGACGTGTCTTCCGATGGAGAGGGAGTACGAGAATAACAAGTAGAGCGGTCCTTACAAGAGGGATATCACTGAAATTTATAGACTTCTCAGATAGTGGTACAATGGGATCGATCTCTCTTTTCCGAAGTAGACACGTGTAAGGGCAAGGAAGATGTAGCAAAATAATAAACAGAGAGGGTCATAGCGCGGGGTTGAGCCTAATCTATACTTCGTGGAAACCCAGTTTACCTTGAAATGACTTAACCTCGATAAGAATACTTATTCCTTTTTTTTTTATACAAGATATTTGTAAGTCGTTAACGAGAAAAGAAGGAATGTCCATCTGAGAAATAGTGTAAAACCTAATAGGTGATAGGGAATACTTCTTCGCAGGAATTTCCTTCGGTTTACATTAGTAAAGTATTATTCATAATTCATAAGAGACGTTTTATCGAGCTTGGAAAATTAAGAAGCCGTAAATGGCCGTTCGTTCACATCTGAATATCCTCGAAAAGTTTCCAACACGAGCTTTCTGGGGGGAACAAAAGAAATTTTATCGACCAACGAACTGGAGGTTCCCGACTGCTTGGCACGAATCATGATATGTCGTCCCGATAACCGCTATTTTATTGTTCCTAGGATAAGGTCGTGCAAGCCCATCTCTGCACGGAAGGTGTAGGTATAAGGCCCGGGTGCACAACTCGAATTAACCGACGTTTAACTGGCTTACACCCGGTTTAAACCTGCTGTAAACCAGTTAAACTCGGATTAAGTGGACTAGTGGAACCGAGTCTCGCGCGGGTTTACCATTTTCACCAAAAGTCCATTCTTCCATCGCCCGTTAACGATGCGATAACTTCAGTTAATGTCTCTCTTTTTTCTAATAGGCAAAAGTACGTTACTCGGAGCCGTGTGCAGTTGCGTAAAAAACCTGTTATCAGCGGCAGGAAAGCGAATTCGATAACGAGTCACGGGGTCCCGATAATCCTGACGTACTTTGCTCGAAGAAATGGCTAGAAATTTTGAGAAGGATGCACGATTAATATATTAAATAAAGAATAAATACAATATACACGTGTCCAAATTAAAATAAAATTCCCGTCGCAACGCGTCGCGCGGCTCCGATTTTTCTCTACTTTAAAAGGTTGCGCGATTGATATTAAATAAAGAAAAAATACATACTCTAAGGAATTTTTTTTAACGTTCCGATGGAAGTTTTCAGTATGTCCGAATGAGAATGAAACGCCCGTTGCAACTCCATCTTTCTCTATTTCAGAGCATCAAAACGGGTTTTCGCGGCTCATCGTGGCAGGCGATCTGGTGAAGTTTCGGATTATGAAAGGCACCCGACGACATAACCAAGATAGCCTCTCCACGTGTTTCCAGTACTTTTATTTTCCCCTCCGCGAGGATTTGGGTCAAACCGACCGAGACCGAAGCCGTTAAATTTGGACCTAGAAGAGGTACACAAAATGGTATCTTGCAATTACATGGAAATTGAAATAAAATTCTCCCCCACTCCCAGGCCTGCAAAATAAAATGCATCGTTGCATTCCTCCTCGCCGTACGAAAACTTCCAAGGAAACCTGAATCCACGATCACGGTATACGATCCACAGTTCAGCGTGGTAAAAAAACGCGAAAAAAGGAAATCGCTGCGTAGCTACCACGCACCCTGGAAGCGAAGCTGCAAAGTTAAACAGAGTTAGTAAATATTATGACATATTTTCAACAATTCTTTCCCGCCCTCGGTACTGCCTGTTACGAGCACATTTATTTTCATTACAATTCCTATCCCCTCCATTTCCCCCCCCCGAATGTCAATACGCGAAACAACAAAATCCACACAAATTGCGTGGATATTAACTGCACAAAACATGAATGTAAAAAGTCATTAACAGAAAAGATAAAAATAAAGATGACATACCAATAATAATAAATAGGGATTTTAAGGTGATGTAAAAGGATCATTACATATATATCATATCATATCACCTTAACTTCACCAACCCAGAAGTACATTCTCCGACCGAGGCTTTGCAAAAACCAAATAAAAATTGACGCCATCGAAAACCTTAACATAAACCGCGTCGACACCAAACACAAGGACGAGCGTAAATATTGATTACCCGTAAAAAATGGAAGGAAAAAGAAATGGCCATCCGAAACTACTGCGCCGTAAGAAGTTCGGGTAAAAAAGAGAAGACGATAAAGAGGGGAGGGGTAAAAGTTTCCAGCGGCCGGGGTTATTTCGGTCGTTCCGAAGCGTCGCGACGCCACGCCGGCGTCGGAGTCAACAGTCCAGGACGATAGCGAAAGGACGCCGCGCCGGGGCGGGGAAAGTGAGGTGGGAGAAGCGTCCTGGCGCGAGCCGGCCGGCGTCGCGGCGCTGCCCGAGAAATGAATCGACATTCAACCGGTGAACGACGCGCGGTCCGACGCGCAGCCGCGTTCGACGACGCCTCCGAACCTCGGGAAGTCCCTTCGAGTGGAAGTGCCGCGAGTCCCTGAGGACGCCCAGGACGCCTAGGACGCCCAGGACGCCCTACTCGACTCGACGTCTCGGCGTGTCGGCCCAGCGTCGCGACGAGTCCGCTTCGCAGGCACAGGAGGCGGGAAAAGGGGAGGAAAGAGAGAGAGAAGAGCACCGTGACCTTGAGCGCCGAAAAAACTGGCGTCGGGCGCACGTGCGTGCAGGTGCGTCGAAGATTTTGGAGCTCGACAATTCCGCTCATCGGCCGGCAGGTTCGTACGCAAGCCGAATCGATGATAGAATGATTTGATTGATTGGGACGCAATTTGATGGACGTCGGATGAGAATCTGCTCGATGAGAGAGAGAAAGGTAGATTCGCGAAGCTCGATAGGAGATAGAGAGGATATGGAAGGATGGGATAGGGCGAGATAGGACTAGATAGGTTTCGATATGCGAGTTTGGAGGTTTTGATGCCTTCCTGAGCATTGCTGCGAACGGCGTCGGGGTCCTGGTGGTGGGAGTCGGTCCGTGGGTGGGTCCTTCCTGAGTATCTCAATTGTTGAGTACGCGGACCGAAAACTAGTCCCTTAAGGTGACGTGAAAGTAGCGTCGAAGAGGTCTCGGTTATAAAGCTTTTCTGCCAACTCGATTTAACGAATAGTTTGAAACTTTACAACGTGACTAGGGAGACTGTAAGGAAGGTCCTGAAACTCGTGAAATTTCAATTCTTTTCAAATTTGTTTATAGATACTTTAAAAATAGTTCTTAAAAAATGAAAGAGTTTTAGGACCTACCTTAGGGTCTCCATATTCATGTTTTAAAGTGTGAAACGATTTGAGACACCCAGTTCGTAGAAATGTTTTATGAACAATTGAGCTTTCCGATGCCACTTTCACATCCCCTTAAAGCGAGGAAATTCGGATTCGAGCAAAAGTAGAGGATGGACACATGGACAAAAGGGCAAATGGGCATCGGATGTAAAATAATGCTTTTTGGGTGGGATGTGAAATAAAGATTCGGTTGGTTGCGGGGAATATCCTGGTAGGGCATGCTCGGTGTTAATACGATTTGCATTTCGTGAAAATGTCGGTTCACCAAACTGAAATAGTTTTTTTTTTTTTCACGTTAACCGGATGCAGTCGATCAAACGATGTCGGGCAATGGGCCGCGTTTCTTTTTCATTGCGTGCTTGGAGATGGTTTATTATTAGATTCTATGGTCTTTTTTTAATCTGTACCGCTTAAACGCGTAAAAGACGTCCTTTTGACGCTGAAACAGAGGTATGAGTTCCAGCCTGGACATCGAAAAGATATGGAAAAATCTTTTTCGATGCAGGAGGGTTCTTTTATGTCGAATTCCTGGAGAAAGGCGTCTCGCCAGGGGAATTAATTTTGTTGGAGTCGACTGATGGAATCTCGGAAAAATAAGGGGCACAGGTGAAATCTGCACGTGTCAGGTGCGTCTGGGAGATTACCTGAGAGCCGGCAGGATAAAGACTGCTTGTAATGTCTCAGAGTTTCGATTGTATTGCTTAACGTAAGAATTAGTCAGAGATTACGGCACTACCAGGTGTGTCCGACGATTATCGTATCGCGAATAACATGTTGCTCCTAGCGGTTGGTCCTAAACAATTGGTCGTTTCTTCTCTACAGCTAGAGTGATGATAACAGTGATAGGATGCGTAGACACGTACTGTCGTGGAAAAAATGGTAAAAATGAAAGATCGAACGGCGGAGCTGAAGACCTCTCTCGGGAGTCCCAGTTCTGCAGAATGTAGCGAAACTTGGGTGGCCACAGTAATTACGGTATCGTCAAGAATGAGTCAATCATTATCGCCCTGATAAAGCAGACGCCTCAACAAATCGTTGAAACAACTACGTGCGCCAATTCTTGGGTGGCCATTATTTATTCAGATGTCTATGCCGAGTGCCGGCTCGAGATTACCAGAAAGCTAGTCAGGAAGGAAAACCTCGCTCTCGGAAGTTTCATACTTGAACGTTGACTCTGTGCACGAGTAAGTTAGTCAATAAAGTCAAAGGACACGTGGGCAATTAGCTAATCAAGAATTCATTCTTTCTCCCTCCTGTGGGAGCAGTTTGCCACCAATTAATTACGAGGGAAATAGCAAAGTGCGTCTTTGATACGTGGTAAGATAAACACCCCATTCATTCTTAACATTACAGGCATTGTTGTAACAATTGTTTAATACTTGTACATGTTTGTTGCACTAGGCGGGACATTTTTCGGCATTGTCAAATTTATTCTGGGACTCGTTATCTCTGAATTTCTGATATGCCAATGTGGGACCACGACTTTTCGAAATGATGAGGATTTTAAATTAATCCCGGAATTTGAATTTATCGATCGTTAATCTCGACATGGCGTTATCGGCAATTGCATTCGTGAGCCCCATTGTCAAATGAAATGTCCATTCTGAAGGATCTGGAGCCGCCTAGAATTTTCCCTCTCTGACGCAAGCTCCTATCGATCGACGTGTCATAACAGCGTTAACTATTAAAAGCGTCAGTGTAGTGCACTTTGAAGAGCATGTCAAAATGAACTTCCAATAAGCGAGGCCTTGTGCACCTTCCGCCATTATTTACTCGAAGTACCGAGCAATGAAACCGAGAGAAGATTGACACTCCGATGTCACGTTACGCAATTCATTAACTTAGACCAACATTTTCTGCAGCCCTTCAATTTTTCACTCTTTATTTAACAAAAAATATAAATGTTGAAGACGCCTTTGCGTTTTTAATCGGACATTTTCAATCTGCAGTGAATTTTATTTCTCGCGAATTTCAACCGCAGAGGTTTTCTATTTTTCTGAAGCAATGGAAGGCATCACCGAATCACGTAACTATTTGTGATCTGAGCTTGGAATAAACATATCAACTCGGTTAATCGAAAGCGAGTTCGATTCGGCCATGACCTTCATTTAACAGTAACGAGTTAGATTAAAGGCGGCTGTAGAAAACAGATGCTCGACAAATTGGTGTTGACTATGTTGAATATTAATTTTCAATCGGTCCATTTGGTCAACAAAATTACACCCCAAAACCCGCCACCGATATTCTAAGCCATTCAAAATTAAAGAAAAATTCAATTCAATACCACTAGAAATTTCGAACGCAATTCATTTTTGCAGTACTTCTTCTTCGCGATTTTTAAGACGAAGAAGGATTTCATCCGAAAGCATTATCCTAGTAGGACTAAGAACTGCATAAAAATCGAACATGGCTTTGCTGCATATCTTATCAGCAACGGATAATCATGGTCTATATTGCTTGCTTGACACATTTCCGTGACCGTGATACTTCGCGAAAGCTTTATCGCGTTGCATCCGAAATCTCCCGGAAAATGATGACGAATGAGCATTATCTGCGTTAATGGCTGGAAAGGTGCTCCTGATAAGCTCACCTGAGGTCCCTTCGTCACGAATCATGGTAATTGGCGATCGTATCGATAGGTCGATGATCGATCGGCGCGTCCGATGGCATCATACTAGTTGCGACAAGGGACATGACAGGGCGTCATTTTAATTATTGATTCGTTCCACGAGCTGGCTGTTTTTCCATTAAACGGATTCAAAATCGTTTTTTTTTTTTTTTAGTTCCCGACATTTTGATTTCTCGCGTCTGTCGGGGTGAGCGGATCATAAAAAATATATTATATAGGAACTTGGAATTAAAAACCGAAATTCTGAAGGGCAGCAGGTCGCACGCATGCCATCTGAATATTCAAATGATTGCTGGGAATGGAGTAAACGACCTGGGAAAAGAGTTAACGACCAGCTGGGAGTACGCTTCGGTCGCGTGCATCACGCAACGAGATTCACTCCTGTTTTATTCTCGCCCTTGGCGAGAAATTTCACGTTGACAAGTGTCATTGAAGTTCCAGTCATTCCGTGAATATGCTAATTATCCAGATGTTCAGTCAGCTTGGTAGGAGGACTTAGCCCAGAAACCAGGATTTTTCTAAAAAAAAATTATAAATAAAAATTGACAGCGCTAAGGTAATATTTGCGTTTAAAATTGGTAGAAATCCTAAGAATTTTTTCGCAGATTCTTGACGTTGGTCGGTACAATTTTGGAGATTCGCTTTTCTTCCGAATGCGGATCGGTAAGAGCGAAGACAATTACATTTGCATTTCATCTCAGGAATCTTGTCAAGGACGTCAAAAGTTAGGACTTAAAATTTGTTAAAAGTCCTATGAATTATTTCGTGGAATTTTTTGCCGTTGATTAATACAATTCTGGAGATTTCGCTTTATTCCGAACACAGATCTTTCGGGGGTTTCGAGGTAGCATGGGTGAAAGCATTTTGCGATTCGAGGTAAAACTACGACACCGGAAAGTGGCTTGTATTAAGTGACGTCAGAAAGACGAGGCGCGACTCCATATGCCCACGCATCTCTTTTTCTCTCTTTGGTAAGGTTACGTGTTCGGTGCCGCTCGTAAAACCGCGTGCACACATAGAGAGGAGCAGTAAATGCTTTTAACTTCCACTTACACCGCTTCGCTAGGATAAATAATCCTTACGAGAGAGTCCGCGAACTCGGAGAACGGTCTCGGCTCGGAAGGAGCTTTTGTAACGACAAGGGGATCGTTTCAGTTTCCCAGCTTTTCTCGACTTCGCTCGAAATTCTTAGTTATCTGTTTACCGGTTTGCTTTTTACATATCGAACTCGGAGGTTCCTTTCGATTACGTCTTCCGATTGCCTCCTGGTCACTTCGTTCGGACGATTGGATTGTCTTATCAATCTATGATACTGCCATATTTATACTCGCTCACTACGTTTGCATTCACTCCTACCAGTGTAATGTAAATTTCAGGAGATTGTACAATCTATTCTGCAGACAGTTATATAATCACCGGTCGATAAGATTATGAAATTATTTAATGAGGAGAAATCGGATCAGCAATTAGCCAGAGCCACTCCACCCTGGGTCGACGTAACGAATAAAAAGCACCGCTCCAAAAAACTGAACATCACGTTTTTATGACTCCGTTTATATAACATATGAGTATATATCACTTCGTGTAGCCTTCACTATTTATGCACTGAGAGAAGAAAAATTCATCGAGCCAAAGGAATATTATGTTAATTGAACCTGACTGAAATTTTTATAACTCCGAATATAAATCTTGCATCCACTTTATTCGAATTTATTTTAGTGAAATAATTATTCTCCGAATGAGCAAAACGTTTCTTTGGTTAAATGACATTTCTTTTTTTTTCTCTCTCCCTCTCAGGGTGCAAGGGTACAAAATCACGACCCGTGATTCTTGGAAAGCGACGGCTCTGGTGGAGGCGCTCTATCACGTATCACCTATCATCACCCCCATGGGAAATTGATTACCGCGAAAACAGGAGCGTGCGCATTGACATTACGAGGCATACGCGATGCATAATGTCAAAGCAACCTGCCGAGGGATCTATAGGAACCCCGTTGTCAGAATCGGTCGTTTTGTCCCGCCGTCGCCATGGCCGCGTTTTCTCAAGGATTGTTGTCACACGTCGCCGAGTTCTGCGGATTAACATGATTAATATCGAGCCATTGCTCGTATAACAATTACCTCGGAATATCGACTAATCCTGCGAGTAAGACCCGAACAATTGCGTAACGTTACGGTGGCGGGTTTAAATTTGCGGCGTTACGTGCACGTAGAAATGAATGACATTTGAGGATTTCTGCCAGGCTAGTTAGTTATGCGCGAGGTCTGCATTTTCTGGGTCACGTTCGGTTACGCGATTTCTTTTGTTCCGCTAACACATTGTCGGATCTTGGCGGTGACTCAATCAGCGATGCCCGAGCGGAAGAGGTTCCCTTTTGTACGTCGGTTCCTTCGGCACGAGTTAATCGTCTGCTTTGAGGGGGACTCCTTTCTCGATGACTCAAGATTGTCCAAGAAATTACATAAGACGTGCGAGAAGAAAGGCACTAGTGATTAAAATCCCCGGGAGGCTGCAGAGCAGTTAAGCCGTAGATATTAAAAAAAAAAGAAGGATAAAAAATCCGGGGAAAAATTTCCCCGAAAAAGGAAAATCAGGCGCATTCATTTAGGACAATTTTCTCGATGTCTCATGTTGACCCAGAAAATAACGTAAGACGTGTGAGAAGAGAATGGCACGAGTGACTGAAATCGCCGGGGAAGATAAAGAGATTACTGTACAATGTTCACGGAAAAAGAATGAGTGCCCACCCGCCATCTTTGAATTTCTGCGAATAGATATTCTTGATAGAAAACCGCCGCGCGTTAATTGACCGATAACGCATGAAGATAATACATTTTTTTCTCGTTTTTCAGCGTCCGGATAACATTGGCCACCAACTGAACAGTTGTCGAGGGGATTGAGGACTGATGTGAATTCGGCAGGGTACATCCCAATCGCTGCGGAATAAATCTACCCGAGTGAAGAGTCGGAGGGAAGACAATCGAAACATGAGCGCGTTTCCTGAGGAAAGGGTGCCGCCGACGAGGTGCACCCGAAAACTCGATGAGGATTCTCCCGACGACAACATGAACACCAAATGCCCCAGCACTAATGGCCAATTTGGTGCCTCGGAAAAGGAGCAAACCACCGACGAGGTGGAATACGTGCCGGCGATAAAATGGCTCGACCTCGCCGCCCAAGTATTCATCCACGCAGGCTGTTTATACGGTCTATACTTGGTGCTTGCACAGGCCAAGTTCCTCACGACATTATGGGGTAAATCATTTAAAACACCGTAAAAGCTTCCGGAGGAAAAAGGAAGCATAACAGCGTGTATGTCTCCCACCTTCCTTTAACACATTCGCGACGGGCAAATTATTTCCGTTTCAAATACTGAGTATCGGCGAAAATAATGAAATTCTAAAAACTGGTTGCCGCAAACTTGTATCGTGTATCGTTATGGACGTGATTCACGTCAGCGGCAATCAGGAATAGAATTTGAAATGACGTGAATTCACGTCACCGGTCGCGAATGTGTTAAGTCGGGCGAACTCGGGGAATAGTTTATCAACCTCGTTTAACGCATTTTTTAAATCCGATCCGAGGGATCGATTCGTACTTCGGTCCCAGGGGTTTCACGAAACTATTTGTCAGGTGTCAATAAATGTCCTCCCAGGAACGTCCTGGTGTTTGTTGCGCGATAAGATAAAGCCTGCCGATCGGGTTCGAGTTACTCTTACTGCATTTCCTTCTACGTACTACCTCGCCTGCGAGGTCCGGCACGTAACTGCAATAGTCGATTCCCACGGGTAAATGTACTTCTTGTTTAAAATAATTATCGGCACGCGTTACTCACGCATCGTCGTGTTCATGGGCTCAGTCTAGAAACGAGTAATTTGACAAGACAGAGTCGAATGGTCTTCGTGCAGTTTGCAGTAATTCATGCGTCCGTCTTCGTGGCCATGGTTTATTGCACGACAGGCATTAAATAACAATGCGCACTTTGCAATTGTGAAGAACTTCGGCGTGGATTTGCCGAAGGACGAGAATAATCGGTTTTGCAAATTGCGTCTCTCGGGATTCGAGCTTAAGAATTGTGTAGAAAGGAATTCGAGTGCATGGAATATATTTATTCTAAAATGTTTAGGAAGAGTCATGGTTTGTCGCACGACAGGTATTAAATAACAAAGCACACTTTGCCATTGTCGAGGACTTCTGGGTGCATTTGCCGAAGGACGAGAATAATCGGTCTTGCTAATTGCGCTTATCGGGGCTCGCTATCGAGTTTGAAAATTGTGTAGGAAAGAAGGAAAAAAAAAATGCAAGTGCCTGGAATATATATTTATTGTAGAATGTTTAGGAAGAGTAGATACGAAACCTTTGCATGCTCAATGGTGTCAGGTGGCTAAAGATAGAAATCGAGGCGAGTACATTGTCGTTAATTAACGAGTACAGTCTTCGGGATTACATTTTCCAAGGGGGTGGCCGACGAAGGGCCGAGTTTGCCTGCTCGCAGGACAATTTGCCTGGGAATTGCCTAGGAAGGTTCTGTATTAAAATGACGAATCGATACCGATCGTCGCAGAATGACAGGCCTCGTTCCTCGTTGTGTACGCACGTCGTACACCTCGGCCGAGTCCATTGGACTTGGCACTCGAGAAATTATTTTCTTGGCCTTAAAAGGAAATATGATTGGATGATTGGAAAATCGATATCAATTCGCAGCCAGCCATTCCCGCAGTGCCACCGGCTACAGAAGTGATTTGCGATACGAGTGGCTTCAATCACTCATCCTGGATTATTATTTAATCACGGAAAATCTGGGAACAAGTGTAATTGAAATAAGTAACGTTAAAATTGCTTCATTCGTTTTTTTTACATTTTTTTACTGACTTTTGAGGAGAGATAGGGATCGAGGTCGAATTTTAGGAGGAAGGAGTAAGTGCAAAAAGGGCTTTACAATTAGAAATATCCTGTTATGAATCATGTTGAGCATCGAGGGCAGCATAACTCCGACAAAAAGAAGTCTTGGCTTGGCGGTAAATGACGATTAAGTGCTTAGTCGTTTACTCTCGCCTTGTCCCAGTTCAGCGTTTCATAATTCCGCGAGTTGCGCGTTCCTGTTTTTGTTTTCATAGTTATTTCAATTTCTTGTGACGTCACTGGAAATCTTCTTGCACGTACGACTTATTGGGCTGAAGAAAAGTGCTGGGGTAAATTCTACATTCATCGGGTAAATTTAAACGAATTTTAAATCCACTTAAATGGCGCACTTCACGCTATCATTTCTGGAGTCCATTTGGAGACACGAGGCACCTTCGTCGGCAAAGTAAATTCGAGTCACGCGATTCTTGGATTATCAGCATGTATCGTGTTATATGGCGTCGGATTCATATCCAAGAGCTCTTATATACCTTGATAGGGACGCCTTTGGCTTTATTTCATTTCGCGGCGACTATTGAATTTTCCACCGACACGAGACCATGGAACAGTACGAATACGGACGGACACATAAAAATTCTCCCTAGCCACCCAAACAAATATGCGCCATCCATGTCAGCAGGGAGTAATATCTCGTGTCGAAATGAAAATGTCTGGGTTGAAGACCCTATAGACACGTCTCGGGTTACGGTACGTAAAATGGTCGACCATTTTACGAGGATCGACATTGCGCGGTTTACGGGGTGCAGATAAAGCTTTACGATTAAACCCGGTCGGGTCACTTGGGGTCGGCAAAACCCGAGGAAGTTTCCGCCCTATCATGGCGTGTTATCGATTTATCCCTGAATTTCAGCGTTTCTGACGATCTACACCTCGGGATTCGGAATCACCGCTGGTGCCCACAGACTCTGGTCTCATCGAGCTTACAAGGCGAAGTGGCCCCTGAGACTTCTTCTAGTCTTCCTCTTCACGATAACCGGGCAGGCAAGTAACGACTCCTGAAAGACAATTTACAATTTCCATCCCGTTACGATCTGTGCGAGTATTAATTTACCTTAGGAGTATCTATAAGGGTTTAACCAGGGAAATCCTTCTTTCTCCAGAGGCACGTTTACGCCTGGGCGCTGGACCACAGAGTCCACCACAAGTACAGTGAGACCGATGCCGATCCACACAATGCAAAGAGAGGATTCTTCTTCGCCCACGTGGGTTGGCTTTTCACGACTCCGCATCCCAACGTTGTGGTCAAACGAGGTGCCGTCGACATGAGCGACCTGGAAGCCGATCCGATCGTCATGTGGCAGAAAAGGCACATATTCTAATCAAGCGTCACAGTTTTACGGGCTTACGAGAAAGTAGACACTACCGGTGGAAATTTTTTAAATCGATTAGAAAATCTCTTTCGCGATGATATAAAAGTAAACCCGGAGATTTTTAGGAACTTCTTATTTTCTTTTTTTTTTTTTTCTATACAACTGAACATCTATGTAGATATTCTATTAAATGCAGAGGTAATTGAAAAATGTTTGCTGTATCCATTGCAATTTAATATTTCTTCTTTTGTAGGCTGTACATCCCGCTGTTCGCCCTTTTGGCCATCGCTTTCCCAGTGGTGGTGCCATGGTACTTCTGGTCCGAATCCCTGTGGACTTCTTTCTGGGTGAACTTTAACTTCCGCTTCTGCGTCACCCTGAACATCGCCTTCTTCGTCAATAGCGTCGCCCATATGTGGGGCCAGAGGCCGTATGACAAGTACGTTTTTACGTAAAAATCGAAATAATGACCAGTACTAAAATTCTCTCTGGGATGTCCGTAACTTGTCCTACGAGATGAATTGTCGAATCAAAATTCATTCCGTTGTAGGAGCATTTCTCCAGTGGAGAACGTTGTCGTGTCGATCGCGGCTCTTGGCGAGGGCTGGCACAATTATCACCACGTCTTCCCTTGGGACTATAAAACCGGCGAACTAGGGGACTATTCGTTTAACATCACGACGGGCTTCATCGATGCTTTCGCCAGAATCGGCTGGGCTTACGACCGGAAGTACGTGTCCCCGGAAATGGTGCGCAGGCGCGCGAATCGTTCCGGCGACGGAAGTCACGTATGGGGATACGGAGATAGCGATATCTCGATGGAAGATCGTCGAGAATTGGAGATGATGGACCAAGAGGACTCGGTTAAGCGGACGCAATCTGCCGACAATAATACTTCGTTGTCTAGAGATCAATCGAGTATCGATCGATTGAAATCCTTGTGAAGATCCTGAAAGAATTCTCGGCTCTTGAGAACTTTCCGCGAGTCTTTGCAATCGCTTCGCAAACATTTGGCACTCTTCTCTGAGTCTGTCTCGCATTTGAGTTCTTCGAGTACTATACATGAAAAAAAAAGAAAAACAAAAAACAAAAGTAACTTGATAAGAATTTGACCAAATCGTTCCCGGCGGACGATTTTAGATCCACGTTTCTCCGATCGGTAGACGGAAGAGGATCGAATACCTTTTAAGATTCAGCTACTTTACGCGGTAAATCGGAACTGCGAGGAAGGAATTAAAACATCACTTAATATGCAAATCCATTTTGCAACGCAAACGGCAGCGTCCCCCAGTCATTGTTCATTAATGAGTTCGTTGTTAAGCCGACAGAGTATGAGTCCAGGGGACTTTTTCACTGACAATATCGCATACTAGTCATAGCAGAAATTCCTTCAATTTTATTCTGCAACATCCTCACCTTCCTATCGCCTTTCCGGTTCTGCCGTATCTTCGACTAAGTACGCGATATATATATATTAGGATGTATATCTTCCTTAGTCTAGAGTAGAAACCGCCATTTTGCGCAACCATTTCTACTATGTACCTTAGAGAGTTTTCCCTGCGTATGTTTAATATAATTACCGCTTACGTGGACATATTCGTAAAAAATTCGCCGGGTAACGAACGTACGTGCGAGAAACTGCCTGAAGACTTACAGCAAGTACATTAACTATGTATTGAACAGTGATGAGCCGCGGCCTCGAGAATACAGAGTTCTGGAACGCGAATGCCGCGCCTCGTTAAATATTATAATTTTCCAAGTCGACGTTTCCTCCGCATTCGAATTTATTAAGCAAATCCTTCGATTATCGCGCAAAGTCAGTCGCGATACCTCTTCGATAAGACCTTTTCTCATAGTCCTAAGTGTAACAACTTGGAGTCGTTAATACGTGTTCGCGAATTTTCACTCGTCGTTCCTGGGTACTCTTGAATTTCCCGCAGAAAGTCCTGTAAAAAGAAACTTAAGTCACTTAACCAGCGAACAATGTCAAAACTACTTTGGCACCTTCTAGATGAACCTTTACACGAATTTGCGATACCTTTTCTTCCTATCCGAGGTTCGCCGAAGAGGAGCTCTCGGTCTAGGAGTCGGTGAATTGACTTTTTAAGTGACTTATGAATTATACCAACAACTTAAGTAGGCTCAATCGCTACTTAAGTACTCGTATATTTTGTCTCGTGCCTTCATCGCTATAGGCTTTAGACGTCCATTGTACAAACGACGAACGAGCTATTGAGATGTTAATATATATTATAAAGTATATATATATATATTGACGTTTATAAGTAATATTAATAACATTTATGTCTGTGAAAAATCCCCGCGCGCACGGGGATATTATTACGTTCAGAGAAGAACTATATACAATGAGAATACCTTCCATAATTATATACATATATATTTTTAACAGAATAATTATATGATATATACTACGCAGTATAGAAATACATCTATCGTTCTTTACGGTGTAGTCGCTGTTATTCAATGCATCTCTCCGTGTTGCATGTCAGTAGATTATACACTCGAGTGCACATGCATGTTTCTAAGCACATCTGTATAGAGTAGACCGAAGATAACATTATTTCCTTACACCGAAAATTACCTACACGTGGAGTCGAAAATGTCTACCATCGCATGATCGAAATACAAATTCCTAATTTCCTAATTTTAGACGGCAGAGATTTTGTTTCTAATCAATAGGCTCTCGTCGGATAACTGAATAAATTATTAGAGGCGTACTTGTAAGGCAGTGAAAAATCTGTTTCCCTTCCCACTGCTGTATATTGGTTGCTCTTGGCAGAATTTCGCCGAATATTAATTTGACAGTTTTTAAATATTAGACGTCAAAAATAGAGGTAAACCTCGGGAGGATTTTTCGCAGCATTCGACTCTCACGCATACTCGTCGAGTGTAGCGCCGAACGCACGCATACTCAACGTCTGGACCCGTAGCTTGGCGCTTGGCTGGTTGGGACGCGCGAAGATTTCTAGGAGCTATCGCATTCACACTGATTCGCTGCATGAGAGTTCCGTACGCGACACCGACGCGGGCCCCAAAGCTCCGCATCACGTCGACTTCGAGGCAACAATGTACTTAATAGAAGTAGATAAGTAGATAAAGTCAAATAAAGCGTCACGAGTGTTCTTCCTTTACCATCAAAAGCGAGCAGTGTCGGTAAGCGTAGGTAAGCCACCACCAACTGCCGCATGGTATTACCATCACGAGTACGTGAGCCGCCAACGGCGACTGGTAGATGGTACCGCCATCGCGAGTGCGCGAGCTCCTATCAGAAATTCGTTTCGCCGCCCTTGGGGGCAAAAAACCGTGAAAGGTAACGTAGGAAACCAGAGGGCAGCACAGGATGCGATCGCACGATTCTGCCCGTAAGCAATCTCCCAACTCATCTCTGGTTTTACTCCGAAATTCCACCTACAAATGAATATTCATCGAGCGTAATTCGGGGCGACCTGTATTAATATTTCCGGTTCTCGACCTTTCAGTCTTGGCCAAAACTTTATTGAAAGCCACCATCGATGTTACCTCCCGAAATTTACCTTAAATAAATTGAATCCTTTCATTTATCATCATGAAATTGTTCACTCAACTCACTTGGTCTCCTTTTTCTTTTTTTTCTTTCAAGACTCGTTCGCCCGGACGAATGTTTACAGCTTGTCTTTTCGTAACATTAAACGCACGTTTTATGCCCCACACCAATGCAGATTGTGCACGTAGATGCACCACCACTGCACGAGAGATGCTTATCGCAGCACTTTTCAGCACAGTGGTCATTTCCAGTGGTGACCTTAAACGAGAACCGCAGAAAATGAAGTCACGGTTCGTGTAATGAGTCCTTTACAAGGATAGCTTGGAAGTGTCAATTAACTTGGTGAAATCATTTGATCGATTGCGGATAGTGACGAGCCCGTGGCAGTGTGGGTGAGCTGGGACATCATTGCGGTGGCCTTTGGAAAAAGTTCCATCGAGGAGTTGTCGGAAACAGCAGTGCTCTTCTAGGGCTCGAAAGTCTAAAAGCAAACAGTGGATCTAACATTAATCTCGAGAATGTTGTAGCGTTTCCTGGGGCTCGAGTCTCGCCGTCCAGGCGGAAATGACAAAGTAAAACCGAGTTTAGGTGTAATGGTATTCCCACCTGGGGTCACCGGGTTAAACGAAGCATTCTCGACGTCTCCTTTCCGAGGCTCAGTACACGGCAAACCTTCTCCGGTAGAATACAAGAGGGTCCCGAAGAGGCCATCAACGTCGACGTTGACGGTGTAAACGCCGAGGCCGCCTCCGCGGCGTTCCAGTTCGTCGTTTGACGTTCCATTGAAAATCTCGAGGTTGCAGACCTTACCTAGGTGCTTCAGAAATGTCCCAAGGAAACGGCGGCAACCCGACGCCGAAGAAACGCGAGATCAACTGGATCCTCGTGCTCTGGTACATCCATCTCCACGTGCTGGGACTCTACAGCTTGCTTCTCCTCTTCACCGAGGCTAAATGGATGACGGTGTTCTTTAGTAAGTCAACGTCGTCTCCGGAGACTTGTAATAACGATTTCTTACTTACCTGCATTTATGAAAAAATTCTTTAACACCGAGAGGCATTAGCCACCGGATTTAATACAATGCTGGAGGACCTTGTAACGACGTCTTCTTCTTCATCTGAATTTCAGAAAATTCTTATACCATTCTTCACCAAGGATCGTTAGGAGATAGGGGGAGTTTGCGGTGTCGTTATCTCTTTTACCTAATTAAAAAAAAAATTCTTTTAGCTTTTCTTATCATCGGCCTGGCCCAGGTAGGAATCGCTGCCGGTGCTCACAGATTATGGACGCACGAAACTTTCGAAGCTTCAAAGCCCGTCAGGATTTTTCTGATGTTGGCGCACACTCTGGCTGGGGTTGTGAGTACCTTTGCAAAATCTGGGGTAAAGTTTAGAAAAGCGAGGAATTTTTAGGCGAAGAAAAAAAAATGATCGAGTTATCGGTTCCTCTTAAGAAGTCAACTGACCTCGTCTTCCAGGGTCCGATTTACGACTGGGTCCTCATGCACAAAATCCACCACAAGTTCTACGGCACCGACAAGGATCCGTTCAATCACAATAGAGGCTTCATTTACAGCCATTTTTTAACCAACGTAATGACCCCCCATCCCGATCAGGAACAAATCGAACGAGATATCGACATGCGCGACATCGAGAGTGACGGAGTCGTTTGGATTCAGCGGAGGTACTTTAACGTAGCGATTAACGTACAAAGTCATGGCGAAACACATTATCTTTCTTTTTTTTCTTTCCATATCCTGTGAGTCGTCCAATTACTTGCAAATTTAACCGTTCGAAATTCACCCGAGTTCTCGTTTCTAAATTGCGAAATGAGGACGACGTGGGCAATTATACACTTTACTCGGGTTTAAGTGAAGCTCCTCAGCTTAGCGTGTATTGTTTTGCAGGTTCTACTGGTTGATGTTCATCATAGTTGGTCTTCTGCTTCCGATAAATGCTCCTGCCGAATATTGGGGCGAGTCGATAGCAAATTCCGTCCTCATTCTGGGTTTCTTCAGACTCGCCATCAGCTTGCACATGTCCTGGCTGGTGAACAGCGCCATGCTCATATGGGGCCTGAGTCCTGGAGACAAGTTAATGTCCATTATTGATACCGCCAAGCTCCTTTACAAACTGTTTGTTAACATGCCCAAGAGCCACGGTACTGTAATCATCGACGGCGACGGTATTCACAGTATGTAGGGAACAGCACCGACTACCAGCTGGAACAATTACAAACATTTCTCTATCCACTCTTCTGTATTTCTATCGTATAAACATGCACATTGAATGCACTACCGTGGCTGAATTATTCACATAAGAAATTGCGAATGCATTGACATTGGCCGCGAAACGTTCCATTATGTCCCGTTCATTACTATTAATGTCCATTAACGTCAAGAAAAACTTAAGCATTGAAAAGAACTCTCTCGTGACCTAATAAACACGTGTTTAGACGATCGAATAAACTCCGTCTGAATATCTAATGTAGAAGTACTTATCACGAAGGAAGTACCCAAAAGTAAAAGGACATTTCAGGATACCGTCTAAATGTCGACGATTTGATTATTAGAGCGAACTCTCTGTCGATATCCTGTATTCTTCTCTTCCCTTCGTTTAAGGGGATGTGAAATTGGCATAAGAAAGCTGAATCGTTCATAAAACTTTTCTACGAACGGGGTGTCTCGAATCGTTTCATACTTTAAAACGTGAATATGGAGACCCTAAGGTAGGTCCTGAAACTCAGGAAATTTCATTTTTTATATACTATTTTTAAAATACCTCATAAACAAATTTGAAAGGAATTGAAATTTCATGAGTTTCGGGACCTCCCTTATAGTCTCCCTATTCACGTTGTAAAGTTACAAACTATTCGGTAAACCGAGTTGGGAGAAAAGTTTTATAAACAAGAGCTCTTCGACGCCACTTTCACATCGCCTTAAGAAGAATTAGAACGAGGCTCAACTTTCCGTCATTTTCAGGTACCCAGTAGACGATAATTCGGTATTCATCGTGAGAAAATCCTACTGGCCGAATTATCACTATTTATTGCCGTGGGACTGGAAATGCGGTGAGTTCGGGACGTACGACAGTGGATGCATAACCTTCCTGATAAGGTCCTGGGCATCCTTGGGTTTGGTGACAAAGCTAAAAACCGCAACTACCGAAGCGATAAGAGACACCTTGGGAAAGGCCGCCACCAAGAAGAAGACTATGAAAGAGTCTCTGGACGAGCTGAAGAATGTATCCGAAGAGGACGCTATCAAAATGACGCTCCAGGCTGTACATTGATAGCGGGAGAAGTAAAGTTTCGATTAAGAAGTTAGGAGGAAACCTACGAATTGTCATTGCGCCCTTTATCATCGATTACGCAAGAAGCCGACTCGATCGTTTGCAACTTACTTCTGCGAACATGTCTATCGCGACTCTACATGGCCACATAGTGGTTTTCTTTAAAGAATTAATTGTGTTTAAGTGCCAGCCATCGTGCGACTTATTAACTTCGAGGATCATGTCGAAAAATTGAAGCATTGCGACACACATCATTACACCCTATCACCTTAGCCCGCTTTACGTAAATTCTGCAGCCAAGTTAACCGTATCAATTTCCCGCATTAAGTATTCCCGGCTCTAAAATAACAAAACACAGTGGATAAGATGATTCCCCGCATTAAAGTGTCTTAAAGAGAGATACGAAATATTTTAGAAAAAAATTATAAATTTGTCAAGGATCACACTGGAAGGGTTACGCCTGTAAAGTATGCAACCGAATGTACCAAGGTGCACTCGATGCATGGAGGAGCGAGTAGGTTTCGTTAACTTTATAAATTGAAAGATAAAATAATTCACCGACTTATACGACCCTACGACTATATTTCTCGCGTTCTTACAAAGACAAGTCAAGACAAAAAGGACTCCATCGAGAGTGCCTACCCCAGGACATAACAGGGCTTCGAAGTAACTGCTCAGCCTGACGGTGGTTTAGTTAAAAATATACTTTTATTAAATGTTTTATTTCAATTGTTATATATCCATTGTATAAGACACGGTACAATAAATGTAATTATGTGTAGCAATAATATCCATTCAAAATATCGAAGGTAGAGCGTGCTCCGCGATGCATCGGACTTTGGTGAGGAAGGGAGGGAAGTGAGGGGAGGATGCAAGATGAAAAAGCCACGTCTCGGGTGCATATGTAATCGCCGCATCTCTTTACAAAATCGACATTCAGACTTTATGCCACCCAAAAGCCCCGAGGAGACCTTCCTTGTTCCGAGTCTTGAGAATGAGAACCTTGCGAAAAAGGGGAAACGTCTAAATGAGCGCCACCGACCGCGACGATTTTGAAGAGACTTTTCAAAAAAGTGAACTTAAACCAAATCCCTTCGCCTCAACCGGTACAGGAGAAGTGTCATTTTCTTATCGTAAATAAAGCCAATGCGCACACGATTCCCGGATTCGAGAAATAAAGGAGCGACCTTCCACGCGGACAATGTATGGAATGCGCATTAGTAGGTTAGACGTGAGATTAAGAGTAGGTTTGGCTGTAACAACCTAATTTAAATAAATTACTCCTTAGTATATATACACATATGACGCGCCTGCGATGCGACGATACGCGCGAATCGCTCTTTGCAATCGCGCTGGATCGCAATATATTTATTTATATTTATATTTATATTTATATCTATGTAAGAGAAGTTCCCTCTAGTTCTCTGCCTTCCTCCGTTCTTTTCCCTGGGGCTCTTCCCTCTTCCCTCCGTGCCGCGCATTATCCCGGCCGAATCAGTCGACGATTTACCAGAATATGCTTCGAATATAATAACTTGCCGATGCAGAGACAATGACCGATACAATTTTATTGTAATTCACGTCCAACTGCTTTCTCGCCGCTTGTAAACTATAAGGGTCTTCTCCTCGTCCTCCTGTATCAGTTAGCCGCATGCCTTCTGCACGGGCAATCTAATGTATTCACGAAGATCGGGGAAAGAAGATGAAGCGGAGGTCCTGCTAGGTCAAAGGCCCAAATTTTGAATTGTTCGAAAATAATTGAGGAGGACCGGTCAACGGTGCTCATCCGAATAAATGACTCTCGCATACTTATCGTGCGGCTCATCATAGTTAGCCCTATGTACACCCTCGTCCGTACCTCGGCCTCTTCGACGTCTTACCTAATTACCTAACACCTAAGTCCTCTTTAAGTATCCGTAAAGGCGAAACCACCCCAGAGGAATCTCACTCGCAGCTTCCGACGACAAAAGAAAGCGGCCATCGTACGTATACACGCGACAGGAACTTAGAAGAAGAAAAAAGAAAAGTAAGATAAGCGAAAGGAAACAAATTAAGGAATCGCAAATTAGTGGCTGGCACTAGGCCATCTCGAGATAAATAAAAACCGCACGAGGGGGGATCTGTCGTTAAACAAATGCGTTTGTTCGCAACGTCTTGAGCACCTCATCGCACAGGAAGATTCATGCGTGAGTGGATGAGTGTTTCCCTAAAAGTCGTGCTGGAACGTTTCCAAGCTCGCCTTCCAAGTTTCTATGAAAGAACCCCCATTGGTATCTGCGGTTGACCTTTCAGGACTTCCGAGCGACTTCGTAGGAATTCGGAAGGAAATCGGAGAACTTCCCGCAAGACAAAGGAACGCGGGAGAATAATGTCAGGCTTGCACGTCTCGAGCCGGATGCATCGCGCCGTCTTTATTTTTCTTAGCAAGTTTCGGAGATATATAAACTAAGGGACTATATGTAGAAGAACGATGCACCTCCTCTGTGAAAGAATGTAACGTAAACGAAACCGACAAGGGAAGGAAAAAAAAAACATGAAGTACGCGACACTCGTAAACGAGTCATAAATTGCTGTATCCGTTTATCACAATTTTTCTAGGACTCGTGCCTCATTTAAATGCCATTCGATCTCACTGTGTAAATTACTGCAAGAGTACTTTTTCTGAACCTACGTTTCTGCAGATGAGGGGCCTTCCGAGACCAGTGATTACGCGAGATCCATTTATTCTGGGTACGTTTAAAGCGATTTCCCCGAGGTCCAATTCACCTGTTCAAATCCTAATTAAATCGACAATGGAAATGCAATACAAGACCGATGACGTGTAGCCTGACATTCTAACTCTAACATTTCATAGCGAAGGAGAACGGTTAAACACCGAGGACCCTGCTGGGCTTGGTCGAAAAACCGTCGAGGTTGTTGATGCAAGACGCGCTCTCTCTTCCTCTCGGCCTGATCGAATGATTCATCGATTCGGCGCATCACAAGTATAGGGATGATCGAGTCGAGTATCTGAAATATCTGGGATCCTAAGGGCCCGAGGAACCAGACGTAAGATTTCGTAGCCTCGGATCAACCGAACTATTAGCGATCTAGGTCCGCCTCTTTGGTCTGGGGTCGACAGGAGAGGTCTCTTCCGCAAATCAGATTTCTCTCCGAGACTCGACTCATCACCGCCGTGTATCGAGGTTAAACAGTGACCTGTGGCAAAACTGGAAATTAAATCGGCCTTCTTCGGAGTAGACGGTTACACGAGGACCGTTCACGGTTACTGCTCCTTTCCATGGTGCGTGATTACAGCCTTTTCTCGTTCCTCGCTCGGCTGGTCCTTGTCTCCCCATCCCCACAATTCGTGGGTGCCGTCTCCGGTTCTCTCCACCCGCCTTTTTATCGTGTCCACGTTAACGCTCTTCATTTCATAGGCCCAGCCGATCTTCGCGAAGAAGTCGATGAACGCCGTCGTGGTGTTGTACTTGTAATTCCCGAGCTCGGCCGTCTTGTAGTCCCACGGGAATACATGGTGATAGTTGTGCCAGCCCTCGCCCAGCGCCATAGCGGCAACTCCCTTGTTTTGTGCCGGGTTAATGAACCTGAAAGTCCCCAAGACACGTTTAACAGAATCGATACATTTTTTTTTCAGGAGTTAAAATACGCGTCGAGCCAATACCGCCCGAAGAGTCTCATTCCTAGCAACCGTTGCCATCGGGAATTGCGTAACTTCGCACAGTGAAATTTAAGTACCGCGTTACGTCAAGCGTCGCGGCTTTGAAATTGCTGCGTGCTCTATTAGGGTATCTAGGAAAAGTGACGGTCCCAGGAAACGAGGCAATTTCGACCGACTATGGTACCAACCTATCGTAGGGTTTTCCACCGAAGAGATGGGCGGCAGAGTTCACCAACCACGTCATGTTGAGAGTGAAGACATAGCGGAGAATGGCCGCGACGAAGTAAGCATTCGACCAGGTCTCGTTCCAGCAGAATACAGGAATGACGGTGGGTAGGATGAAGCAGAACAGCGGCATAAGAAGTACGTAGTACCTGGAAGAGGATACAGATTGATGAATTCCCGGCCCAAGAGATGCTCTCACTGACAAATTTAGATTAAGACAATATTTAGCTCCCGAGTTAAATCGGCTCAGTTCACTCTTCGGAGCAATGTTTTTCCCAGGCCTTGAATCGAAAAACCTCTTTGCGGATTATTATTCCATGATCGAGGACTCACTTTTTCTGGAACATCAAAATGGGGTCGCTCTTGAGGTCGCTGAGGTCAATTCCTTTTCCCTTTTCCTTGACATCGGGATGCTTGCGACACAGGAGCCAACCGACGTGGGCAAAGAAGAAGCCCCTCTTCGCATTGTGTGGGTCAGCATTGGTTTCGCTGTACTTGTGATGCACCCTGTGATCCCTGGCCCAGTCAATGGCTGCGTCCTAAAATTACACCAATCGCTGATTGACTACAAGAACACGAACCTTGACTCTTGGAAAGATTCTGGGTCCAACGAGCCAACAAAGTTTCAGGTGTCAGCCGAGGCTCGACTACGAGTATGCAACGGGAGAAGGGCCATTCGCTCGGCTACTCCTCGGCATTAAGCAACGCTTCGCGCACGTTGAGTTCCCTTCTCGCTAAACAACGAGTTAATTATATTACAGGTCGCAACGCGACACCAGACGTTCTAGATTAACGAGAAGTGCGTCCGCGAGTCCATGGAAAATTTTCACGTCGTATTCCTCTCGATCTATAACGTTAATTTAAAGAATTCGTTAATTATTGATAATGAAAAGTGCCGCTACCGGACTCACCTGGAAGGCAATGGTGTTGAAGATCATCAGAATCAATCTGAGTTGCCATTTCGCCTTGTAGGACCTGTGAGCCCAAAGTCTGTGCGCGCCTGCAGTGATTCCCAGACCGGTGCACTGGTACAGCAGGAAGGCTGGAAAATATAACATTTTTAATAAATAATTGTAATATTAGTTCCTATACAGCTGCTCCAAACTTCCCGACCCACGTCCCACAGTTTCGCCGCTTTAACAGGGACACCTGGCACAACCTACGAGGCTGTTGAATCGCATTCACGAAAATCTTGGCACCGGGCCAGAGACTTGAATGATATCCTCCTCGCGCCTCGTATCAACAAGTGCTACCAAAGATTTAGAGATGAAAGTCGAGATAATCCATTCACCGACAAAATTTGATGCTCCTAGACGCCGGCCAGTTTGCACGGTTCAGAAAAATAAGGACTGGTTAATTCTGCGATATCGTCGAGGTACTCGAATGCATTTTTCCCACCAGTTAAATCGCAGTTTAATCGGTCGTTTTAATCAGCAGTTAAACCATTAATATATTGCAGAGGAGATGCTATTAATGACTGGGTGAACGGTGTACCTCAACAGGTGATACCTCTGCATTTCACATACGCAACCGAGCATTCTTTGTAGATTTCCGAGGAAAAAAGTACAATACATCCACAATACCCCTCAGTCAATGTCAGATACGACGGTTAGCTGATTTCGTTTCTTCAACTCGTTAAACATTGATCTTCTGGCAGTCGGCAACAGGGCGCAGTGTACTTTTCACTCTCGTAAACCTTTGTACAATTGCGTCCAGCTTTATCGAGCACCTTCGTCGAGCTACGTGTAGAATTCCTCGAACTCAGTTCCAAAACATTCGAGGTGTTCTTCGAGTTCCCGAGTACGTTCACTAAGCCGAGTGTGCACATCAACCGAAATAATTTCGACCCTTCCCCGAACTTAAGACAAAAAGCTATTTAGGCACTTATGCTACCTGGTGCGTACATAGGTTTAAAAGAAAAAAAAGAAAAAAGTGGAACACCCGAGGTGCCTTCTAATTTTCCAAGAGCGTAAGTTGTCGAGGGAATAGGTGAGTCGTTCATCAACAGGTGACCACCTCCTCTTATTGTTAGCCACGGTAATCGAGGCACTCTGCTCCTACTCGGCTACCTCTTCTAGGTAGTTAATTATTTCCTCCATTCGTGCAAGGAATCAAATCGCTTCTACGTCACGTTAATTCCTTCGTCCAGGAGTAACCACCTCGATGCCAAGGAAACTGAAATCTCCCATAGCCTCCCCATGTGATTGATGAATTTAATTTCGGTCAGGAAGCATTCTTCAGCGTGTCGGATCCACCTCGTTCATCCGAGTTCGATTGATTTTCACCTGTCAGGTTTCGCTGGTATCGGGAAACGAGGTGGACAGGTGTGGTATTTAAAATTGAAAAGTGGAGCAGCCTGGTACTACCCTGATTCTTTCGTTTTTCAGGAGGAACGTCCTAGTCCCGATGCCTCGTTATTCGTCGGCTCGCCATTGTTCCTCAGGGTGGAAAGGACGCCGAAAATGAATCGTTCGAGAGATCCGAGATCAGCCGCGATATTTACCGAAGAAAGTGGTGGCCAGCTTAGCGGACGTGAATACGAGGTAGAGTCCATAGAGAGCTCCCAGGTGAAGATAAGAAAAGATCAGGACGTTCTTCCAGACGATGCTCCTCGTGTAGCTGCGCTTCTCCTTCAGGATCTCGGTCTCCTGGCCGGTCCGCTCTAATTCGATGGTCTCGTCCTCGAAGAGCACCCCCGTCGGAGTACTGGTAATATTAGGTGCCATCCTTTCCTGGTTTCTGCGGGGAAAAAGAGAAATAGAAAATTAGTCCCTTTGAAGGGGAAAAGAAAGAAAAAAGTGAGGAACCAAAGTAATTTCTAAAACGACCAAACGGGGACATTTTTCACGCTAAGGGAAAAATGCAAATCAAATCGGCACGTCCTTCCAATCCCTCGAGACAAATTACTCGACCCGCAAAGATGCATACTTAACGTCTCTTGTTCTTTACATAAATTAGTATACAAATACAGGATATATTACGAGGGTGATCAATCACCTCGAGCGGCAAAAACTCGGGGAGAACGCGAACCGAAGGATTTACGACGTTACCTCGTTTTCTACTACGAAGCGGAAGAAAAAAAAAATAAAAAGATGTAACCACGTCCTAGAGAAGAAGCGCCGTACTATGTAGCACGTACCGTCACGTCACTCAAGAAATGTTCATGACTCGAGCGATATCGAGCCCCTGGTAATAAGAAAAGACAGCGCGAAATGCCAATGAAATGCCAACGCACAGCACCCACTCCACCGCTGCGTCACTCCTTCGTATAAATCCATAATGACCAAGTCAAGGGTAAAATGATGTACGCCAAGGGTAGAATCATATATATACATCCCCGTACCGTAAAAGCCCAGCACTCCCACATTACAATTCCTGTCACTCACCGACATCAGCCCACCCATAAAGTACATTGTGGGCCCCTCCGCGCCACATTCTCTATTCCCCAGCATATGCGATCAACAAGGCGCAAACGAAACGTGCAATAAGAGCGTACGAAGTGACAGCACTCCACCTAACGAAGAAGGAAAAAAATAAAAAAATAAAGAGAAATAATTCCCCCGAAATTCCCACCAAATTCGCCTTATCAGGCCTATTGTATGAAATTCGTCGCGACACGAACACCGAGGGTTTGGAGCGAATCGGCTATTCGAAAGTAACGGCACTATCTCGCGTTACTCCTCGATCGTTGGGGACGAATCGAAACGCGGGGTCTCAGGTGGCAACAGAGTGCCGGTCGAGTGATCTCGGAGACCGGACTCCCACCGTCCTTCTTTGGTCGCCTCTTCTTCTTTGGCAATTACCGGCTCGCCGAGTCGTCGGGCTCGAGTACGGTCCGTCCATCTGGCCGAGTAGTCACTGGGAAAGGCACCTGACTTCGCGGCGCGCCTACGGGACGCATGGACGATCGTTATTGGGGCAGCGCACGGCCAGGGCTCGGGTCAGCGGCTGGCTCCCGCGGCGAGTAGTTCGACCCCGGCGCGCGGCCCGTATCGGCTGGGCCCGCGCGAGTGGAACCTCCCGAAAGCGGGGACCGCTTCGGGTATGGAGCGCTGACTGGCGGATCCCGAGGTCCGACCGCTGATGCGGGCGGTCGCGAGTACTCGCGAGCACCGCCGACCGACCGCGACTGTAGCCAGGGGTTACTGGCGGACTCCCAGCGGGCACCCGAGGGCTCTACGTGCCGGGGGCGAGAGCATCGCTCCTCTCAGCCGTACTCCGCGCCCCGCGGAGGCCACCTATCGACTGCCGGCAGCATCCGGAGTCGGCTCGGTCCGCGCAGGCGCGAGCCGGGACGCTAGGAAACGTTCCGCCGTCCGATCAGCTGATCGTCACTCCAGAACCTTCCAGAAGGAAGCGCCTCCCCCCGAGACGGTTCCATATTGATTTCCAGCGAAGAAATCACCTCCGCGAGAAAGAATTCCCGTGACAGGGTTTACCCGATATCGATACAAATGTTAGGGTTAATGATATGGAGTCGATACAGAAATTTGAAATATGTTACGTATTTTGTTAGGGGGTTAGGTTCCGAACCTCGGGTCATCGAAGTTAGATTTCCTGGGTATAAATGGGAATAAATACGAAATGGAATATGACGTCACTTCCGATACTATATTCGATACCCGAAGCGAACTTTCTGCATGAGGTTTAATTTGCAGGATCTGCATTATCATGGAAAATTGTCGGTTTGACCCGCAATGCCGAGGAGTACCGGATCAATTTCGGCGAAGCCAAGAAATTTCATTAGCTAGAGAGATCGGGATTGCTGTAATTAATTTCAGCTGGAAAGTGGATTTGGAGGGCGGAGATAATTTCTAGTCGACGGATTATGCTAGATGCGAGACGCAACGGGATTGGAAATTGGCACTCCGGGCGAGTGGAGGTAAACATTGAAGTCGAGAACGAGAAGATTTGTTGATCTCTCCGAAATATTGCGGCGAGGTCTAGAATCTACCACGTGGTGCTCCGATATTGGTCGGGCACGCTTGAAGCGTCCCTCTGCAAGACTCATGTAGACCGTACATACTCCGAGACCCCGGTAAACGTGTACCAGGTACGATTGACAGGGACAGGGTTTACCGTGGTGCATAAGGGGAGCCGACAGAAAGGAAGGCAGTTGAGGCAGCTGCTCACGTAACGTCTACTCGATAACGGGGAACGATGACTGTTGGAAATTCACTGAAGGAATTAAAGGATGCGACGTAAAAAGTCCTTAGAAACAGGCGCGCCCGAGTAAGAATAAAATAGCCCACATTGTCTGAATTTTTGAAAATTTTTTTTTTTCAATTATGGAAGTTCACCGAAGGAATTAAAGGATGCTACGTGAAAAGTCCTTAGAAACAGGTGCGCCCGGGTAAGAATAAAATAGCCCACATAGCCCGGCATTGGACTCGAACATTGTGCACATTGTCCGAATTTTTGCAAATTTTTTTTTTCAATCGTAGAAGTTCACCGAAGGAATTAAAGGATGCGACGTGAAAAGTCCTTAAAAACAGGTGCGCCCGGGTAAGAATAAAATAGCCCACATAGCCCGGCATTAGAGACGAACATTGTGCACATTGTCTGAATTTTTGCAAATTTTTTTTTCAATTATGGAAGTTCGCCGAAGGAATTAAAGGATGCGACGTAAAAAGTCCTTAGAAACAGGCGCGCCCGAGTAAGAATAAAATAGCCCACATCGCCCGGCATTAGAGACGAACATTGTGCACATTGTCTGAATTTTTGCACATTTTTTTTTTTCAATCATGGAAGTTCACCGAAGGAATTAAAGGATGCGACGTGAAAAGTCCTTAGAAACAGGTGCGCCCGGGTAAGAATAAAATAGCCCACATAGCCCGGCATTAGAGACGAACATTGTTCACATTGTCCGAATTTTTGCAAATTTCTTTTCCAATCATAGGTCGTCCAGGTTTTGAAGAATTTCACGCAGAGGTGCGCCAAGCATGACGGAAGGGAGCTCTCATACGCAGGAGGTAGCAGAGTACTTAGTCATACCGACGTCGCAACCGGTTCATGCCAATTAATCCTTACAGGAGGTGGAAACGCGTTCACCGACGCCGCCGATGGACGGTCGGAGTGACCAACTTCGACGCCGGCGTCTTTATCGGAGCCACGACGCGATTTATGTAGCGGCCCCGATCAAGGAGAAGCTCCCTGCAACTTCCGCCGTTACGTACGCCCGATAACCATGTGCGTAAGAGGCTGGAAGGAACACGCGGAACTCGGATCGCGACGCGTCGCAGTTAACCCTGACACCGGTGGCCTTGGCGTCGACGTCACGAGCGAGCGTCGACACTCGCGCGAACAGCTGACTGGCGAAGTCGTCGACCTACACGACCGACTACTCCACGAGCGATACGAAAAGCGGATTCGAGAGATCTTGCTCAAATTAAACGCAACCTCGGTATATCCTCCCAAGTGTAAGGGTGTAACAAAATTGGCGGCGACCACTTGGCATTCTTGTCGAGAATGGGTGCAATGTTTACCCGTCATAATTAAAATATACCCAACCGTCATGTCCTGGTTTCTAATTAATCATTGCGGGTAAACTGTGCAGGGTGGAGAGAGAAAAAAAATGGAGCAGGTCTTTTCATTATCAAGTGTTCAACAGGGATAGTCCTGGGTGAACCGTGATCACCGATTTTGCTGCACCCCGTGTGCACGTGAGATTCTAGGCTGGGAGACAACAATTCGATTTTTAATGTATTTTTTTTTTTTTTTAATGGAGAAGTGGAGGTTACTAAAAGGTGCAGTCCGAGAATGGCGTTGAAAAGAGGATGAAGAATTGTAAAAGCGACGTTTATACCGAGGATAGGTTCGGCAACGACCTCGGTGCACCTCTGTGCAGTCTCTTGCGAACAGCTGAGCCGATAAGTCAGTGACTTCAGTGGTTGCAATGAGAACGCCCTGGCTGCAGTGGATTGTTACCTGCACTTGAACAGGGAAGTGGCAGAGTGAAAGGATGTACAGGAGCCGCCTTGCTGCGAGGCATTACTTCAAAGACGTTTAAATGCTCTCATTGCGCCGACAGTCGCCCCTTTGTTACTCAACCTTCTAGCCAGACCATTTCCGGGTGGCAATTCGGATCTTGACCGAACTTCCGGTACCACCCATCTTTGACGTAAGTGGAACCCGGTGGAAAATTATCCTTCGGGCTCTAATGCGGAATACAGATGTTATATAAATATTGAGAAGGGGAGGTTACTCCTTGACCAAGTCACCGAGTATCCTGCTGAGAGTATTGCCCTCCGGAAGAGAAAAGGGTACCAAGAAAGTGTGCGGAAAGCCTGAAGAAAATCTGCAGAAAACCCGACGTTTGAGCCGCATGCCTAACCGAGCGTCGCTCACCTGTTTTGAATGAAGCGGTCGATTATGTAAATTACGCAAACCAAGATTTAAATACGGAGAGTGGCGGTACTGGTAGTACTCCGCGGAATTCATGCAATCAGCGGCGTATGATCCGTCCTGTTAGTACCGGTAACCTTGCCAATGACTCGGCCGAGAAATTTCCAGTTATACGAGATATTTATTATACAAGGGAACCTCTCGGTGGATAACCAAAATAGCTCACATTTCTCGAATAAATCTGAAATTAAAATTTTAATAACCCCTCTTGGGAATCAGAAAACGTCTTGAATTCAATCAATACTATAATGCTAATTTCACGTGGTTTCAATTCAACCTCGATAAAAAATTATTTTCCCGCATAAGACCCTATATGTACACTTTGATGAAGAGTTGCACATCGGTCGTTAATAATTATTCATCAGGTATTTCCGACGCACAAAAACGATTATCACCGTAACGATGCGAGTAGTCGGTTTTTCTTTATGTGTCCAGGAAGAGATCGTTCATAACCTCAATACATGGATCAAGTAGATTCAGCTTCTCGGAAAATATCTCGGACATCCAACGACCAGTGGAAAATCCAGTCCTGGTCGTCCGGAGGAAAATTCGATCCTCCACGTTGGTCGGGCAAAAACCCTACCTAGGAACAATGGCTTGGGAGTAGTCTACTTTCCAACACCCGAGGGTCCTCGTCCGCCGAGTGGGTGGCAGCCTTACAATTACGTGCGAATCCCGTCAGCCGCGAGAATTAATCGTTCATCACCGTTCTACATCCTTTACGAGGCCCCCGATCCCGATCCCCTAACGCGTAAACTCAAGTTCAACAATCCCGTTAAATCGCTCTACGGAATATTACGAGGTCGTGCCAAAACTGCGCGTAAACTCCCGCGACAAAGAACATAATCCCTTCCGCCATACGGGCGAGATTCCCGAGGCCGTGCAGGCAATAGTAGCCCAAACGGTTTCCATACATATAGTCCAACGCGATAAACTTTTCACCCAACGCCAGTATATATACATACCCTATTCAAACGGTTAAACTTAACAGTAACACGAACTTCCTAACCTAAAAAGTCTAATCTTTTTATTAAATATATTCACGCTTACTGCGACGTAGGGAGTGATGCTAAAACGCCCTACATGGACCTCGCACACCACTACCCGGAGAGCATCACCTGAGCCCGCCAATTACCCCCTCCCTAACCACGCGCGCAATGGACTCGTCCTGACGCAACTTCTCGCAGGGACGTCGCGACCCGGCGTCGCGCCGGTAGGGCCACGTGGTCGTACGAAATTCGATGCCGGCACGGCGGCGTGACGCGAGCCGGCGGGACGCTTGCCTTGGATTCGCCGTCGGGCTCCAGCGCCGCTTGCCGCAGTCGTAGGTCCCGGAGTCGCGGGTCATCGGTTCGACGTAGGATGGACAGACGGCGTCCGACGTGTTGCTCCTCAAAGTAAGGACCGACGACTGAGGAGGATCGCGGCGTCCCGGCACGGCCGACCCCTTGCCGGCCACGCCGTCGACTCGTCGTTCGATTCGGCCGGCTCAGCCGAGCCGGCCTCGGCCAATCGCAGCCCGCCTGCCGACTCGCGCCACCTGGGCCCGACGAATCCTGCCCGCCGACCGGAAAGCGCGCTTTCCTATAGCCGCTGCGCGCGCACCGCCCCCCCCACTCCCCCGCTACCCGCATCCTACTGCTACGCTGGGACGTTTATACGTTCGAATTATCTTCCGAGTGGGCTCACGCCACTCGGTCTGACTCGGCTTGACTCGGTCTGCAGGGAGTCTGCGCAACCCCCGACCGCCGCTTTTCCGAAACCTCGCATTTTAGGACGAGGCGAATTATCGAATCCTGATATTTGAATCGGCAGTGCCAACCATAATATTCTAGCCCTATCTCGAGGACGAGATTTTTCCTTTCTAATGGCTTTTTGGCGGCTATTTGCCGACACTCGTCCGCATAGGGCTAATATTTGTACTATTATTTTAGTCTGGTGTATTAAGAATTTTCAGGGGAATAATGGTAAACGAGTTGTACCTATTATTTCAACAGGAAATGGAACCGTGGACGACTTTGTTATTATTGATCGATGTTATCTTTTTATTATATTCTTCGTTTTCTTTGGTAAGATACTTATGCTTTGTTTAAATCGGGAATTAAACCGTTCAGTTTTTAATACCAGCTTGGTTTCGGTATTAGTTTCTTACTTGCTCAATTTCTAGTTTAATTGAATTTTAATTTAATTTATAGTTGGCGCGACGCTTTAACCACTTTGGTACGGCGCTCATCGGCTGGCGGGTTCATACCACTGCCGTCGGCTAAAGTCGACGCTCGGCTGTGAGCGTTCATCTGCGGCTGTCGACTATAGTCGACGCTCGTACCGAGGTGGTTAAGCGACGAACCTCGAGTTCTTCACTCGAAGTCAACTTTTCGCTCAACCGCGTTAAATTCACTACTTTTTTATCCGATTTACGTAGCGACAGAAAGCGTCTCATTCGCGCTATCACATTTGCGAACTCGCGTCATTTGGTCTATCGGAGGACTTCGGTGAATTGCATCACAGAGGAAATTTCCAAGAGTTCGCTGACGTCTTCCGTGGCCATTTTCCCTTTTTTTCTGACATGTCAATTAGCCCCGACATATTTTCTTTTTTTTTTTCTGTGCGCGATTAATCACCTTTCCGTCCTAACAGTGCCTCCAAAGCATCGTGCAACGTTCTCGGCGCATTCCTATTAACATTTACGTCTTGAGATTTTTCCTTTCTTTTTTTTCCCCCCGACTTTTCGTTAACTCGCGCAATGGAAGTTCCTCCGCGATTGCACAATGTTCGCGGCAGATAAGCGTTAACAAGAATCACCGAACAACGACGTGGCTTTATAAAATTTGCAAGTGTACTGGAAAGATCTGGACATCTCGGCCAGAAAGAGGAAGGAATCTCCCGAGTGATAAGGACACCGCGATATCACGTGCTCGGCCAGGTTCAAGGCATGCCGGATAACGTTTTTCTTCCCGCGTATCGCGTTTCGCCCTATCGCGCGAAAGTTCACGCAAATAAGTGAAAACCGACATCGTGATACCTAAAGTCCCCCGGTAAAAAGGGGAAACTTCTAATTACGAGGCGAAAAAAAAGAAATACACATCCAACCGAGTCGCGTGACCACTTTAATTGCAACTGCAACTGCAACGGATGTTCGGCTTGGGCTGAAAATTTCCATTCACGTGACCCGAGCGAGCGTTGCTCGGGAGAGAAATTTTCCAGCTCTTTTCCCATACAATGTCAGAATCGAGCCGCGATGTCAATGACATGGCAATGACACGTGTTATCAAGCTCGATTTGGCCACTCGATGGACTCGAGGTCTTACGAAAACTCGCGAAATTACGGAAATCTAGTGACAGGGTTGGCAGCTTGAAGATCTCGATGATCCGCGCGTGCGGCTTGACACGTGTCAATAACAGTCACATGCCTTCTGCTAATAAACAAAAGTCTATCGAAATCGTAAAGGCGCGTTCCCGTTGCGGGAAAAAAGAAGGGGAAAAAAAATTAAAGCCGTTGGCGAGTGTCGGTGGTTTTAGCGGAATGCGAGCGTATCGTAATACTCGAGCAGTATGTACAATTATAAAGTTAGCGAAGGTCATGTTCAGGTAGCGATAACTGAATTGCGGCATAGTTACACAAGCGGTCATGATCTTGTCGATTTAGGCGGCCACGGTCACACCGAATGGCGTTAGAACTCCTAATTACCTGAAATTAGGGAGATTACTCAGGGACCCTTCAAAGGAATACTCTGCTATATACATTTTCACGTTGTCTACACTGATTCAAATGAAGTAAAACTAATTTTCGGGGTTCCAAGACATCCTAAAAAATCCTAAAATTACGAGCCGTGATTTTCGGATACATTTTGAGTGGCGGCAAATTCTGGAACGCGATAAGCTAGCGAGAAGTTTCATCGAAGATACACTATTCCGTGGTCAAGGCGACCGTATGTCGTGAGAAATGAGGTAATGAGGCGGTCGTGACAACGTGGAAGATGACGGCGAATTGATGTCACTTTTCTACCTCGTTCTATCCGAGGTTAACTTCTGCACGATATGTTTATGTACGGAAACATGCGCTGTCAGATGCTCGGATGATGATTGACACCGTTACGACGGATATCATCATTGCCCGTCACTTGCTCAGGGGATATATTTGAAATGGATGAAACATTTCTGTGGAACCTAAAAATGTCGGCGTAACGTCACGTTTCAAAGTATTAGGAGAACGAAAAATGGGGGAGAAAGACGCACGGGGAATCCTTAAGGAAATTGCGAATCGGCGCATCGGGCGATCACGCCCAAGATACGTTCTACAATTCAGAGTGCTCGGCACGATTCCGCGTGCAAATCAGGCTTACCCCATTTTAATCGAACAACTGTGAATTAGCGACAATTAACGCCGGAAACCGCGAGTACTGTCACCGCGTGTCCGAATCGCCGATTACGCGCGAGCACCGATTGTGCTGAATGGCTCACTGATTCGATTACACCGAACCACCGAGTGGCAATAACCCACATTATCATACTCGGCTTTGTCAAAGTGCGCTTCCTGCCGCGAAGAATTTTTAAACGGCTCGTTTCAACTCGATTAAAACGGGATTGATACACGGCGAGCTTGATAAATGCAACTAAGCAAGAGTTCCGGTGATTAGTCTGATAGGAATAATTTGTATACATACGATATTGTATACTTAACGAGTACGAAAGTCGACCGAACATACGGGAAATTCGACGAGGTGCAACTCCACCTAAATGAAAATGACACGTGTTCACTGACCGTGTACATGAGAATTTATAATAACTCATCGCCCATAATATCACCTGCAAAGTGATCGCCAGTGATAAGGAAACCACCTCGATGGCTGTTCCTTGTTATTTGACTTGCATTGCGAATTCGAAAGAAGACATCGAAATGTCTTGTTCAGGGAATCATTTGTATGCATCATTATATATTTAACGAGTACGAAAACCGACCGAAAGGGTGAAGTTTCGACGAGGTACAATTCCACCGATTATGCCAATGACCGATGTTTACTGACCATGTATGTAAAAATTTATGATAATTCGTCGTCCGTTGCAATAACCTCCGAAGTGGCCATCGGTGGTCTATAAACAACCTCGTGAGACATCCTTCATTATTCGACTTGTATTGTAAATTCGAACGAAAGCGTGGAAATTCCATTGTTCAGGAAACACGTGTATGCGTCATCGATGAGGGGTTTTCAATTTGCAAATTAACATGGACGGTGAGTTTCTCGCCGGGACGTAGAAGGAAAAAAAATCGAAGTTCATCTCTCCGGTTGCCGTTTCACTTGCGTTTTTGCACGTGATCCGTGCTTCATTTCTTCTTTTTTTTTTCTTGGTCGCTGATTAACCGGTCCGCGATTATCGGCTTAATGATATGGGAGGTGAAACGCACTCGACACGCAAACACGAGCAGATTATTGTTTGAACTACCGATCGATATTATCGATACCTGGTACGCGACGTGACATATTCCCTGTATGAAATTGACCGCTATCCGTTTGCAGTCATTTTCAATAGGATTTTCTTTTGATAGGGTTAATTTGCATTTAAATCATGCTTAAAAGTCCCGAGTTATTCCGTCTTGGAAGCTTCCAGTAAACCGTGGAGGATTTTAAGCTTTGCTATCCGTCTAGGGGAATTAATTCTCATTATCTACCCGCAACGCGTGTACTATGAGTATAGTTATCTGCGGACATTATACACGACTATCTCACGTGAAAAGCCGTACGATCACACGTGACACCCCTCCTATTGACTCCTACCACGTGGGCTAGATACACGGAAATAGCTCACCATACCAATACACATTTACAATCGGTCAACTGCAAGCGTACCTCCTCGGAGATGAGTCGATAATTCGCGAAAAGCGAACAATACCGGTTACCAATCACGATCGGATAAGCGTCTGCTACGAGCGGATCCTAGGCAAACGAAAAGTCGCCGACAATATCGATCAATCGAGATACCGGTTACTCGAGGACGTACCTAATTACGTGTGTGTCGATTCGAACCCCTCACTTATCAATCACGAGGAATCATTCGACTTCCTAAACCAATTAGTCCAGAAGTCCAACTTCCCCTCGAAAAGTATAGTTTACCATACCGTATTCACATTCAAAAACCAAAAGAAAAAAAAAAAAAAGAAAAAAATCACGTGCGGACACCGATTCAGCAACGACAGCGATTGAAACCGTGAAAAAAATTCCCAGAATGAACCGTAGTAAATCTTCCTTTCTGCTATCGAACCCGAAGTTTACATCCTTTAATTAGTTCATTTCTTCTTAATACCGCTTAACATTACCAAATAGAAAATTTCTAGTTACCAGGAAAAGTAACGTTAAAGTAGAGTTGTTTGACCTTAGAAGCTCCAAAGCTGGGCTTAATACGAACTACCGGCGGATTTTTTTTGTATAGGATGGGCCAT